AGAAGGGAAGAATGGAAGAGAAGGGACTCTATGAAAGGGGTCTCTTGGTTTGGATCGAGACGAGCAGAGACACAGGGTTTTCTCTTTCCAACTCTAACCATTTTCCTACTCTTTTCCTTTCACTGTTCCCCCAAATTGTGGATCTTTTGCGTCGGCGGACTCTAGGATTTCCCTAGTATTTTCATAGAAATTGCAGCCTTTTCCCCAAAAAGCCGTTCGAGGTCGTCGGCCAATACCCCTACACCCCACCACTTTCTCTTTCTCTTAGTTTTGCCTGCAGACTGGGATAGGCTGAAGGGTAAAAGAGCGCAAAGCCAGGGTACCCTTCTCTTACCCTTTCTCTCACTCTCAATTTCCCGCACCAACACCCCGAGCACCCAGCTGATGCCATGAATGGCCCCAGCACCTCAAAGCAAACAATAACGAACTTGGTTCCCTCTATCTTCATTGCTACCGCAGTTAAATAATAGAAATCTACAGTAATCCTACAGTCTAGTAAGTACAGTAATCTTAGTAATTGTTCAGAGTTGAACCGTAGCATTGAAAAGTGTATGAAAGAGGTTATACAGAAAATCTATCGAGATCAACCCTAAACCAACTCCAGCACAACTGTAGCGAGTAGTCAGAGCTCTTGAGCTACCACATAGATAATCATCTGACAAATTGGAGTATCTATGTGGTAGCTCAAGAGCTCTGACTACTCGTTACAGTTGTGCTAACGAAACCTAACATGAAGTTATTGCAGAAGAATAAAATATCCAAAGCCACAAGAGTTAAAATAGTTGAGTTGGGATAAAGTTGAGCATATGGAAAGTGATTCAGCCGACTTGACTTTTGAGACGAGAAATGGACTGAAAGGAACTCCTCCTCTGTCCACTCGGCTGTTTTACACACTACGGAACAGCTGATCGAATAAAACCTACGGATTTCAAAAGTGAAACTTTACATTTGGTTTGCTATTTGCATTTAAAACAAAAACGCTGCTGGGATAAAATCAAAAAGCATCCAAGTAAAGACTGGAGAGAGTCTAATCAGTGGTCATCTTTGAGAAATCATCAAGAATCCGTCGATATGATCTCATCACAAACCAGATCAGTCTTTCCCTCTCTCAAGAATCAAGTTGATGATGAGGATTCTGTCATTTTTTCGAGACGAGACGGTCAACAGTAGGTGGGCGAAGAGAGGTGGAAAAAAGCGAAGTCCTCTAATGTTTGTCGAGTGTTTTTCCCTGGGGACCGATCCAGGATTGATATTTTCTAATTTTAATTTTAATGATTAATAACAATAACAAAATTTTAATTGAGTATCATTGGAAAGTTACTAAAAGCTGTTTCTCGAACAATTTGATTCCTGTAATGCAATAATATTAAATATTTAAAAACCCAAAACAATTAGAAGTAGGGATAAAAAGGAGAAATATCAGGGAAATAACGAGCAAATAAATCAGGCCTTTTTCTTTGGCTATTGAGAGAAGCGCTGAGCCGTGAGCCATTCCATCGAAGGTATGTATCTTGCCATTGGACCCATCCCAGATGAGCGTTCGATTTCACCAGACTTCACTCCATCTTCTAGACGTCGCCATAAGTACTTTGTAGTCTAAAAAGAAAATTTTGGTAAACCTTTACGCATCTATCTTAAGCTTGCATAGATAAGAGTCGAACTGTTAAGGTTTTTGAAAAACTAGCCTACCGCCGGATTGTCGCTGATCGCGAAGTGCTCCCGGATGTATTTGAGAATCGCAATTCCTGTCGATCCTTGACGATCAGCCATGTCAAAGATTGCCTCGAGAATCATTTGCATGTAGGGCGGATGCTAAAAACTAAAAAAGTGTAACTTCTACGATTAGACCTTTAAAAACAGAGATTGAATAAAAATATGCATCTTTAGCAGGCAACTTTTGTCTTTATCTACTAAAGAAGCTAATTCATTGTTTAGCAAAAGACTAACCGTGCCGACTTTGCTGCCGCTGGTTGATCCCTCCGACCATCGGCGCTGTGGCTGTGGAACAGTTGAGGGTTGAAGAATTTCGTCGGCCGATTTCGCCAGCACGTACTTCATCTGCTTTCCTTTGTCGAGGAAACGTGTGAAATTACCATTTGTCACTCCATTTGCCAAAAGTTGGGACAATTTAGGGCCATGCTAAAAAATAAATGCAATCTTAACGCTGTTTTGATATTGTTTGGTTAAAAAATAAACACAAACACTTGGCTATTTGTAATTGAAAATACCCACTTTCAGATCTGAGGGGATTTCGTAGTTTTCCTCGATAAATTCGCGAATGCCCGACATGGTGATTCCTTGCATGAAAGCCGAGTTGATAGCTTCGGCGATCATCTCATCGTAAGTTGCATTCTAAATAAAAAAAATGAGTTAAAGTTTATAGGTTTCGAAAGGGTTTAGCTATAAAAAGCTTGGTCATTGTTTAAATTTCGTTGAAAATAGGAGGAATATGCTTTCATATCTTAATTGACTGCTTATAGAAAAACTAATGAAGCAACTTTGAGCACATCCTGCCATTTTTTAATAGATTAAACTTGTCCAAAACGAGTTATAGACCATCAATCTAAGCTTGTACTTATTAAAGTTTTCCAAAAAGACAATCAGCGGTGTTAAATTGGCTTCAGCAACAATCAAATGCACTTCAATTGAGAACTCCAGCTTACAGGATTTAGCTTGCAACTCGAATTACACGTTGCATTCATTTTAGCGTACTCAACTACAAACTTTCCTCAAAAACACACGCTGATGAATGCTAACTTTACATGAAGATTACAAGGATTCTAAAAAAATATACCATTTCTTTCTTGTGTGGCTGTTTCTTTTGCTTCTTTGGAATATCTTCTTCTGACGACATCTCTCCGCCGATTTTCTCTGGAGTTGATTCTTCTTCTAACGTGATCTCTCGGCTCGAGCCCATTTTCTTTTGTCCATCTTTGCTCAAAGTCGTTGATAGAGAGCTCGTTTTCTTTTGACCATCTTTGCTCGAAGTCGCTGATAGAGAGCTCGTTTTCTTTTGTTCATCTTTGCCCGAAGTCGTTGATAGAGAGCTCGTTTTCTTTTTTCCATCTTTGCTCAAAGTCGTTGATAGAGAGCGGAGTCGACTTCGCTTTCCGGTGATAGCCATTTGTTTCCCTAAAGAAAACAAAGTTTACGATTGGTAAAGTAAAGAAAAAAGAAAAATAAGCAAAAATGATATTGGAGGGGCAATGTTTTATGTCAAAGTGGCAAATTTAGAAACAAAATGGGCTTCACTTAAAGGAAAATTGTTTCCATGACAGATCTAGAGTTGCTTTTAAGCGGTACTTGATTAAAATCCATTAACTTTGATATAGTTCTAAACGAGTTCGATAAATTCTCATTTTTGGCACAACCAATAAAAAAATCGGGATGCTATGCGTGGGTGTGGCCTCAATTTTGCCAGTGGCATTTTAATTTTCTTGGATTTGCAACGCTTTGCAAATAGTTTCAAAGCTTCATTATAACTTTAATCTTTGCTTTCGCTTTTAATTAAGATTTATGACAGGATAACAAAGTAAAAAAGAACAAAAAGTAAGGTCGCGTCCGTTTCCTTCCTATTTGCGTTGCTATTTTGCAATTATTCGCGTCGCATTTTTCGTCCTTTTTCTCCCTTCCCGAAATTATTTTTTTTAGTCTGCGGGCTTTTGCCTTCCCTCTTGGGGGACTTTTGTTGTTTCATTTTTGATGCGCATGCTGTTTTTGTAATGGGTATTGTTGCATTTCGGTTCTGTACTAATAAACAGTAACGTTATAAATTCACTTTACTTTATGCTACCCTTCAGGTTTTAAATCCTGTTTAGATGACTGGTTTAACATTGTAGAGAGACTGGTTTTACTAACATTTGTGTCACCATCGACCTAGTATCAATCCGATCTGTACTCTTCTCAAGACTATTAATCTATTGTTGGATACTACGTGTTCTTGTTACGTTGTAAGCGCTTTTGGGGAAACCCTTTTAACCTTTTGTGCTATTCGGCCATTCTTAAGCAGAATCATCCTCGTTGATAAGGTTAAAGCGGGTCGCACAACTGTCGCACCAAAAGTAACCAAAAGCAAAAAGGCGTCGAAAGCATTAAAATAATGGATATTTCTTGGGTTTTTGACAACGCTGATTAAATTGCAAATAGTTTCCAGGCTTCGTTCTAACTTTGCTACTTTTTCTGTTTAGGCCCCCAACTATCAGCTTTCCTTTTTGAACCATATGCATTCAGCATTTGCATTTTAGACTGCACTCTCTCCAAGCAATAACCGGTTGATTGGCTATCTTTGATCTTTTTATCACAATTGATGGCGGCGTTGTAGGCGACGCCCCGGGCCAACTTTCGCCTGACCGGGAAGTGAATTGCGCCAAATCGTGTTTTTTTGTAAAGGGGTCGAAAAACCTTTCGTACCACCCGCCTTTCGTCCCACTTGCTAGTTATGTTGTCACATCAACCCGGGCGAGCCGAGTTGATGCCTATTTTACGGTTTCCAATTTTTCCCAGAAGCTCAACACTCAAATCTCCCCACATAATTTCATCGTCAGCTACATTCTCCGACCCCACATCGATAGGTTTGAGATTTCGAGGAATTTAGACGACGATCAGGGGGCACTACTATTAGAAAAAAATAGGGTATTTGCGATTTAATCAGCGCTATCGAAAATCCAATAAAATTAGAACGCCATTGGCAAAATTGAGGTCACGCGTAAAGCCCCAAAATCGGATTACGAAATTCCGGGAAACAAAATGATCAAAATGTGGAACTTTTAAGCTGCATCTTATAGTAGTAAAGTACCGTAGTTTAGCGTTATTTAGAAGACACAAGAAAGGCGCCATTTTGAAAACATTTAATCATTGTTTGTGCTTTTGCTGTTTTTTGGCAACAAACCTGCAAACTGCAATTCTTTGTTTCAACTATTGTCAATGTTTATTTCTCTAGTTAAAAACAGTAATAAAATGTGATTTCGATTAAAAATTGATTTGATTAGTGTCAGTCATTAATGTGCTTGGATCGCCGAGATCACCGAGATCGTGCTGATACTTCGGGTGGATCTTCGCGGAGAAGTCGTGAAATTCGATACTTTTCCCAGAACTATCGAGTCTTCCCTTTTCCCGAAAACATTCGATCGAATCTCTTTTGAGACAATGAAGATAAACCTGAAGGTAAATGAGAATGACAATGAAGATCGAATGGATTCATTCATTCAATCTTCATTGTCAAAGATCGAATGGATTCATTCATTCGATCATTTCCATTCATTCAACATTCGAAGCCAAGAAGCCTTACAGATTACAGCACTACCTACCGTAAAATTAATTGGACCCCCCTCGAACAGTCGCGTAGTCGCAAAAGTTTTTAGTATTTTTAGTATTTTTAGTATTTCTTTTTTTCCAAAGCACCCGTACTTTCAAAAAATATGTCTTTGGTATCAAAAAATAGCTCTAAATCTCAGCTTTCATTTGATACGTAAGCGAACACTGTAGCATACACAAGTGTCGAGAAAAACGCGTTTTTTCGGGATGGTTGCGTAGTCTAACTTTAAACATCCCGTTCTCCGCGCTCCTTTATGCTACAATGCGCACTTTGGTATCAAAAAATAGCCCTGAATTTCAGCTATTTTTTGATATCTAAACGAGCGAAACGAGCATTGTAGCATAAACCAGTGTCGAGAAAAACTCGTTCAAAGCTAGACTACGCAACGCTCCGCCCCGTCATTATGGTGGTGGGGTACTAATACAGTATTTACGGTTAGTCTAAGCTTAAACCCGTATCAATAAAGATTGATTTCAAGCATAAAGTACACAATTTCTCAAGTCAAAAACCTTTCAATACCAACCACAATGGCGCAAAATTGCACAAATCACAGAAAATTGGGGCTGTCTCAAAGAAAATCCAGTAATCATCCATTGATTGAGTGTTGCAAATGATCTGTAAGTATTGCATTTCTATAAAAATCTCATTTTCTTTACCGTATCAATAGCATTTACGCATCCCATAATGAATTGGAATACAGTAGTCGCATGGAAAGCGAATTCTCGACGAGTTAGCTTCACTTCCTGAATTTGTAAGTCTAAAGTAAAAGACTAAAAGAAATAAAACCAAAGAAATAAAATGAAACAAATAAAATGAAAGAAGTAAGACTTTCAATTAGTTAACCAATTAGTTAACCTTTAACTTTAACCTTAAACCAATTAACCTTATCGATACTTTATACATAGCGACTTTTAATGAGTAAGCACCTCATAAACCTTATCGATACTTATCAATATTGAAAGAATCGATATTGAATATCATTAGTTAGATATCTCTGATATTAAAGAATAAGCTCACTTCTCTCTTAATCAATAATCGATATTGAATATCATTAGTTAGATATTTCGATAGTTAGATAGTTAGAATAAGCTCACTTTTCTCTTAATCAACAATCGATATTGAATATCGATAGTTAAAGATTTCTGATATTAAAGAATAAGCTCACTTTTCTCTTGATCAACAATCGATATCCAAGGTAGAAATTGAGAGGGAAACTCAAGAAGAGACAGCTCATATTCACGCCAAAATACATCCAGTTCTCTATGTCCTAAAATTTTTCAATCTTTCAATTACTCACTCTATCGTAACCCTTTTCAAATCAATACTTTTATACTTTACCGTAATCTCAGTTCAATTACGGTAACTGAGATAGGGAATTTGGGGGTGGGACAAATGCGACCTTTCTTTGCGCACCTGGACATTTGCGCACCTTTTTTTTTGCTGGAAAAGGCCTTAGGCAAGGCCGTAGAGCTTCGAAAATGTTTCGAAAATACTTCCATATAAGGGAATCGTATGCGTAGATTCCGAATTTCGACAAATCAGACCTCGTTGACACGTCAAATTTGGGCTAAAAGGGAAAAACTGCGGAAAAACGTTAAGTTGCGTAGTTTTTGCCTTTTAGCCCAAATTTGACGTGTCAGCGAGGTCTGATTTGTCAAAATTTTGAATCTACGCATACGATTCCCTTCTATGAAAACGTTTTTGAAGCTCTACGACTTTTCCTAAGGCCTTTTCCAGCAAAAAAAAAGGTGCGCAAATGTCCAGGTGCGCAAAAAAAAGGTCGCATTTGTCCCACCCCCGGGAATTTGAGACAATTGTCTCAAAGAATTGAGATTTTTATTATTTTAAAGTACCTTGCTGAGGTTATGATAACTAAAAGACGTTTTAGAGCTACTCAAATCATTATTCAAAAAGAGTTAATAAATAAAAATTCGAATTACTCACCGAAATATCAGTATTCGGAATATAATAACCCCAGGAAAGTCGTAGAAACGAATTTTTCACAAAAATGCAATGAATTGTGATAAATGTGGGAAGAAAAATGATGAAAAGACAAGAAGGACGAGTGGCTTCATCCCAAAACTGAAGACTTTCATCTTTCACCTTTCATCTTTCACCCAAAAGACTTTCATCCTTGTAATCAGAAAGAATTTCGATTTTATTCTTAAGATTTTATTAAGAAAGAACTATTTAAGTTACCCTTTCATAATGAACAGGAAACATCAATGAAGTCGCTCGATTTATCGCTACCAATAAAGTGCCAAAACTTTGAATCATCAAAGTTACTGTAGAGAGATAGTTAAGTATCGTTGGAACGGGACCCTCCTAAAATACTATATAATTTCATTTTGAATCAGATTCCTTGTTCGGATTTGAATTTTTAGAAGATTCTGCGACCGTTAGGAACTTTGAAAATCAACATTTAACATTAACAACAAATAAAAAAGACATCAAGAATTGTGAACATAAAAACAAATAATCTGTTGTTGTTGTTAATGCTAAATAAATGTTGGTGGATACTTTTCAAAGTTCCTAAGGGTGGATAAAGAAATGTGAAACGGTCGCAGAATCTTCTTTCTTAGTTGTTTTTTTTTGTTGAGAAAATCAAGTAGCCCAAAGTAACCCAAAGTAACCCAAACAGGTTTTACAATATGGCCTTTCTATTGGAAAAGAAAATAGCTCGATCTTGAATCTTGAAACTTAAAAATCGAATATTGAACTTTGAAAATTGAATATTGAAATTTAAATCATGAAACGTTAACCAACGCTGAACCAACATTGAACAGGCTGAAAAGCATGACTCCAGCTGAAGCTGAAGTCAACCTCGAGCCTGTTGAGAAACGAGGTTACAAAATCGGCAACAGTTCTTACGAATTTACCCGTCTTGCGTTTTAGTTTGAAATAAACTCTTCTCTGTAATTGAAAGGCAATAAAAATTTCATTTTGAATCAGATTCCTGGTTCTGATTTGGATTTTAAAAAAAAAAGATAGCTTACTTTTATGTAAAAATACCATTCGTGAACGCCCCAAGTGGGTAAACGAACGTCAAAGAGTTGAGCGAGGAAAGAGACCATGTCCTAGAATTGTGAGATCTGGAGCAAGCTTATAAATCTGTTTAATGACGGAAAGAGACCATGTCCTAGAATTTTGAGATTATGTGGAACCAGCTTATAAATCCCCTTAATGACGGGGAGCCCCTCGGTTATCGTGGCGCAGTCAGTAGTCCTCTTGTCTACAACCCTCACGATCCGGGTTCGACCCCGCCAGCCAACTTAATTTTTATTTTAAATTGGACAATTATATTATAGCTTGATTAGCTTTGAGTCAAGTCAATCAGTAAGCTTACAATCAGTACAATTGCAATCACATTTAAAAGCCGTTTAAGTTTAGTTTATTCCTATCACTTGTACCAATCAATTTTGTTTTCCTTTCAAGCAAAGTATATTCTAAAGTGTGTCATCTTTTGTGAGCTGCCGTAAGCATGCTTTAGAAAATTCTTTACTTGAAAGGAAGAGACTTGGTTTATAATTTTTTGTGAACTACCGTAAGTTTCCACCTGTTTCTTCAAATCTATCCATTTTTTTGCTTTACTGAAAGATAACAAAACTAAAAAGCCGTTTGAGTTTCGTTTAGTTCTAGTACTAGTTTAGTTTAGTTCTAGTACTAATTTAGCTTAGTTCTAGTACTAGTTTAGCTTAGTTCTAGTACTAGTTTAGTTTAGTTCTAGTACTAGTTTAGCTTAGTTCTAGTACTAGTTTAGTTTAGTTCTAGTACTAGTTTAGCTTAGTTCTAGTACTAGTTTAGTTTAGTTCTAGTACCAATTTAGCTTAGTTCTAGTACTAGTTTAGTTTAGTTCTAGTAATCACTAGTACTCAGAAGTCCTAATTTCTAAGATCTTGAAAGACATTCAGTTAAAAGGAGAATTTGAGCCGTTTGAGTTTAGTCCTATCACTTGTACTAATCACTTTTTGGAGTACCCAGAAGTCCTAATTTCTAATATCTATATGTCGTAGCCGATTATGAATGAAATTACCGGCGCTACAACGTTTCATTTAAAATCGGCGGACCCCCGTAGCCGATTATTGAATGAGTGGGTCTAGAAGCGTCCAACCATCAAGTATTTAGTATCATTCAACGCAGAATCATTAATAATTATGTTAAATTTTTCAAATTAGAAAGATTGGATAAAAAGAAAAAAAATTAGAGCAAAAAAAACGGTTTGTTCAAGAGAAAACTTTGAAGCCCCATAATTTTTTTCCTTTTTATCCAATCTTTCTAATTTGAAAAATTTAACATAATTATTAATGATTCTGCGTTGAATGATACTAAATACTTGATGGTTGGACTCCCTAGAACCCACTCATTCATAATCGGCTACGGGGGTCCCGCCGATTTTGAATGAAACGTTGTAGCGCGGGTAATTTTTAACCTAAACTCACAAATTTGGTACCAATCGACGCAGAATTTTTAATTCGCTACAGGATGATATAATATTGTCCTCATACATTAAAGGGTTGCTCTACTAGAAAGGTTTACCAAAAAATTTCATTCATAATCGGCTACGACATATATAATAATGTTGATTAAATGAATGATATAATACTGAACGGTTGGCCGCTCCTAGACCCACTCATTCATAATCGACTACGACATACACAATCCTTTGTTTTAAGACCTACATTTGTAATGAGGATGAAGAAAATTCGTTGAAAGTTTGTTTTGAAGCCATTTGTAGAATGAAATTTTGCAATACGGTAATAGATCCAAATCGTCGTGACACCAAGAATGAGAAATGCTGATGAAGAGATCATCTCGAATGGATCAACAAAGTGATCATCGTAATCGTCGTAATCATCCGATGACGTCATTCCACCACCAACATTTGTCGCCATTTTCAATATTCAACTCAAACGATCAAAAATTCAATGAAACTTGAATAAAGCACAGAATTAAATACCCCAAAGGACGTGCGTTTGCTAGCTAAAACTTTCTGTACTTTATTTCTTGTACTTTATTTCTTGTACTTTAGTTCCTGTACTTTAGTTCCTGTACTTTGCTCTCAGAAAACGTAAACTTTCTGGTGCACTGGCACAAAGAAATGCCAAACAAAGTTTGAGATAGAGTTGTAGAGCTGACTATGCCATTTTCGTAAACAAATGCCAATTAAAAACCACTAGACCATAAAAACCATAAAAACAGCTAAGCAAAAAAGTGAAATGGGGCTCATAATCGCCATTGCGAGATAAATGGCGTCGGTTAAACGCCCGACGTTGTTGCGGGAATTCTTGGTCACTCTGTAGTAAAAGAAATAGTAGATAATAGTTACTGTAGGTTTTTTTATCGAGAAAACTTTATGAAAAGATTTCCAGTTGCAAGTGCGATATCGGTTTCAGTCTTCGACCAGATGGAAGAACTTGTGAAAGTGATTTTAATAATATTATTTGCTTAGGCTTAAGTATTGATTGTCTAAGCTTAGTACAGCTTTTTTAACATTGAATATTCATTTAATCTTCCCAGGCACTTGTGGTGGATTCCTGCGTGCCTCAAGCGGCTCCATTCAGAGCCCAAATTTCCCCGAGAACTATCCACCTGGGAAAAATTGTGTTTGGGAGATTGAAGCTGGTGAAGGATATCAGGTGAATTAGAGGCTTTGTGATATTTGTCGATTTGGACTTTGGACACAAAGTTTGCCGATTTGGACTTTGGACACAATGTCGAACCTTGGACACAACGTTTGAGATAGAGTTGTAGAGCTGACTATTCCATTTTCGTAAACAAATCCCCATTAAAAACCGCTAGACATAGCTTAAACAAGAAATTTTGTCGCTTAAGAATCTTAGTTCACTTTCAATTTTCTAACTTGAAACTTAGAGAATCAAGTCAATCAAGTTTATAAGTACAAAATAAATAACTAGATTTGAAATCAATCATTTGATCTAATTCAAATCAAATTCAGATCAATTTACTGGATTTTCTCTAATAGAGTAGTGCTCTAATAGCTCTAATAGCTCTAATAGAGTAGTGCACAAGGAGCGTTGCTTAAATTCCTCGTAATCTCGAGAAGCGCTTATCAGAACATATCGATGTGCGGTCGGAAAATGTAGCTGACGATGAGATCTTGTGGGGGATTAGAGGGTTGAGCTTCTGTAGAAGCTTCGAAACTGTAAAATAGTCATCAACTCGACTCGCTCGGCTGCACTATTATTAGAGAAAATACGATATTATACTTTGCTTGATGATTGTTGAAAAAAGATCCCGATCATTTGAACTCAGTTGCAGCCAACTGTTCATTCATCTATTGGATTCTCTCTAATAGTAGTGCACCCTGATAGTCACTCTAATAGTCGTCTAAATTCCTCGTAATCTCGAGAACCGCTTATCAGAACCTATTGATGTGCGGTCGGAAAATGTAGCTGACGATGAGATCTTGTGGGGGATTAGAGGGTTGAGCTTCTGGGAAAGCTTCGAAACCGTAAAATAGGCATCAACTCGGCTCGCCCGGGTTGATGTGACAACATAACTAGCAAGTGGGACGAAAGGCGGGTGGCACGAAAGGTTTTTCGACCCCTTTACAAAAAAAACACGATTTGGCGCAATTCACTTCCCGGTCAGGCGAAAGTCGGCCCGGGGCGTCGCCCACAACGCCAGTATCAATTGTGATAAAAAGATCAAAGATCACCAATCAACCGTACGCTAAAATAGTCATCAACTCGGCTCGGCTGGGTGCACTACTATTAGCGAAAATACGGTATTGACCGTCCGGTTAGGTTTAAATTGAATGAAAATGTAAAAGAAAGTTAAACTGAAAGAGTACTTTATTTAAACTTATATGCAAATTGATGAGCTTAAACCGGGAAAACGGGAAAATTGCAATTATAAACAAAATTATAAACAATTGCAATAAAATGAGAATTTCGTGGAGAAATCTTTTCAAATCTTTTCCCAGCTCTTTCTAATCTAGAAGTCGTACCGTTCAACGCTCAACTAGAAAACCCTCAAAAAAAAAAGAAATTCATTGCATTCGAATCTCCTTTTCTCTCTTTCATCTCTTTCAAAATTTGTAGCTTCAATCATTTTTTTGGATACAAAATGATTGGGGGAAAGTTTATGAGTTCAAAAACTTTTCAAATTCAATTTTCTTTCAAATTCAATCGTAAATTTGATATTTAAAAAAAGAAAAAAGGAAAAAAGTGATTTTATTTTTGAAAAAAAATTTCAATTTCAAAATTTTACAGATTTTTGAGGTATTGGCTTGGGTTCTTTTCTTTAAAATGAAATTTTTCTTCATTTAACTTCAGCTATCCAAAATTTCCCTAGTAGATAGGCTCTTGCAAATCCCAGAACACCGAGAGCCGTTTTTCTCATGCACATTTGACTTGATGTCGGGTTTAGGCTTTCCCCCTTTCACTTCGATTCGACTAGGGACTTCTATTAGGGACTTCCATCAGGGACTTCGATTAGGGACTTCTATTAAGGACTTCGATTAGGGACTTCTATTAGGGACTTCCATTAGGGACTTCGATTCCAAACGGACACCCAGAAATGGAAACCCATTGACTTTCACCGAAAGTTGACAGTTTGAATCTATTTTCATTCCCTGTCACAATACGAGATAAAAAGATTTGCGCTCGTATTGAGAAAGATGAGTGGCACTGGATTACTGATTTGTTGCCTTTTCTGGGTGTCCTTTCGGAATCGAAGTCCCTAATACGGTTTAAACCCAAGTGTATGCAATTTTCGAGTATTTTTGTCTGATCAACTGATAACTCTTCTGCTATTTCGCAAAAAGAAAGCCTTTTTTGGTTTGAAAGATTTCAAGCAACTTGGCATTCAGCTGGAGTGCTGGATGGCTGGACTGCTGGATGGCTGGACTGCTAAATGGCTGGACTGCTGGATGGCTGAACTTAGCATTCAACTGGACTGCTGAATGGCTTAGGCTTAAGCTCCTTTTGTCTTCGAAGATTCATCCTCAGAACGGAGTTTAACAAACCAGTTTGCACATGTCCGTAGTGGAGCTGAGCTGAGCTGATCCTTCCACAGTAACATTCTCAATATTAACTGAATACTAGAGGCCACTGTCTTTGTAGAGATTCGTACAACATAACGTGTCGCAGATCTCCAGATTTTCTGTCATTTGGCCACTTTTCTACATGAAAAAATATCATTCGGAAAAGTTTTAACGGTAATTTTGGCCCACCCTGTATACAGTCCGTTTCATATTTCTTTATCCACCCATAGGAACTTTGAAAATCAACATTTAGCATTAACAACAAATAAAAAAGGCATCAAGAATTGTGAACATAACAGCTAATAATCTGTTGTTGTTGTTAATGCTGTTGTTGTTGTTGTTAATGCTGTTGTTGTTGTTAATGCTAAATAAATGTTGGTGGATAATTTTCAAAGTTCCTAAGGGTGGATAAAGAAATTTGAAACGGTCGCAGAATCTTCTTTTTTAGTTTTTTTTTTTTTGTTGAGAAAATCTAGTAACCCAAAGTCACCCAAACAGGTTTTACAATTTGGCCTTTCTATTGCAAAAGAAAATAGCTCGATATCTCCACCCATTCTCCATAAAATCTCTTAATAAAGAAATATGCAAACGGACTGTAGAATTTCATTTTGAATCAGATTCCTGGCTCCTGAATTGGATTTTTAAAAAAAAGATAGCTTACTTTTATGTAAAAATACCACTCGTGAACGCCCCAAGTGGGTAAACGAACGTCAAAGAGTTGAGCGAGGAAAGAGATCATGTCCTAGAATTGTGGGATCTGGAACCAGCTTATAAATCCGATTAATGAAGCTGGGATTTCCTGTTATCGTGGCGCAGTCAGTAGCCCTCTTGTCTACAACCCTCACGATCCGGGTTCGACTCCCCGTAGTGCCAGTCAACTTACTTTTTTTGGACAGCTATATTGTTGGATTGGAAAACTATATTGTTTGTCTGATTAGCTTTGAGTCAAGTCAATCAGTAAGCTTACAATTAGTACAATTGCAATCACAATTAAAAGCCGTTTGAGTTTAGTTTATTCCTATCACTTGTACCAATCAATTTTGTTTTCCTTTCAAGCAAAGTATATTCTAAAGTGTGTCATCTTTTGTGAACTGCCGTAAGCATGCTTTAGAAAATTCTTTACTTGAAAGGAAGACAAGATTGATTGGTACAAGTGATAGGACTAAACTAAGCTCAAAAGACTTTTAAGTGTGATTGCAATTGTACTAATTGTAAGCTTACTGATTGACTTGACTTAAAGCTAATCAAGCTATAATATTGTTCAATTTAAAATAAAAAATAAGTTTGAGTGGCACTACGGGGAGTCGAACCCGGATCGTGATTGATTGGTACTCGATTTCTAAGTGTTCTTTTGTGAACTACCGTAAGCTTACACCTGTTTCTTCAAAGTATCCATTCACTGAAAAATATCAAAACTAAAAAGCCGTTTGAGTTTAGTTGAGTTCTTTCATTTGTACGAATCACTAGTACTCAGAAGTCCTAATTTCTAATATATTAAAAGATATTCAGTTAAAGGAGGGACAGTCCTTTGTCCTTTGTTTAAGACCTACATTAGTAAGTTTAATTGTTTAAGACTTACATTAGTAAGTTTAATTGTTTAAGACCTACATTAGTAAGTTTAATTGTTTAAGACCTACATTAGTTTACACCTGTTTCTTCAAATTTATCCATTTTTTGCTTTACTGAAAGATATCAAAACTAAAAAGCCTTTTGAGTTTAGTCCTATCACTTGTACTAATCACTTTTTGAGTACTCAGATGTCCTAATTTCTAATATATTAAAAGATATTCAGTTAAAGGAGGGACATTCCTTTGTTTAAGACCTACATTAGTAATGAGGATGAAGAAAATTCGTTGAAAGTTTGTTTTGAAGCCATTTGTATAGTGAAATTTTGCAATACGGTAATAGATCCAAATCGTCGTGACACCAAGAATGAGAAATGCTGATGAAGAGATCATCTCGAATGGATCAACAAAGTGATCATCGTAATCGTAATCATCCGATGACGTCATTCCACCACCAACATTTGTCGCCATTTTCAATATTCTACTCAAAACGATCAAAAATTAAATGAAACTTTGGATAAAGCACAAAATTAAATACCCCAAAGGACGTGCGTTTGCTAGCTAAAACTTTCTGTACTTTAGTTCCTGTACTTTAGCTCCTGTACTTTGCTCTCAAAAACGTAGACTTTCTGGTGCACTGAATGTTCTATAAAATCCAATTTGGATTTAAATGCAAATTGAATGAAAATTTAAAAGAAATTCCGGGTAGGCTAATTTCCGCATTTTTTTTTTGCGCAACTGGGTCATTTGGGAAACTAGGCCTTTTGCGCAATTCGCCATAACTTTCCTCTAAGCCAGCCAATCTTTATGATGTTGGTTTCATTTTGTAGATCTCAATAAGTGCAACAAAATGAAACCAACATCATAAAGATTGGCCGACATAGAAGAAAGTTATGGCGAGTTGCGCAAATGACCCTGGCAAATGATCCTAGCAAATGACCCAGTTGCGCAAAAAAGATTGCGGAAATTAGCCTACCCCAGAAATTCAACTGAAAGAGCACTTTATCTAAACTAATATGCAAATTGATGAGCTTAAACCGGGAAACCGGGAACAACAATTGCAATGAAATGCGAATTTCATGGGGAAAATGAAAATCTTTTCACAGCTCTTTCTAATCTAGAAGTCGGCAAGACTCGAACTAGAAAATCAACTAGTTCAACTAGAAAATCTCAAAAAAAAAGAAATTCATTGCATTCGAATCTCCTTTACTCTTTCAAAATTTGTAGCTTCAGTCATTTTTTTGGATACAAAATGATTGGGGAAAGTTTATATTCAAAAATTTTTCAAATCCAATCATAAATTTGATATTTGAAAAAAGCAAAAGGCGGTTTTATTTTTAAAAATTGCAAGAAATTATGAAATTTTTTTCAAAGTTTTACAGATTTTTGAGGTATTGTCTTGCTGGGTATGACACGTTCTTTAGAATGAAATTTTTCTTCATTTAACTTCAGCTATCCAAAATTTCCCCAGTAAATAGGCTCTTGCAAATCCCAGAACACCGAGAGCCGTTTTTCTGATGCACATTTGACTTGACGTCGGGTTTAGGCTTTCCCCCTTTGACTTCGATTTGACTTCCATTCCAAACGGACACCCAGAAATGGAAGCCTAAGCCTAAGCCTAAGCCTAAGCCTAAGCCTAAACTCGCTCAGATCCAAAAAATGGGGGTTCAGCCCAAACCCAAATAGACTGGTGCTAGGCGCTAGCCGCTAGCCTTCGCACTAAGTCCAAGCCTAAGCCTAAGCCTAACCCATTGACTTTCACCGAAAGTTGACAGTTTGAATCTATTTTCATTCCCTGTTACAATACGGGATAAAAAAGATTTGCGCTCGTATTGAGAAAGATGAGTGGCACTGGATTACTGATTTGTTGCCATTTCTGGGTGTCCGTGTGGAATTGAAGTCCCTAATACGGTTTAAACCCAAGTGTATGCAATGTTCGAGTATTTTTGTCTGATCAACTGATAACTCGAAAAGAAAGCCTTCTTTTGGTTTGAAAAATTTCAAGCAACTTGGCATTCAGCTGGACTGCTGAATGGCTGCTTAAGCTCCTTTTGTCTTCGAAGATTCATCTCCAGAACGGAGTTTAACAAACCAGTTTGCACATGTTCGTAGTGCAGCTGAGCTGAGCTGATCCTTCCACAGAAACATTCTCAATGTTAACTGAACACTAGAGGCCCTTGTGTCCTTGTAGAGATTCGTACAACATAACGTGTCGCAGATCTCCAGATTTTCAGTAGATAGATTTTCAATAGTTAGAACAAAGTAAAGTAAAATTTTAAAAGCCAAATGCCGAAAGCGAAAGTGCATTGTTTTCAGAAGAAAGATTGAATTTTTACTTATCTATTTTCCACTTACATAACTGGGATTTAATTTGAGAAATGTGCCAACTCATATCCACGAATCCAATTGAAATAAAAATGTTGGCTCTTTTTTAAACTTTAGCTGATAATGTTAGGCGCAGAAGGCTAGCTTGCTCAAACCGAGCCTGTAAACGAAACTAGAGTAGAAGCCATGTCTAGGCTTGACTTCTGGCAGACACAGACATTATTGGGGCCAGATTTGCCACAAAGTTAGGCTAAGATTTGAGCCTGGTAAAGACAAAGACAAGTACAAAGTAAAAAAACGAAGGCCACAACTTTGTGTAACCACTCTAGCAAGCCCATTCTTATGCGAAAAACGGTGAATTTAGTTGGTGACATTCGTGTATTTCAAAATTTAAGGACAAAGTACATTTCGACGATCAACCACCCCTTTTTCTCTTTCTCTTTGAAGTCACAACGGTTCAGCTTTAACACAAGATATTCAGCTAACAAGCTACAAAACAATAAATGATTTGGGGCGCGAAACAGAATGAAGGCGCATCGATTTCCTCAATACTTTTCCAATTTTTAGGCTGTCAGAGTTAGGTAACTTTTTAGTGGCTATTCGCCACACTCCGACCTCCAAAATGATTCAGAGTTTACTCTGGATTCTCCCCGCAACGCAAAAATGTGAAGCGGAAACTTGTTCTGCGACAATCTTAACAGAGAAAGTTTAAGTTTTTTGAGGAAACCTTGTACACCAGGAATTTTGTAGGGAGGAATTGAAATCTTGAAAAAGAGCAAATTTTTGAACGAGGAGTAGAGAAAGGGAAAACACAACAACTAATATTTGGATGATGCTTGACCTTTGATCATTTCGATTCCAAGTTTTTCACAGAAAGCCACGTGATGTCGACCGCCGCAATGACTGCAACAGATGAGTGATTTGTTGCATGGCCCCGGATGTTCCTTTAGGCAGTTTTTTGAAATTTGGCATATTCTGTTTATTGATGCAACTCTCATTCTGTCAAAATATTCAATCTTCATTGAACATTTGACTATATCTTTGCATTTTTTGGCTCCACAGAATATGCAATCTTTTTTAACGTGACGTTGTGTGTTTGCTGTTGTCATTTTTCGCTTCGTGGGTGGTTCATCTCCATCCTTCAAGTCTTCAATCAGCTCGCTTCAGCTTATTGAGCTTTTGGTTGATCATTCCTTCAATGGTCTGCTTCCATTCGACGAACGTCTCCCTCAAGTCATCTTTGATTGAAGCCGATGTGGCAAGAGTCTCCGTGAAAATCGTGTTCGATAGCTTCTCCGTTGATTCGTTGATCATTGACGTGATTCCCAAAGCTTCTCCATCTTCTCCATCAATTGCTTCACCTCGGACGTAGTGGTGCTCTCTATCGTAGTGTCTTCGATTTTGGTTGACATGTCCCTGTAATTTGAACATTTAAATGTTGTTTAAAAAAAATCTTGTTGAAAGAGAAATTTTAAGAAAGGGGAAAACTTTATACAAATAGCGTTCGACGGGTTAATGATTTTGATTGAAATTTTTCAATATTAAATTCACAAGGTGTGGTTCTAAAAATATACAATTTGTTACGGAAGCGCGAGCTTTGTTGCTTTGTCGAAGTGCTCAGAAAGCGTCATCTGTCGCTTTCCGGTAATTTACTTTGCCTTTTGCGGCTCTTGGCGTACTGTTGCGTAGTGTTTCTTTTTTCGACGTAATTTCGCACGGTTTTTCAAAATTTTCTTCAGCGCGAATTTCTAGTGGTATCGACAGATTGATTGGTCTTTCAATTTGCTTATTATTGCCTGTTTTGACAATAGCACTTCGAATTTTTTCATCTGCGCCTGCCATTAAGCGTATAATTTTACCTTTTGCGTAAAAACCTCTTTTTACGTCTTCCTTCATTATCAGTACAATTTCGCCAACTTGAATAGCTAGTTTTGATTCTCGCTTACTTGCGTGTTGTTTGCCACTTTCTCGTAATGAGTGCATGTAGCTGTTATGGAATGTTTTCCACACCAAGTTGGGGTAGTATTCTGTGGTTTCAATTTTTCTTTTGACATCTTCATGAGTTTGTATAATTTTGCCTTGATAATCCGGATCGCTCTGAGCTGGGTAACTTTCAATTTCAAGTTTCAATTTTACGCCGGGCAAAAGAAAATCTATTGGGCGAATCAATCTTTCTGACTGTTCTTCGTCTAAGCAAGTCAAGGGGCGGCTGTTGACAAAGCCTTCAATTTCTACCATGATAACCTCCAGTAGTTGCTTGGATATTCCTCTTCCATGTTTTATCTTTCCCAGTGCTAGTTTGACACAACCGATTAATCTTTCATATATCCCTCCCTGCCACGGTGCATGTGGAACTGTAAATTTCCATTGTATGCCATAATCGGCTGGGGTTTGGATATTCACGAAGTTTCCCTCGATTTCTTTTGCATTCTTTAAAAATTTGTCCGCCAATTTGAATGTTTTAGCATTATCTGTCAGAATAAGTTTAGGTTTTCGACGACGAGCGCAAAATTTTCTCAGACTTTCTAGAAACGTGCTGGTTCGTAATGAATCTACAATTTCTAGGTGAATATTCCTTGTACACACACATGTGAACAGAACGATCCATACGTCTATTTCGACGTCTAGTGCTGAGTCGTAGATCAATACTGGACCCATGTAATCTATTCCGGTATTCTCAAATGGCAAACTGCGATTTGTTCGAATCTTTGGGTAACGTGCCCATGCCGATTGCTTGTATGGGAGCCCATTAAAATATTTGCATAAGACTCATCTTTGTGTGACTTTTTTGACTGCTTGCCGCCCTTTGTAAATCCAAAATCTTTGACGAATGCTTGCTAATGTTAAGGCAATGCCTGCATGTCCCATTTGTCTGTGGTGATGTCTTATGAGTAGTGTGCAAAAATGGCTATTCGGCAAAATTACAATTGGTTTTGAATTTTGAAAGTCTCTGAATGTCTCTGACATCCTGTCAACTTTTCGGTAAATTTCCCATTCGTCCTTCTCAACTTCACGTGCCTTTTCCTTCAATTTTTTCTCATTTTCACTTTGATGTTGTTTTATGAGAAGTAACTTTGCATTTTTTAGGAAATCGGCCGGTCTATCAATGATGTTGTCGCCACTTCGTGGATCCACTCGACACGATGTAATTGGCTTCAACACAGGATTGGTGGGTAGTTTGTTAATTTTCCTCATCCAGCGGTTTATGTAATAAAGAAACATTGCCGTTGTCTTGACCAATTTGTAAAAAGTTCCGAATCTTTGTTCTTCTATTAGAATTTCTTGGTTTTCGGTTACGATTTCTGTTAGAATCAAAGTGTTCTTGGCTTCCTCTTCAACACTTTGAGAGAAATTTGGAATTTCGAACCGTTGAATTTCTTTTGGCCAAAATTTTTCATCACTTTGTAGGAATTGTGGGCTTTCCAACTATACGCTTTTGTGTAGTTGCTCGGCGGTGATTCCTTTGGTGTAGTCGGCTGGGTTTAACTTTCCAGGGACATGAAACAATTTGAGTGAGATTTGCAATGCCTTTAGTTCTTCTTGAATCTGGGCAATTTTGTTTGTCCGATTCTGAACAAATTTTCCTGCTTTATCCCTTGCTTTTTCTTGGGTGACCCATTTCAGTGCCACTTCTGAATCTCCGCAAATGACAATTTCATCAATCTTTAATTTTATTACTTTCAATAGGTATTGGATCTGCTTATGAGCACATTCTAGGACTAACAATTCCATTTTTGGGATTGTGGGAATGACTTTCGTAGGGTTCAGCCGATTCTTTGCAAAGATTATCGATGACTTAAATCTTCCACCAGTTTTCGATTGCAGGTATGCGACAATTGCGAAGGCTTTTGCCGATGCATCAGCAAAGATCGCTATTCGTGTGTAATCTCTTTGTAGTGTCGTAAAGATGAACCTTTGGATCGTGATTCTTGTTTCTTTACCGAACTTTCTTTCAATTTCTTTGTAGTTGGTGATCCCATTTTAAGTCTTTGATAGACCACAAACTTTGATAAAAACTTTTAGCCTCAACTAGCAATGGGGTAGCGATCCCATTGGGTCATAATTCGTTGCAATAGCTTGGATTATTTTCCTTTTGGTTAACGGTCGTTCCGCCTTAATTTGGATGATTTGCGATAAAGTATCTTTGTCGCTGTCCCAAGTCATTCCTAGCAGTTTTAGTGAGCTTTCCACGATCTTATCTTCCTTTTCAATTGAGTTTAGCACAATTTTGTTGTTACTAGTGAATTCTCGAATGTTCATCTTTATTTTTCTGAAGACATCCTTGTAAATCTTATACTTTTGAATTGCTTCTTTCTCGCTATGTGCGCCGACAAAAAGATTGTCGACGTACATATTTTTAGCAACTTCATCCTTCAGTTCGGGGTAATTTTGTTCTAACATGTGTAGTATTGACATTGTGAGTTGAAAGGCACTGGCTTTAACACCAAATGGTGTCCGTGTATATCTTAAAGCTCTCAAATTCTGGAAAGAGACTGGTTGTTTGTAATCTTTCAACCATAATATGCGAACTGCATCCTTTTCGGAACTTTGTAGGTGAACTTGATGATATGCTTTCTCTACATCGACTGTAAGCAATATTGGAAATGTCCTCAATCTTATCAAGATTCCGATCATGTTTGGGATCAATGACGGGCCTTGGTGCATGATTTGGTACAGCGATTTCTGCCCTTTCATGCTGGCACTTGCGTTCAAAACAATTCTTAGCTTTGTGGTCCTAGAGACTTCTTTTATTACCGCTTGATGTGGTATATAAAAGCTGATTGGGCCTTCAATTTTTCTTGGTGCTTCTTCTGGGATTCCTTGTTCCAATTTTTTGGAATTCTTTATTATATTTTACGAATAGTTCTGGTTTTCCTTTAAGTTGCTTGATGAGGCTATGCAAGTATTGCACTCGCCTTTGACTCGTTGATGCACTTAATCCTTGCCAAGGACTCTGACTCCTTAGCTGCCCCCTTTTGTGATTGCCCGTTCTCCTAAGACTTTCTAAATGCTAGGACTGCCAAGAAGTAATAATTTTTATGTTAGCCATGTTCTTTTTGTTCCCTTGAAATAAGACAAGATTTTATTGCTCTCAGCTGTTTTGAAAATAGCTTCAAAAGCTCTGAAAGCTTCAAAAGATGTTAAGCCGTACAAATTCAGATGAGCAAATCGAACGACACGAATAATGTGAGGGTGTTTGAGTCGCTAAAGTGTTGGAACTGCAGGGAAACAGTAACTGGAGAGATGGGCGCTGACGGGAAAGTTCAGGTGTGTGGGGAGAGGAGGGGCAATCGCTAAATAGTGAAAGCGATAGTAAGGTTATTAACAATAAAGAGTTTTCACCAAGGGGAATCGAACAAGATCAATGCCGATCGAAAGCCCGGTACACTAGCCACCATCGGCCCTTGTGGAAGCTCTGAGTGAATAGATCTCATATCGTGGCGGTGACCGGCAAGACATTCAGATTAGACAATCCCGTCCACTGGATTCTCCACCATCTCTTTAGAGATTTAGAGACAATATACTGACTCTGATTCAATTCAGATCTCATCTGTTTCAATACAGATAAGACAGTGACAGTATTTTCTATATTTTACATATAAAGTCACTCCAAGTTAGTAAAGTCACTCCAAGTTAGTCCGTTTTTTGCTTTATAATTATGTTTATTGTAAAAATAGCAACTCATCAATACCATTAGCTTAAATGGAAAATACACTTTATTTTTAAAACTGCTTAATTGTCAATAACGATAAACATTTCTAAATTCAGGGATTTCACCAAACGAGCTGCTCCACGTTCATCTGTACTCCGTGCCATGCGTTGAGCCCGCGCGATCGGAAACGAATGCATTTGTGTATTGAAAAGTACTGCATCGTTGCTTCGCCGAATGTCAATGCGATCTGGTTGAGCATTTTGCTCAGTGACACGGTGAGGCTGAGCCCTGACAAGAACGGGTACATTCTCGCTAAAGCGTTCACAACGCCGAAATGCCCGACTTGTGACGAGGGCTTCTCGGTCGCGATCCCAAAACGGCATCCATTTGTTTTGACAAAGTGTGGACACACAATTTGCAGGGGATGCTCGGAGCGACTCCATCCCCAATACCCTCAAGTGCTGTGCCCCGGTTGCAAAACTGCTAGCAACAAGTGGGATTGTCGACGGGATCAAATCCTATTTGAGCTTCTCAACGATGTGGAGGCTGATAAAGAGGTCAAATCAATTCGAGTGCACTCGTTCGACTCGTTGAAATGTTGGAGCTGCGCACAACCGGCACTTGGCAACTGTAAATTGGGTGCAAACGGAGAACTTCAAGGAGTCTACCAAATGAAATGTGTGACAGCGTTTCTCTGTGGTCGATGCGTTGCCAGTGATCCAAGGCGACGCCAACGAATGCATGTATGTGGTGAGACGGATTGTGCCTCGATCCGGCTAAGTCCCTACTCAATTTGGGTGAAGCTCGTCGTGGATGGATTCGTGAAAATGAGCTCGGATTGCAGCGGTTACGTAATCGAGAAGCCGTTTCCCCAAATTGAATGTCCGATTTGTGCAGAGACTTTCTCGACATCTCCTTCAGCTCGAGAACCCATCGATCTCCCATGCGGACACACGGTGTGTCAGGGTTGCTCGGGAAAACTTCTCATCAACGAGACACAAGTCCGGTGTGGAAACTGTGGAACAGCAACCCACAGGGATCAGAATCGAAAGAACAGGATCCTTATCGCTTTCCTCAATGAGCTCAATTCCGTTCTAAACAATCCTCAACAGAAGGAGAAATGCGAGAAATGTGGCGTAGAACATCGACCGAACAAAAGCGTCCACTGCGAGGAGTGCCGGATGACACTGTGTGCCATGTGTTTTCTGATGGAACATAGAGAACACGAGTTCACACGATTAGATGGAATAGCCATCGCCTATCAGATCAACGCCTACTCGAAGGCGGTTCCCATTCTTCAGCAAGAAGTCGACACTTCGATTCAGCTCTTCGAGAATTTGGTCGTCGAGAAGAGAGGAGAATGGCCAGACTGTCAGGTGTTTGGGAATCGATTTGAGGAAATCTCCGAGGAATATATCCCTCACTTACGCACTTATGGCACCAAATTGAAGCAACTCTGCGACGAAGCTGCGGGAAAGGACATCGAATCATAGAAAAAAAATTACAAATTTATCTTTTTGATCTTTTTTTTTGATACAATTCGTTTATGTTCTCACAATTTAAAAGCCAAAACTATCTTCATTTGGATTTGAATTCATCTAATTTTTATATTGCTTTAAGATTCGTATAAAAAGTGTTAGAATTAGCAGTTCTCTTTTCCTAGTTTGCGATCAGATTGGTGCTTTGTTCAACGATCTCGTATTTGAATTTATTGAGTTTATTTGATAAAATAATAAATGAGTTTTTTTTAGAATTTTCTATCTTATTTCTCGCAAACATAGAGTTCAAGTGAGATCAGATATCTCAAAACAAGAAATATTTTTGGACAAAACCAGATTCAAACCTGATTCCCCGACCTTTCCACTTCTAGATCCAGTCTGTCTGAAACGCGGGAACGGACAAGCCAAAGCTAAAGAAAGAAGCAATAGATGCGAAGATTAAACTCGATCCTCTAGAACTCGGATCTGTTTAATTTAATTGTCGAGCTTTTAATTCAATTGTCGATTTCGTGTGAAAAGTGAGAGCCGAGTCAGTCGTCATTCCGAGTCAGTCAGCTATTGAAGTGTCTTAGTTCAAGTGAGATCAGATATCTCGAAACAAAAAATAACATGTCTTGAGTGAAGAGTACTAACTCAAGACGCAAACAATTGTTTGTTTCTCTTTTCCTAGTTTGCGATCAGATTGGGGCTTTATTCATGGATCTCGTATTTGAATTTATTCCATTTATTTGATAAAATAATAAATGCGTTTTTTTCAAATATTCTATCTTATTTCTCGCAAACGTAGATCGTATTCACTGAATAATATGGAGGATTGATAGCGACTGGATTGGCGAAACCGGCACTTTTCAACAAAGCCATTTGCTTCTCTTTCCCCCACATTGTGCCCAAGCAAAGAGCTCCTGAATGTGTTGGGTTACTGTAGAAATTGTCTGGTTATTGAAAGATATTGTATTATTTGGGTTTTAGTCAAAGCTGAAGCTATTCACCTTCCTTATTGCTTCCAACAGGCAAACAGTGGAAAACCGAGCACGCATAGAACATTGCACAACGGAGACCGTCATCGCGTTTATCCTGGAAATGATCATGTTTTGAGATTAGCTGAATAACTTTATTGTTTAGTGGTTAGTTGAATAGCTTTATTGTTTAGAGGTTAGCTGAATATCTTAACTATTAAGTCGTAGAAAGCATCCGAAATACTCTTTCGCTCACCTCAGCCACACTGCTCGATCCCTTGATCTCGACCATTGCAAAGTAGCCGCCTGGCTTGAGAACGCGGTGAATCTCGCGAATCGACTAAAAATAGGTCAAACAACAAGTCAAGAATAGCCCAATAGCCGACTATAGGTTTTCACGCTAACACATCGTTTGATTTCTCAAGTTAAAGGACTAGCATCATACCTTACGCCTTCTTCGAGAGCCTTTTAACAATCCATTCACCGTGAGGCAACTTAAATCTGCATACTTCAACTCTATGCTTGAAAGCATTTACATCAAAAAACAAAAATCAAAAAGTCTGGAGCAGAGTCGAACCCGGCACCTTCTTCGGGCGGTCGTTTTGGAGACGAGAGGCTAAACCCCTCGGCCACGCCTTCCTTTCAACCGACGGCAAAAAAAGGGGCATCATTAAGCAGTTAAAAAGTAGATAATGGCTTTTTAATTTTTTCAGCCTTAGCATAACGTTACTAATCTAACAAAAAGCGCATCTCAAAATTTGATCTGTACGCTGAGAAAACCTCGACATTTGCTTTATACACTACTGGACAATGAAATATCATATTTGAAAAAACACTTTCGCACTTTCGCTCGTCTATAACTCCCTTGTCTTTACCGTATTTCTAAATATTAATATTACCATTGTGTAGCCGTTGAAAAGAGCTTTCAGAAAATGTATAACACTAATAGTTTAAACTCAAAGACATGGGAGTTATAGAGGAGCGAAAGTGACGATCGTTTTTTCAAATATAATATTTCATTGTCCGGTACTGTAGCACTACGGCAACTAATATGATCAAATAAAAGATAAAAAGAATAATTTGGATATAAACTTATTAATAAATCCTTCAAAAACGTGACTTTTGCTTTACTTTCACAAGTTAGCCAATGGAAAAAGGGGCGGAGCGCGTATGCCCGCGGATTTGCGGCTTGATTTTACGAGAGAGTGGCTTTCTATTAGAGCATTTACGGGAACAGCTTTGAAGTCTACTCAAGTACCTGCACTACTGGACAATGAAATATCAAATTTAAAAACGATCGTCACTTTCCCACATCTGTAACTCCCTTTTCTTTACCGTATTTCTAAATATTAATATTACCATTGTGTAGCCGTTGAAAAGAGCTTTCAGAAAATGTATAACACTAATAGTTTAAACTCAAAGACATGGGAGTTATAGAGGAGCGAAAGTGACGATCGTTTTTTTAAATATGATATTTCATTGTCCTGTATATGTCGTAGCCGTTTACGAAATTCAGCCGATTACGAATCATTCGTTAGCGGCTGAATTTCGTAAACAACGGCTACGTATATATAATCTAAAATAGTATCTAAACAATCCAATTGTTAGAACTAACCAAATCTGGTCTCGTTTGATCGTGACAAGCATCGAAAATCGTTACAAAGTCGAATGTGTTCGACCATTCATCCGGCAATTTCGTCGCATCACAACACACATAGCTCTGTAAAAAGAACAGTACAATTGAAAGGTGATCAATTTTATCAATTTCTAACATTGAAACCTTTTCCCTAAAACCTATCTCACCGAATTCTTCGTCCCCTCTTCCTCTTTGTGCTCGTTTGCTGATTTGATCGCCTCTTCCACGAGATCCAATCCAATGAATTCGCTTTTCGGATATGCGTGCGCTAAATGTCAAAAATATTTTATTCATTTTGTTCATTTTTCTCTTATTCCCAACCAAGTACAGCATAAAAGAAACCAAAAATCTGAACGTGCAACCCATTTCCACAACCGATATCCAAACATTTCATTCCACCAGCTACGAGACGATCCTGACATTTTAGTTTACTTATTTTTAAAATCGTTTTCTAAACTTTACTTTGATTGCTTTATTTTGACAATTATAAATGTTTTATTTATGAAATCACCCCAATCCCGTGTCCCAAATCAGGTACAACATTCGGAATGAGAAACTCACGGTGACGAGCCTCTGAAAAAAACAAAAAACAGTTTTTTAGTGCGTTCTCGTTTAAATTAAAACCAAATTCAGGCTTTCAATTCAAGCCAAACCAAATCAGAGTTGTTTTTCTCCTCTTTCAGTTAAACCAAATCTGGCTTTACCAAAAGAATAGTCTTAAAACAACCCTGAAACAACAACAACAACCCTTTCCTCTCACCTGAAATACCCGCCATCAATTCATAAAACTTCGAATAATCCGAGTAATCCAATCCTGAATATCTTTAAATAATATCTTTAAATAATAACTAAACAATAATTATCTTTATTTTCTTACCCAATCTCGGATTTTCCGCCCGAAAAGCGTCCTCTAATTTGTCGCGAACGTCAGCGAAAAGCGGAATGAAACCCATATTAGCAATCCATGGACAATTGAGCAGACTCTGCAATTGGAAACAGCTTCAAATCAAGAATTTCAGCATGTAAGAATCCCTCCAAACATTCGATTTTCAATTTCCCCACCTTTTTCTGCTCCTCTGTCACCCAGAATCTCTCCTCGTCATCGACTTGGAAGAGATTCGCGCACGCCAAACAAGCCAACCACTCACGAACGTAACTAGAAAAGTTGCGTACTGATTGGATTGTTATTTTTAAAAGTTTAAGATATGATCTTAAACAAACCGTGGCTTGCATTTCGCTTTCTCAGCCACTTCATCGGGAGTCACATGATGTGAAGGTGAAGAGACCTCGCAAAGAGCCTGGAAAGAAATACTAAAAACATGAACAACTACCGTAAATACTGTAAGCTATAAAGAATAGTTTGCGACAACATTATACCTACCGTAGATACTGTAATAGTCCCTCGTACCCCTCGTACAGTCGCGTAGTCGCAAAAGTTTTTATTTCTATTTTTAGTATTTCATTTTTTTCAAAGCGCCCGTACTTTCAAAAATACGTCTTTGGTATCAAAAAAATAGCTGAAATTCAGGGCTATTTTTTGATACCAAAGACGCATTTTGTGATACCAAAGATAATGACGGGCGGAGCATCGCGTAGTCTAGCTTTGGACGAGTTTTTCTCGACACTGGTTTATGCTACAATGCTCGTTTAGATATCAAAAAATAGCCCTGAATTTCAGCTATTTTTTGATATCTAAACGAGCATTGTAGCATAAACCAGTGTCGAGAAAAATCCGTTTAAAATTAGACTACGCGATGCTCCGCCCGTCATTATGAGGATGGGGTACTAGTACAGTATTTACGGTAGGTTGATCAGAGCCCGATTTCATCAACGAATCTTTTATCTTACATCTTGCAATCTTGCAAGAGTTAGCGATTTCACCAAATTTCGCGTTCTATTTTGCGCCCCAACGCTACCGTAGCCTTGATAGTTTTTGGCAAAGAGCTTCTTCAATTCATTTTTTTGCAGTTTCCTCAGTTAAAATTAGCTAAATTTACAATTCATCTTTTTTCTTTTCCTAGCCTTTTGTTGTTTGTTGTTTGTTGCCTTCTATAATTTTTTAAATTTAGATTCCCGGCTACAAATAAGATGCCAATTATTGACGGATTCGAAGTGAAGAAAATGTGGATTGCCGTCAACACAGCGTTCACTAGATTTGCTTATCGATATTATCGATACAAACGGCAAGCTCAGGTTTGACCGTTCAGATCTCGGTTTCTAGAACAGCTGTCAATCTGCAAATTGTTTCATTGGAAAGCCAAGATTGTCAGCTTTTGATTGCTTTCTCACACATAGCGAATTCTCATGGGTAAGTGCCTTAAAAAGTTTATCAATACTTATCGATACTCAAATTTCGATAATCGATTCTTTTGATAATCGATTCTTTCGATATCGATAAGTATCGATAAGGTTTATGAGGTTTATGACTCATTAAAAGTCGCTATGTATAAAATCGCAATCAAAAGCTGACATTCTTGCCTTTCCAATGAAACAATTTTCAGATTGATAGCTGTTCTAGAAACTGAGATCTGAACGGGCAAACATGAGCATGCCGTTTGTATCGATAATATCGATAAGCAAGTCTAGTGTTCACTAATGGAGCCTTGGCGACGATTTACCCAATTATCTCCAATTAGACAGCGTGAAATTCAACGGTCATCAAAGGAGAATCAAAATCAAAAAAGATTACAATTGAAACAAAGCTGAGGGCTTTTTGGTGAACTTGAATATTAAAGCTTTAATATTTAATATTAAAGCTGGATCTTTTCTGCTATCAACTCTAGCCATGTCACTCTGTACTTTGTGCTCTCACAAACGAACGCCTTCTGATAGACTTCTCTTTTACAAACCAGAGTCTAAGTACGCTAGAAAGCGTGCGTTTACGAGCACAAAATACAAAATAACTTTTCCTCACCTCAATCAATCCAAGCTTTTTCCCAAGCGCCAACGCCAAACTCGCCATCCCGCCGGTCAAATAAGTCTGAATTTTTAATTCAAATAATTATCGATTCAATTTTTTTACCAAAAGTTGTCGATCGTAGTCACTTGACATTTTTGCTTCAGGGAAAATCTGATTCAAATTTATTCAAGAGCTAATGGCTCAATGATTTTTTTGGGGTTGGCAATGAAATAAACTAATGGAAAAGAATTTCTCGTGGCTAAAATGATATGATAACATCGAATCAGCACAAAAAGGTCATTCAAAAGGGGAAATGGGGGACTTTTTTTTGGAAAGAAAAGAGATCGTCTCTCAAATGTTTCGAGAATAAAAAGAATGATTTGTTAAAAATGCTGTGTACTTTCTATATCTTTACCTCAACTATTTCAAATTCAAATTAATCTTTTCCTTAAAAGTATTGTCCCAATATCGCAAGCTTATGTTTAAATGTATAAAATTTTAGCCAAATAGCAGTCTTGGCTAACATTGCAAAAGTCAAGGATTTAATTCTGATTCAAGCCTTTAGAAGTTAGTTATTGTGATTGTTATTGCTTAGTTATTTCTATTGTTAATGCTTCGTTATTTCTATTGTTAATGCTTAGTTATTGTTATTGCTAATGCTTAGTTATTGCTTTTGCTAATGCTTAGTTATTGCTTTTAGGCTGAAATGAAGGGATTTTCAATGAATGGATTAATAATACACAAATTTTATACGAAAAACTAATGAAATTCAATTGTTTTTCAAAAATTCTTCAAAAGACAATAAAGGAGTGAAGAAGAAGAAGGAAAAGAAGAAGAAATGAGCGCCTTTGGCACCTGCTTTCTTTTCCTTATCACTAAATGAATGCACTTGAGCAAAATGTAAGCCGTAAATTTAGTAAATTAAAGAAGAAAAGTTGAGAAATAAAGATTTATCACTTCGATCATCGCCTTCTTTATCGGAAATTTGCCTCCTTTTATCCATCACTAAAATAAAAAGATTTATTTCGAGAACAGCATATCAAATAATGAAAAACACAAAAGAAAGTCTCAAATGATCGTAAAATTATTTCCAATATATTTGGAGCTTTTCAAAAACTAATTTCTCTTTTTGCTTCACACGGAGTAGCACGTGTGGAACGGGCAAAAAAAAACGAGACAATGATGCCTGTGTAAATCGATGTCCAAAGGGGAAAAGAACACAGAATGATCAACAAAACACAAAGAATGAGCAGCGAGCAGATTGGTTTTGTAGGAAATAAAATTTCAAGTTTAATACTTGTTATATTAGGGATGGGAAGTCGAAATCTAAGCAGAAATGTCTTAAACGAGTCACTGGATCTGTAAGTCACGATAGAACGGACTTCTAAGGCTTCTAAGGACGGACTTCTAAGGCTTCTAAGGACGGACTTCTAAGGCTTCTAAGAACGGACTTCTAAGGCTCCTAAGAACGGACTTCTAAGGCTTCTAAGGACGGACTTCTAAGGCTTCTAAGGACGGACTTCTAAGGCTTGTAGTAGGCTTTTAGTAAAGCCTCAAGCTATCATGCCTGGTCTAGCACGTAATAGAAATATCGATAAAAGATTATATCCTTACAAATGCTCCAATTTACTACAGCTATTTATAATTTAAGAAAAACGCGCAGAACTTGTGTAAACTTTTGAAGGAGCTCATTTGTTGAACCAATTTTGGTAAAGCCAATAGGTTCAACAATTGTGATCGCGTTCACCTGCATTTGTTTGATGCTTATTTATACTCTCATTCTCGCGCTCAAAGAACATCCATTTCCTCTACGTGCTTTTCTTCCTTTTATCATTTGATTGTTTGATCTTTATGATAAAAGGGGAAGAGAATTTCTCAATTTTTGATTTAAAGAACAATTGCAGAAAATAGAAACAGCATAAAGACTATAGAGAAATCGGCTAGAAACAAAAAAATATTTGAATTGATAAGAGAAAAGATATGTCTGGCGAGATTTCAAAGGTGTAAAAAAGGTAAAGTATTCTTTAAATACTAGTATTAGTATAATTTAATATCGAAAAGTGATAAATATTAGGGTGGTGCAAAAGAAACTGCCGATTTGACGGTAAATTTTAAAAAAGATGGCGTTCGATGGTGACATGATCACAATGGAATATTCTCGCAAGATCTCGAGCAGATTGGCATGGATCGGCCTGAATAACGTCCCTCAGCTTGGCTTCGTTCACGACTTCTGGCCTCGAACGGTGCTCGTAATCTTCCAAAGCCTCGTCTCCCTCTCGGACGTTGAAACCAAGTCTGACACTGCCTGAGAGACGAACTGCCATCTCCGAAAGACAGAGAACGAGCAGCACAGAGAGAACGATGCGATTCGGCAGCAGACTTTCCAATTTTGAAGTTAAACAGTAATGCTGCTCGTAGCACAAATGGAATATTTTCGCAAGATGTCGAGCAGATTGGCATGGGTCGGCCTGAATAACGTCCCTCAGCTTGGCTTCGTTCACAACTTTTGGCATCGAACCGTGCTGGTAGAGAGACACTGCCTGAGAGACAAACGGTCATCTCCGAAAGCAGCACAGAGAGAACGATGCGATTTGGCAGCAGACTTTCCAATTTTGAAGTTAAACAGTAATGCTGCTCGTAGCACAAACTTTTGCTCGACCATGATCTAAATAAAAAATATAAGCATTTTAAAATAAAGTAAACAAAAACCAAAAAATTCAAATGTCGAAATAAATAGCAAACAAATATGCGAACAAAACATAAAAGAAATAATGCCGTTAGCATCGCTCGCTTCTGATAAAAGAGCTGATACCCATCGGCAGTTTCTTTTGCACCACCCTAATAGTTACAGTGTAACTTACAATGAGCTTGAAAGTTGAAATTTCAAATCTTGGGATTATTTATTGAGGTGCAAACTTTTTACAAACAAAATCCTGATGCCAAATAAATGAGGCTTTCTTTTTTGCTGAAAATTTGGTGTTATTAAATTGAATATCTTTAGATTTGAAAGAAATTTGTCAGCAAAACAGTTAAACGGCTGAATATCTTTAAAAGAAGTAAGTCAATGGGTTTGAAAAGGGAAAATTGACAGCTAGATACCGTAAATACTGTAATCGTACCGGGAGTGGGACAAATGCGGCCTTTTTTTTGCGCACCCGGACATTTGCGCACCTTTTTTTCCGCACTTAGCCCATTAGCGCACCTTTTTTCGCGTTTTAAAAAAAGCTCTAAAAGCTAAGATTAACCAATTTCTATTCCAAAAGTTGTTTTTCTAGGTAATTTGAGGGCGTAGAATCGAAATTTTGGCATATCAGAGCTTGCGGAAGCGAACGGACGCAGTTATACAAAGAGAAAAATCGAATTTGAATTTCTGTAATTTGATCTAGCCGCTTTGTCTTTCAAATTGGTTCCACAAGCTCTGTTATGTCAAAATTTGAATTCGACACCCGCAAATTACCTAGAAAAACAACATTTGGAATAGAAATTGATTTGGAATAGATATTAGCTTTTTAGAGCTTTCTTTAAAACGCGAAAAAAGGTGCGCTAATGGGCAAGGTGCGCAAATGTCCGGGTGCGCGAAAAAAAAGGTCGCATTTGTCCCACTCCCCTAACAACAACTCAACTTCTAATTTAGCATATCACTTTGTTTTTTTTTTTCTTTTTATTGTTTTGATTTTAAACTTTTCGCAAGATGTCGTTCGCGGAAGCGAACGGACGGAGTTATACAAAGAGAAAAATCAACAATTTTCTGTAATTTGACCTAGCCGTTTTGTCTTTCAAATTGGTATGTCCACGACGAAGCGATCGAACAGTATGTCCTCGACGAAAGCGTTTTCTAAACCTTGTCATTTCCCCGATCACCATAACCTCCTAGTTCTTGTCAATATAAATTTTGGAATGATTTTGTAAGAATTCATAAAGAATATCAAAAGATCAAAAAAGTAGATTGATTGGATAAAAATAGAGACAAGATTACGATAGAAAGAAAAAGCGGACAAAGCTTAGACAGCTTAGAAAACGCAGCAATTGAAATTTCAGTGCAATCAACGCTTTGTCAAAGCTTTACACCGATGAGCTCTATCAGTACGCGCCACTGCCAACTCGTTCTCGTTCGAAAATCGGTCACAATGCAGAAGTCCGTGAATAAATTTTGATAGTACTTCATCAACGCATCAATGTACAGCTGCCTCTTCTGCTCGCTAAGCCCCGTAGCTTTTTGGTAACAAGCTTCAAAATTTGTGGTCAAAATAATGCCTGGCAGACGCGTAAGTGAAACTATACTATGGCACTACTGCACAGTACTATGGTCAAAGTTTTTCAAATTTGGTTTAGTAACAATTTGGTTGGGTCAATTAATAGTCCGGCTGAGTACAGCTACTTAGTACAGTACAATTAGTTGAACTACAGTGTACTATGGTTCTAATAATAGAGCTATTAGAGTGCAATCTTCTACCTTGAAACTATAGTTCTATGTATCTACCGTAAATACTGTAATTGGACCCCACCCCTCTAATAGTACCCCTCTAACAATTTGGTTTGGGTCAGTTCATAAGCCGGCTCAGCTCCTGTACTTTAGTAGAACAACAGTGTACTATGGTTCTAATAATAGAGCTATTAGAGTGCAATCTTGTATCTTGAAACTACATTTCTATGTATCTATGTATGATTTTTCAATAGTTTCCTTTTTGTGAAAATGTTTAGTGTCAAATTTTCGTCAGCGACAAAGACACTTGCTATAAAAGATACTGTCAAAGTGACGTCAAAGTGAATGAGGTTTTTGTCGTAAAAAATTCATTTAATATTCATTTAATATTCATTTAATATTCATCTAATATTCACTCGATAATTCAAATTTAAAGAAATGTCAAGTGAAAGACAGTAAAAGAATTTGTTTGAATGAATCCATAAGCTCCAAAAGCTAATCCATTTTTCATCAATTTAAATTCATTTTTTATCAATTTAAATTCATTTTTCATCAAGTTAAATTCATTTTTCATCAAGTTAAATTCATTTTTCACGTCTTTTATTGAGTTTGACTGGTGAAAGGTTTAGAGAGAAAGGCCAAAAAAAGAGAAAAACAAACTCTTGGTTGTGTCAATGTTGATTTAGGGATAGGGCCTGGGGGTACACACACACACACACACACACAAAACCTTCACTTAGAGACCCACGAAGTTACGCGAATGCTTCGAATTCTTAAATTCTTAAATTCTCAAATTCTCATCTATCTATCTATCTATCTAAAGCTACTGTACATTTTTAATCGAATCTATAAATTTTTCTTCAATTTCTTGAAGTGTTCTTCAATTTGTTACATTATTGGAGTCAAAAAATTGGAATATTAGACTCTGGATTGGTTTTGGGTTTAAAACATCTTGTCCAACCTCTTGTCCAACACCTTGTCCAACACCTTGTCCAACATCTTGTCCAACACCTTGTCCAACATCTTGTCCAACATCACCTCTATTGAGTGCGGCGAAAGTTTTGACCCAGTACCAGTTTTGTAAACCACTCACCCACTCACACACTGGCTTTCAATACCTGTTTAAAGGGTTAACAGTACCTAGTCCTAATCCCTGACCATTCCCACTTCTTCCCCGTCACCTCATCAAGAGGTCGCGGTATCGTTGAGATGATTAGGAGAGGACACGTCTCTCAAGATGACAGTGAAGAGGAGAAGATCACCGGTTCCGTGTCCTTTTCCTTTCCCTTCCTTTCCTTTCCTTTCCTTTCCCGTTTGCCATTCCGAATCAATGTTTGCCTATTTGTCCCCTTTTTGTGAATCTTTTTGATTCGTTCCGATCTTTTTCTTCTTTCTTTTTCTTCTTCCTTTTTTCTTCTTCCTTTTTCTTTTGCCAAGGTGTTCACAGGTCCTGCTTCTGTCACTTCCCGGTTGTCTTTCTTAAGAGTTCTGTCATAGCTGAATATATCTTATCTTTATTGAGTAATAAGATACATTTGTATACTGTAGAAAGTATTTAGATTCAATCAAAGCCAAAGTCAAAGCAAGTATTGATATTCAGTTAAAACCTTTGATATCTTTGAATTACTGTCACCTCCATTGCTTTTACAGTAAGCCGATATTCAGAAAGAATGATATCCAATTGAATATCTTTTTCCGGCATACTGTATTGAGGAAATAGACAGGATTGTAGTATTTTAAACATTGAATTTCAAATATTCATTCCTTTAATGTGATCTTAAACATTTCAATCTCTTATTCAAATCATCTAAAAAGTCATTTATTTCAAAAATTCTGTTTTGACAACTTTGAATCGAATCCGTTTTTTCACTAGCTGTTTTCTAGCAAAAAAGAAAAGCACTGTGCTCACTTCAGGTCTAGACATTTTCATCAAATCCTCAAAGCAAAATATTTGACTTGTTTACAATATTGAAAAACTTGCAAAAGTCCCAATTTGAAAAACATAAATTTGCTTAGTTTTGGTAAAATCTTATTATTAAAATCTATTAATCTATTAAAAGCTATGTTTGCTTGTAGAAATACCGGAGTAGTACACCCACAGTATACATTCCAAAGCCTAAGCCTAATACCGAAGTATTTCTACAGTATGCAAGCTTTTCCACTTAGCTGAATTTCTGATGCTTCTATTGCCTATCTTCTTCCATTTCTCAAAATTCTCCATTTCCACCAAATAATCCATGAAAGTCTGTGTTAGGCCACCGATTTGACGATTCGGGAGGAGACTGGCGCGGAAAAGCGGCTCTCCCGAAAAAAGCTTCACCAGGCCAGGTCTATTTTGGCCTATTTTTGGTCTGTTTTTGGTCTATAGATCCTTTCGACTCCTTGTCGGGAATGGGGCTTACAGATCGGGGAAAAAGGGGTATTGTGCAGCTGGGAGACTGGTGGGGGTGACAGTCAACACTGTCGTCCCCCCCCCTTCCCTTCATCATTTAGAAGACAAAGGATTTCATTATTTGTTTGTTTTTTGTTTAAATTCTTGAGTTAAATCGAACTTTACACGAACTCGATGGGAACTTATTTCCTTAGCTCTTTAGCTTTATCTTTTTAGCTCCAGTCAAGCGACAAGTTACTCTTTAGAAAGCAAAAGTCGTTTGCTTAAAATGGATTTGGCGAAATGCACACCGTAAATACTACCCCACCACCATAATGACGGTGCGGAGTGTTGTGTAGTCTAGCTTTGAACGAGTTTTTCTCGACACTGGTTTATGCTAAAATGCGCGCTTAGGTATCAAAAAATAGCCCTGAATTTCAGCTATTTTTTTGATATCAAAGACGCATTTTTTGAAAAAAATGAAATACTAAAAAACTTTTGCGACTACGCGACTGTACGAGGGGGGTGGGGTACTATTACAGTATTTACAGCATGTCTTGTACAAAATTTCATTTCTTTTATTTGCTAAAGTTTTGTTTTATGGTCATTTTTTAGATTAATTTGTTCTAATTCTAAATTTATTTCCTCATTACAAATTTCAGGGCAAAGATGTTGATGTGCACGAATTTGTGCTTCAAAAAACTCGACGAGAAGATGCACCAAATGGAGATCAACAACAATGAGTACGGTGATTTTGGTGTTTTTTTGAGGGTTTAGATTGTTTTAGCTTTAAAGTTTACTGTTTTTACGGTAATCTTTCGTCCTAATAGTAAGGTTATTGTAGTGAACTGGGGTAGGGCGGTCTTTGATATTAGAATTTGACGGCTGTACCAACTTTTTTTGATTCTACAAGTCGGCAAACTTGTTCAGCGGCTTAAAATAAATAAAAAATGAAAAAAATCTTTGAATATTCTACCAAATCTTAGTCAATTTGAGTTCTTGGAAAGAGCTTTTTAAAGAACTGATTGAGAGCAATCGATTCTTCGGCTTTCATTTGTAAACTCTTCAAAACAACTCTTGCCTCTGTCACTTGTTCAAAGCTTTTGCTACCTTTTGCTATATCTTTTCCAAGCTTAATCCATGCATTCCACTAATTCAAATTTCATTTGCTTCCAAAGAAACTTGAAATCTTGAAATCAATGACGATCTCCAGATAACCCCTGAATCAAATTTCCCAACTTTGTTCATTGAAATCTTCAAAGGCACACGCATTTGGTTAACTTCCGGATAGCATCTTTCAGCTTCTTTTCTCAAAAAACTTCCATTCTTGAACTCGAACTGGGTTTGAATGAACAATTCAATGAGGCACCCTCATTTCTCTCTTTTGCAAACGCCTCATTGCTATGCACACGCAGAAACGATGCGCTCTTTTTTCAGTGTTGAGGTGGACAGGGACACACAACTCTGTCATAGAGCCAAAATAAGCCCTATCTTTCTTGTTTTGATTGATTTGATCATGAAATTTCAGCCAATCAGCTGTTAAAAAAAGATTCATTGTAGAAAATCTTTCAACTTTTCAATATAATTCGTAACTTCTAAAGGTTAAGCAATCATGGGAAACGTCTTGAAAGTTTTGAAGACAAGTGATTCCGAAAAATCTTCTATTGAATCAATTTACCCACTGTTTGGCAGCCCTTTTCAAATGGAAAAGGAAAAGGGCTGCCACGCAAATGCTTCTGAATTAAAAATTTCTATAAATTGAATGTCTCCGGAATTTTTGGTAAAGCGTTTTCAGTTTTGAAAGCTTTCTATTTATTTGACCGTTTTCATCCTCTACTTATCCAATTTTTCTATTTTATTTAGCCCGGGGATCTTGTGAGAAATGTCCAATTGCTAGCCAATCCTCTCTTCCTTCTGTACAAAATGAGTCGTTGGTCTTCTTCATCAACACCCGGAAGGTTTCTTATTCATCTTTTTCTTTTTCAATCCTTTTTTTCATTTCAGTGTTCGTCCTGTTTATGGTGCTCAATACCCACCTTTGAAAAGCCTTTCCGGGAGCCCAGTGAAACAAAAAGACTCAAATTTGAGCAAATCACCGCCGAACAAATTTGCCGATTATGAAAATAGGTTAGGAAGTTTGATTTTTGGTTGAATTCCTCACAAAACAGAGTTCAAAATCTATTTTAAGGGTTAAATTTGGCTCTGCTATCTTTACTTAATTTATAAATTTAGTGTATCCGACGCATGGGACTCTCGTGTGGTGTTGGATCAAAGTGCGGCGTGTGCTAGTGCGGCTCGAGTTTTGGCAGCTCACGCGGCAGCAGCAGCTCGAGACGATGCAATAATGCCTCCTGTTTCGACAGCGCCCACGAAAAACAGCAGAGTACAAGCCATGCAACGATTGGCCATCCAGAAAGGTATGCTTTTCAAAAAATCGTTTTATATCTTAACGTAGCTATTAATCTATGTGAAAGTAAAACTCAAACCTTAGATTATTCAATTTAGAGCCCTTGCCATCTGCATCAGCCCAATCGCAAAGCCCAGTAATTGCCCCATCACCAATCTACCCACGCCTCCCCGAAATCTCCACCGATGATAAAATGCATCCAGATAAAGGTGGGAAAATTTGAACTACAGTTGAGTCTCGTTAGTGAACTACGGAAGGAATCCTAAAAAATCCGGTTACTATTGAGGCTAGTTCACTATCAAGGTGTTCACTAACGAGGTATCGACTGCATTTATGAACTATCTAGAACATTAACTTTAGGAAAAGACAAAGATGTGGCTCGTTTTGATCGTTTGCGGAAAGTGCTTGGCGCAAGAAAGAATAGTGGTGGAGCGAATGGGAGAGCCGATTCACCACCAGCTGAAATTGGTGAGTGTTTCGCTTAAAGTTGCTTAAATGGTATATAGTTATCATTGCTGTATCTGCCACTTTAGATATGGAAAAACTACGAGAAGACTGTTGGATGGGCATTCCGCACAAATTGAGACCGACAGCCTGGAGACTTTTATCGGTAAGACTTAGACCTTATAGTTAGCAATATTACTTGACAATATCAAACCTAAAAGTGAAGAGCCATTATTAAACAGATATGAAAGTTATAAAATCATAAAGCAAGCAAATTTAGGGTTACTTACCACCGAACGTGATCCGAAGAGAAGTGACGTTGCAAAGAAAACGCGAAGAATACTGGCATTATGTTGAACAGTATTTTCACACACGATTTGACGATCATCATAATGACACTTTTAGACAGGTTTATTCATATATATCACTATTTTTATGAAGTAATCGCTTATCATTTATTTTAGATTCACATTGACATCCCGAGAATGTGCCCGCTGATCCCGTTATTTCAACAGAAGCTTGTTCAAGAGGTATTTTTAACATTTTCTAGTAGTAAGCGTTAGCGTAAAAATTTAAGTGTTCTGCAAGAAGTGGGTATATATTTATTTTCAAAATTAGATGTTCGAGAGGATTCTCTACATTTGGGCGATCCGCCATCCGGCAAGCGGTTACGTGCAGGGAATCAATGATCTTGTCACTCCGTTTTTTGTCGTCTTTCTGAGCGAATTCATTCCACAACACGTTGAGGTAATATTTTATGAAACAAAGCGTTAGAAAACTAAACTTGACGTTTAAGTAATACTTTGAAAAAACGTAGCATGTTGGCGGAGAATTCAATACTTTTTTTTAGGTCGGAACTTTTGATGTCTCACAACTACCGAGGGAACAAATCGAGCTTGTTGAAGCGGATAGTTTTTGGTTGGTTTTTTCAAAAGCTTGTTGATGTTTGTGTTTTAAATACAAATCAACAAATACTATTTTCTAGGTGCGTTTCTTCACTACTCGACTCGATCCAAGACAACTACACCTTTGCTCAACCGGGAATTCAACGCAAAGTCCTTCAGCTGAAACATTTGATGAGCAGAGTTGATAGTCAGTTTTTATCTATTGATTAAAAAATAATGTTTAATGATAAAATTTCTAGGACCTCTTCATCGTCATTTGGAAGGAAATCAAGTCGAATACTTGCAATTTGCGTTTCGATGGATGAACAACTTGTTGATGCGAGAGATCCCGTTGAGGGCAACGATTCGATTGTGGGACACGTATCTTGTAAGTTCAAAAATTTAAAGAATCCAATAATTTTCTTTAAAATTTGCTAAGTTTCTATGTTTAGGCCGAGCGAAACGGCTTCTCGCAATTTCACAGCTACGTGTGTGCGGCTTTTCTCCGCGCGTGGAGTAAACAATTGCAAGCGGAGAGAGATTTTCAGGTATCTATAATTTATTTTATCAATCTTTGTTTAACTTTCTGTAGTAATGTTCTATTTTAGGGTATCATGATTTTGCTACAAAATCTGCCAACACAGTCGTGGGGTGATCGAGAAATTTGCGAGTTGACAGCCGACGCGTATTCACTTCAAGCAGTTGGTTTTTTTGCATTTGAAAATGCTTGCTAATAAAATCTAGTCAATTTTGTTAAAAAAAGTTTACATTATCCTGTAAGTTTTTTTTTCAAATCCAAACTTCAAAGCAAAATTTTGTTTTTCAGGTGTTTGATGGTGCTGCTCGACATCTAACTTCCGGGCAATCGAGTCCATAACTCCGAGATTCTTGTGAGGAAATTTGTATATGTTTTTTCTCAATATTCAAATGTACGCTTCATTTACTCTGTGATCACTTTTTTATTGTAAAGAATCGAACACTTTTTGTCATATTTCTAGTTTTTAGCTTTTCCTTTCCGTGCCTGTTTTGATGAGAAATTAATAATGTAACTTATTGCGCAAATTTCTAAGCTTTTTATTGGGCTCGTGTGAAATGTATCGTTTTTTTCTGGTGTAATAACATGGCCAGTATATTTCTATTGTACAGTTAGCATAATTTTGGTCGAATAAACGGTTCTTTAGATGCGAAAAGGAAAATACATGTAAAGATTTTTGTTTTGGAATCAAACAATATTTCTAACACGAAACAAACCTGACTTTCTGGTAGTTATTTTATTTTTTTAAGATGAGCGCCTTGACGGTGCAAAGCTTGGTTCTCTCGTCGTGTACGATATGTCAAGCCGGGACCGAGTTTATACACAGGTAACGCTTTTGGATCGTTTGATTAAACTTTAAGCCAAACTTCAATAAAGCATCTTTGTGGCATAAAATGTTTTTGAAAGTGTCATTGTGTGCAGAATGGTTCAAATTTGTTTACTCAGTCAATCATCAATGCTTTTTTAGGAATATTGAGGGTGGAATTCACTTGGCAACTTTTCTCTCCTTCTTGATGATCTCCACAAAAGGAATTCTCCTCGAAAAACGACTATTTGGTGCACCACAACATATCCCAACAAGGTAAATGACTCAGTATCTATCAAAAAAAATTAAAAATCGGTCCCTTAGGTGCCAATCGATTAGCTCAACTTTTATCTGCTCCATTAGAATTCCTCATGTTTTTGTTTTCAGAAAATATTGGTCGATGGTAACGATTTTCTTCATCGTAAACCTCTGCAATAATTATTCGCTTTACTTTGACGTTAGCATGCCATTATTTATCATTTTTAAATCGGTAAGTGCTTTTTTTGTTTTCTTTTGGAAAAGCTATTTTAGGGATCACTTCTGGCAAATTTGCTATTGACGTGGATCATTCGACGACAAGTTTATCCGTTCTCCAAAATTTTGGCTATCATTGTAACGACGATTGGTAAGACTATCATTCATTTCATTGAAAATCTTTTTTTTTAGGTTTGGCCATATTCACAATCGCTTCATCGACGAGAAAACCACAATGGGTTGCTCAACCGCCGGAATGGGTGAATTACATCCCCGTATCACCGTTTTGGATAGGTTTGTTGGAATTTCAGTTTAAAAAACGTTTCTTTTAGGAGTGATTTTGATGTCAACAGCGCTCTTCCTCTCCGCTTATCTTGGGATTATGCAAGAGGACTTGTTTCGGACGTATGGAAGACATCACGAAGAGGCGCTTTTCTTTGTGGTTAGTTGCTAAAAATAGTATTATAACTTGGTATAAAATTATTATGCTAAAAATAAGTTTTATTTAGCACTTCCTGTCGCTTCCAGCTTTTGCTCTTGTCGGTGACTCGTTGCTTCACGCGACATCCGGTTTATACAACGTGGAAAATGTTATTGTAAGTACACTTATAGTCATGTAAGTCTAAATTAAGTCACGTTGCTCATTTTAGATAGGTGGTTATGATGTTCCCGTTTGGTTCTTATTCTTCGCCTCTTGCGCTTTACAGTAAGCTTTCAAAGATTTATGACCTATATTTTTCAACTCTAGGCTCATTTGTGCGGGATCAGTTTTCCGATTAGCATCCGTTTCCTCGTCTCTAGATGTAACAATGCTCTTGTCAATTCGAAAAGTAATCTCCGTCCAATTATCGGTTTACTTGTATGAGAATCAAATGACCTCATTTCATTTCTTTGGCGCTTTAGCCGCTTTCATTGGTAGTGCGCTTTTCTACATGTAATTATTGTAAAAACTAAGAATCTATCCTTTTTGTTTTAAACCTTTTGTCGCTTGATGTATTTAGGCATGTTTTTATGTATATCACTTTCAATTTTACGGGTTACTAACGTTCGGTTGTTCGATGTCTTATTCTAATAAATTTTTCATACAAATTCTAGCAACTCTTGACTAGTTCTGTCTGTGCTTTACTTGGTGACCAATTTATGAGAGAAAATGTGAAAAGCTGAAAGGTTTTGCTTTTCCAATATTGTTTTAAATCCATGACAAAAGATAAGCTTGAAAATTGAACCCTTTGCAATGAACGCGACCCTGCAATCGTAAAGTGTTCAACGGCGGAATCATCGTTTCATTTTGCTCCAACATTTCAGAACCATTCCTTCCACTTTTCCACGTAATTGTCGTGTGTTCATTTTGTTCATTCTAGTCTAATTTTTCTATTTACAGGGCCACGACGCACGAATGCACAACATGAATCAGCAACCTCATCCTGGAATGCCTCAACACCAGCAAAGTCCATTGATGTCGGCACTTGGTGGACCGCAAGGAGGAATGGACGGGAATCAGTCATCGCAAGGACCTCCTGGTATGCAAGAAGGAAACTTCATCGGCGGTGGGATGAGACCAATGCAACCCGGCGGAGGACCAATGCGAGGACCCGTCGGTGGACCTGGGCCAATCCGACAACAGCCAATGATGCAAATGCAAGGACGATTGCCTCCGTATATGCAGAATCAGGGACCGCCACAGAGACCCGGCTACTCTGGCCCTCCACCGCCACATCAGGGCCCACAAGGATCGCCGATGCCAATCATTCCGGGCAGAATTGTGCAGCAACCAGGACCACTTCGACAACAGCCGTATCCTGTGCAAAGACCTGGAATGCCGATGTCTTCGATTCCACAACCGCAGCATCTTGTACCCAGGCAAATCACTGGTCCACCACCAAATATGCCGACGGGGTCTCTGCAACCAGGGGCGCCAATGCCAAGAGGTGCATCTCCAGCACCACCACGGCCTCAAGCATTTCAACCGCCTGTCGCCAACCCACCCCCATCTGCGATGCCCCAAGTACTTGATGGAAAAGCGGCTCTCATCGACAAGTCGCGATTGGACAAAATCGTACAAGAAATCGATCCACGGTTGGTGCTAGATGATGCCGTGAAAGAAGCGCTAATCGAGATGAGTGACGAGTTTGTGAGTGATCTCATAGAAAAAGTTTGTGTGCTAGCTCAACACCGTGGAAAGGTCTCCGTTGCGAGTGGTGACAACAATCATCGGCTTGAAGTGAGAGATGCGGAATTCGTGTTGAACACCGTTTACAAGATGCCTCATCCACCGCGAGCCGCTGTTCACGTTTTTGGGAGCCGCAGCACCAGCGAAAGCCGATGATAAACCTCCAGCCACCTATGCGCACCAGGCTCGACTTCAGCTAATACGAAAAAGTTTAAAAAAATAATTCATGTTTAGTTGTTGATTGTAACTTTACCATTTTTATGTAAAGCGGGTGTGACTTTGTATCTCATTATTGTAAATTGATTTATCTGAGGCCTATTTTTTCAGCAATTTTTCACTTCTCTAATTTAGACTTATTTACCTTGTTGCAATAATAAAAGTGTTTAGCCATTATGGAACAAGTTAGTTCCCGTGTCGAGGGTGAGCATGTCGAAAAGATGTCTGCTCCTGCGGATTCAATTGGAAAGGTAAATTTTAAGCACAGTGTCAAATTCTAGCCGGGATCCAGCAATTCTATTAATTTTAGACCTCCCAACAAGCTTTGGCATCTACAGATGTGATCGAGACGGTGACTGCGAGTGCCAAACCGGAACAAACGATGCCAGCGGAATCCCAGAAACAGGACAATCCTTTTGATGTCGCTAAAGAAGTGAGTCTTAAACTGCTACAATTACATACAACAACATCCACATCGCGTCGTCCAATCATTCATGCTATTTGTTTTAGACCATTGACGACCTTGTCACCGCGACGGAACAATCGACAATAATTAATGATGGAGATCACAAAGAGATTGAAGATCCGTTAGTATTCTTAAATTGTGGTCACCAATTATTATCAACTTTAGGAAGCTTGATCAAAGTTTTGAGACAGCGATCTCGAGCCACTCTGTCAACACGGCCATCCTCAACGAGAATGTCTTGGATCATTCCGGTATGTCGAAGGATTCTGTGGGAACGGCAATTCTCAACGAGAATGTCTTGGATGGTTCCGGTATGTCGAAGGATTCTGTGGAAACGGCAATTCTCAACGATGCGGCCAAGGCTGCTTTGCGAGAGGAGTCCCAAGATGTGACGCAATCATCTGTAGCTGAGGACGAGCTGAATTCTTCTAAAGCTGAGGTTTTAGTTGCAATACCTTATACTCTAAAGTCTAAATTTTAGAAGCCGATAGTTGACATGCCGAGAACTGATAGAACTGCAGCTGGTCAAGATGTGGATACGATTACTGCTTCTAAGGAAGAAATCGATGATTTAACAAAGTATTTGCTAAAATAACTTTTGCACATTTCCACTGTTTTAGATTAATGGCCGAAGCATCTTTTGAAACTCCAAGCGCGACTTCAAATGAAGGCGCGAAGCACATTCATTTTGAAGTGACGCTCTTGTAGCTTCAATGAAACAAAAATTTGTTTAGACTAAGAAGATCTCATTTGGTGAGGTTCCATTAAGAATTGTGCTGCAAAAGGTGAATGGTGCGTGCCCACTTCTTGCGATTGTCAATGCTTTGGCTCTTAAAGGTAATTTGTGAGCCGATTATGTAAAACAACGAGCGTTTAGGTCAAATTACGCTTCGTGACGTTCCTCATGTTTCACTTGCTGAGCTCAACGAGATTGTTGGCGACTGTCTACTTAGGTTTGATATTTTTCGGAGTTCCATAATAATTCTCTTTCAGACTCAAACCTGAGCTGCCTGTTAATGAAGAAGGCAATTATAACAAGGTAGGGGTTTTTGAGTTTAAAACAAACTATGGTATATTTTAGGCGTTGACTGATGTGATCAATTTGATTCCGACTCTTAACGAAGGCCTGACAATCAACGTGCATTTTCGCAGTCCACATGTAAGTTATTAGCTTAATTCATTGACATGAAATTTTAGGATTTCGAATTCACACCAGCTTTGTCATTGTTCGACTTGGTGGGCCTCAATCTTGTTCATGGATGGCTGCCCGACCCACAACTTCAGGAACTTTGTGAGTTACTTTATTAATCCAATTAACATAACACGTGTTAAGGCGCTCTTCTTGGATCAATGAGCTATACGCAAGCTCAAATCAAAATGATCGAGAAAGAAGGCGACACTGACGGACTGATCATCGGAGAATTTTTGAACACGACTGCCAATCAGCTCACTTATTATGGTGAGTTGGCTCTTATTTGTGTTATGTTTTTGTCATTTAGGTATCTTGGCATTAACCGAAACGCTTAAAGATGGAGAAGTTGCCGTGCTTTTCAGAAACAATCATTACTCGACTATTTACAAGCGTCGGGTAACTTTTTAACACTTTTAATGTTTTAGGACAGTTTTAGGACGAAATCTTTTCCCTGTGCACTGACTCCGGATTTAAAAATACCCCAAATGTGGTTTGGGAAACCTTGTGTGTCGATGGCGATTCTTATTTTGTTAATAGCAATTTCAAGTAATGATTTGCAAAATTATTTTTATTAGACGTTTTTAGGACCAGTGCCTCGACTCCTGTAGATCATCAAGACGATGCGCATCAAGTGTATGAACATCAAACGGACGAGCAAATAGCCCAATCGATCCAGGATCAAGAATTGGCCCAACAACTCCACGATCATGAGCTAGCAGTCCAGAAGAAACGTCAAGAATCGGCCCGTCGTCAACAGGCGCAACCTCAAGGCGCAGTCCCACAGCCAGCGCCAGAACCTGCCTATCAAGTGGAACACCCTGAACTTCCTCGTCCAAAGTCTAAAGTACGTAATGTTATTGTTACCAATATATTAATAATGCTTTATTTAGTCTGTTTGCTCCATCATGTAACGTCTTCGCAGGAACAAGAAGCTTCCCAAATGCAATCAATATACACCTATTGTAAATTTGTACATTTTCTTGTGAATATTTCATACATTTAGCATTATCGTTTAGCTTGTGATTTTTAGCTTTATTGTTTGCCGGTGCCTGTAAGTTTTGATCTGCCTGTGATTTTCATTAAATTTGCCTTTGAATTCTGTGTGATGCATTGCTGGGAAACATTTTGTTTGTTTGAGATAAAGATGAAACATTTGTATTTCATCTTTTGTGGATCTTTTGTATTCTCTTGACGCAGAGTGAAATGTCTTTCGAAAGGGAAAAGAAACGTTGGAAATATTGGGAAATACCTAGCGTGATAAGGCGTCACGTCATTTGGCTGATCGAAAATGTCACTAAAGATTGTCAGTCAGATTTTTTTGATTGCTTCAATGAATAGTTTATTGAAAGGTTAAAATTTTACCAGAATTCGATATTCATTGGTCAATTTTTCTTGTGTCGTACCAAAAAAATTTAATTGATTTACTTTATATTTGATTTTATGATTTTAACGAACAAGCAATAATTTATTGGTTTAAAATATCGAGCCAGCGTTTTTAAACTCCGGTTTTTCTGGGTTCTTGTTTTGTACTTAACCCTGGATTGGCATTTATCTGCCAGAGCTCTCAGTTTTTGCTTTCAGAAATGGCCACCGAGAAACCGCTTTGCAAATATTTTGCCAACGGAGTCTGCTCAAAAGGAGAAAGGTACAATTTACGAAAAATACTCAATTGTTAGTTGTGTTTTACTTTCAGATGCAAAAATAGCCACGACAGAAATGTTCCAACGAATGATGTGTGTCGCTACTACAGAGCTGGAAGGTAAATATAAAAAGTTTGCTCTATAGATTAAGTTGCTTTAGTTGCTCGTATGGAAGAGAATGTCGATATGATCACATCAAACCGAAGAGTCAACTACAGTCAAATGTTAGAACAAGGTTTGCAATTTGCTTGTTATACCAATTTATAAAGCTTTTAGTTCAAACTTTGCCGGCACTTCTGGATCACATAGGAGAGTTGAAGGTAAAACTTCTGAACTTTAGAGGAAAAATAATCTATTGTTTAGGTGGAAATCGCGCTCCAAAACCCATACAATTGGATGCCTTTCTTCCAGCTGAAACATCGTTTAACGTCAATGCGCCAGCTTTTGTCCCTTCATGGCTGAAAGAAGCTCGTAAGTTGTCTAGTAGTCTCTGGCATTTTAAAAGGGATTGTTTTAACATGAAGAGCTTTTTCTGCTGGATGATATTAAAAACTTGAATGGTTTAGTAGAAGTCAAAGTAATTTAAAAGTTTAGCGTCAAACTACGCAAGTGCCGCCGGTTCAGTGCCCACGCCCAAATTGAGACCTCTTTGCCCATATTTCGAGATTGGTGACTGTCCAAAGTCTGAGGAGGAGTGAGTTTATCAATTTTTAACTCAATTATCAATGTTTAGCTGTGAATTTGTGCACGGAATACTTTGCGAGACATGTTTCAAGGCGTGTTTACATCCAGATGATCCTGAACAACAACAACATCATCGTGCGGTTGGATTATTTTTGCAATTTCTTGAAAATTAAGCTGACATCAAAGTATTATTAACAATTATGCGTTTAGGAATGCGTGAAACAACACGAGATGAACTGTGAAATGGCCTTCATCGAACAGCGAAGTTCGGATAAACGCTGTGGTGTTTGCCTGGAAGCAATTTATGAAAAGGTTTTTAATATTTAGGTTATGTAGCTAGGATAGAGTTTAGAATCTCCGTTTTGGTATCCTTGAAGGCTGCACACATTGCTTCTGTTTGAAGTGTATCAGAAATTGGCGAAAGCAGCAGGAATTTGAGACCGATGTGATCAGGTAATACGCTTTTAAAATTAAATCAAATTCATGAAATTATTTATGGTAAAAAGTACTTTTATTTTTAGATCTTGTCCGGAGTGTCGTGTTCATTCGAATTTTGTTATTCCATCGGTTGTTTGGCTTGAAGAACCCGAGGAGAAAAAAGTTCGTCAGTATGTAATTCTTTTTACAACCACCTTTAGGTGATGCTTGATGCTTACAAGGAGAACACGGCAAAGAAAATTTGCCGTTATTATCAGGTTTGGAACAACTGTTATGTATCTACCTACTTTTTCTAAGGGCTCACAAACGGGTGATGGGGATGGTTGTCCGTTTGGGAACAAATGCTGGTATCGTCATCAGTTGCCTGACGGTTCGATTGATCCTGGAAAAGAGCCTGGGTGAGTTTTATTTGGATGAATTAACGCCTTAACCAAAACAATATCAAATTTTTGTATCTATGGCCCAATTTTTAATGAATAGAGCATTAAAAAGTGAACTTTTTACAACAAATACGATAATCTAATTTGATCTTCAAATTTTTAATGAACATTATCTGTACAAAACATATATTCTTTTTAGTTCTCGTCGACTTCCGCGTCTCTCGCAATTCATCTTTGCCAACGACGATGATGACGATGCTGACTTTGGTGATCACTACGAGGAACTGACTCGTCTCCTTCGCAATCTGCTCAATCAAGGACTGCTCAATGAAACGGATTTCGAATAAGTCTCCTTTTCTTATTGATTAGACTTTTAATTGAGTCTCTATTCTGCTTACATTTACGGTTATTTTATAGAAGCAAGTACAGTCAATTCTTTAAGTATGTAACGCTAAAAGTTTTAAATCATACTGCGTATTGACTGTACTCTAAATTAGGCAAGAGCCATATATTTTGCCCATCCATGTAATACTTTGTTTATTTGTAATACCATGAATTTGTTAGCCTTGTTGAATGTTTGGTTCTAATCGATTTTGCGTTAATCTGTGATCATTTGAAATTGTTGGCAGTTGCGGAAGTAACGATATTTTTTTAATGTTATAAAAACGTTTCCTTTTACCAAAGCATTGTATTAATGTAGATTTTCTTTTGAATTGAACTTTCGTAGCTGCTTTTTGAGTGGTCTTTGAAAAACCGAAGGGCGGAGAGGATTTCGATGTCGCGAAGACGAGCCGTGTACTCGAGAAGTAGTTGGTGATCGGGCTAGGGTTGGAGTAAAGTTTGCCATAGAAGAAAATAATATTTGTTGCAGAAAACCCGTAGCTACTGGATAAGTATTGTCAGTCTAGGTTTAAAATGAAGTATACCAAGAAACTATTTTCTTTTGTCTCTTTCAGAATATTCTCACTAATTGATTGAAGTCCTCAAATGGATATGGTGCCAAGAAAGCGAGCGTTTTTGTGAGTTCATCATTTGCACAAGTAAATCCGTCCCATTCACCATCGCAACGAATGAAAATGCGAAAGAAATACGTGTCCACGGGACTGAAAATGATTTCAAAAAAAGCATTTGCTTAGCGCTTACCCATCTCGTTCTTTCAGTAATCCGGTAATGATCAAAAGTCGATTGAATCGTTCAATGTAACTTTTTGTTTCTTTTTGTAGAGCTCTCCAGAATGTGTTCAAGAATTGAGGATCGGCCGGGAAAAGGAGCGATTTTTGAGAGCTTAAGCCTAAAGGTTGTGGAAAATTACTGTATCTCGAAGAATTTTAGGAAGGATTCCCTATTTAGCCTAACTCTTTGGCAAATTGTCTCTACTAGCACTCACCATCACCGACAGCTAATATTCCTTGTCCATCACCGACCAAATCATTTCCATTCACTTCCATAGATGAGGTAACCATTTCGAGAACGATCTTTTCTAGAATTGTCGTTTATATCTCGAAGAATTTCTCTAAATACCGTTTCCAGAATCGATCACAAAGGTGTTATCGTTGATTTGATGATGACAAAATTGTTGGGACCCGTCTTGATCCAATGGAAAACGGATTGTTTCGAGTCCTATACAGGCACTAAAATTTTTGCTTTTTCAGATTTTTTTGAAGAGAAGTGCTTGACTCAAAAAGATTTTATTGTTTTTCAAATTTGCATCAACTTGGTGGGGGAAGGGAAAAAGGGATCATCGAATACGAGATAATCTTTTCTCTTTTTCTTTTAGGTTTTCTTTTCTTTTCTTTTCCAAAATAGGTTTTGAAAAATAATTTCTTAAAACAGAATTCTCTTAAAGAAGTCAACTTCTCAAATCATTTACCTGATTTCCTTGTCATTTTCATATAGTGGATCGATTCGTTTTATCGATTCCTTTAATGTGTTCCATAGAGCTCCCTCGGTTCCATTGTTTGGCTTAGGATCTATTTGTAGAATGTCTAAATGTTTTTTTCTGAAGTTAGAACGAATATTTTAAAAGCCTACTTGCGAATAGATTATAGTATTCGATGACTTGAAATGCGGGCACCACTTTGGCCCGCTTGAACGCGGGTCCCATCGCGAAGAAAACGGTGTTCATCTATACAATGAAAACAAAACAACAACAAAAAAGTCATCTTTGGAGAGGTTAAACTCAATTTAACTCAATTTAACTCAATTTAAATCAATTTAAATCAATTTAAAGTAATAAATAAACTGTAGGATATTAGAAAGCATTATAGTATACACCCTATAGTCTATTTTCTTTTAAACCTCCGGCAAAATGTAATCCCATCCGTGATTGCTTCCTAGATTCACTCGCGGCGTTTTTGGATAAGGATAACTGAATAGGTTTTTGAACAAAAAAAGATAACTAACTGAGAGTGAACAAAAGTTTAAAACCAAAACAATAACAAGAAAAAAAAAAAAGTGATATGCTAAATTAGAAGTTGAGTTGTTGTTTGTTCTTAATAGAGTGTGTTCTATACATTTCGAGTGTCCCCCCCTGTGTCCCCCTTTTGCCCCCCTAAGTGTCCCCCTAAAGTGTCCCCTTTTTTTTCATATCAAATCACAACTTTTTAAATTTTTCATTGATCATTGAGTTTAAAAAGTTAAAGCACATTTGGAGAGCAAAAAGTTGTGATTTGATATGAAAAAAAATAGGGGGATACTAGGGGGGGACACTTTAGGGGGACAAAAAGGGGACACTTTAGGGGGACACTCGAAATGTATACTCGCGAGTAATGCGTTTTTTAAAACGCACACTTGGGAAAAAATTACCGTACTTTTAGCAAAAATTATTGCAAAAAAATGACGCAAAAATGACGAGCCCCTCATTATATACGACACTTTTTAAAGATACTCAGCCGTTTAACTGATTTGGTGGGAAATTCCCTTCCAAAGTAAAAACTGATTTTTTTTTTTGGAAAACCTGCGCAAAAAAAATTGCTTTTTTATGGGGGTGAGACAAATGCGACCTTTTTTTTGCGCACCCGGGACATTTGCGCACCTTTTCACCCATTATAACAAGGACTGCCCTAGACCCATATATAATCGTTTTGTTAGATTCCTATTAACGTGTAGTTTTAAGGGATTGGCGCGAAAGCGGCGTGGTGCACTTTCCAAAGCGTGGATGCGCTAAAAAGTGCGGAAAAAAGCGAAATGTCCGGGTGCGCAAAAAAAAGGTCGCATTTGTCCCACTCCCGCTTTTTTATATTTTTTTTCGCGCAGGCGCACTTTTTGGAAAAACGCATTACTCGACAATTACTCGAACTATTACTTGAGTAAAAAATTACTCATGCAAATTTACTCGAGTTATTGCAAATTACTTACTCGCGAGGAACACACTCTAGTTTTTAAAACTGCCTCACAATCCGACTCTTGTCCCCGGATCGCCGACAACGAGCAAATCGCCAACACGTTTTGATATCGAATAGTGAAATCTAAAAGTAAACTGATCTATTATTGAGTTTTAAAGCTTTAAAGTAAAGTAAGGAATGGTAAAGAAAGATTAAAATATTAGGAGAGGTAGATTAATAAAATTGAAAAAAATACCTTGGCGGTAAAGTTTCTCGATTGTAGACTCGGAAATGCGATCGTTGAGGATCATTCTTGAGGCTTTCGATAGCTTTAACTGATGATAAGCCTAAATTTATCAATTCGGCTTATTTCTACATCCCTGACTATTGGATATTGTTAGGATTTTAAGGATTTGTTTTTAATTTTAAGGATTTGTTTTTAATTTTAAGGGTTTACGGATGTTAGGCTTAGGCTTTTAAAAATTAACCTCCATCAGGCAAATAATAACGAGCAATTGCATCACCGAATGCGTATTTGTACTCGACGGGGAAACGAGTTGCGTTGACGACTTGATCTTGATTTGTGAAACCTAAAAGACTTTAATGAATTCGATTTCTTGAATATTATAGTATTATTATTTATTACAATCTTTATACCCGACCATGATCCGAGAAAAAGACAATATTTGTGCAAGAGAGACGATTTGCTTTGTGGAGAACATTGAAGAAAGTGCCGATTGCCTCATTCAGACGTTTCAAGATTACGGTAAGCTAAAAAGTAACGACAGCTTACGGTAATTAACTTTTGATCGATCTCAAAATTCTACTTCTACCCACTTCAGGTGAATCTTTCTTTGCTAGATGTCTCGTTTCATCCGGTTCATTAATATATCCAATGACGAGACCAGGTCGGAGCTCTTTTGGCTTCAAAATCTCACCGATTATCTAAGAAATTGATTTAAAGATAAAACCAGTTTACTACTCGATTAAACACATGCTCCATTGGGACATTTTCGAAGATCTCTGTCACATCGGGTCGATGATCTGAATGGCGGTTTAGACTGGCTGAAGTACAATTATATGCTCTCACACGGATAATGATAACATCCTGGATAGTAAAGACAAGAGACACGTTTCCCAGTTTGGCGGCGATAAGTTGACCAGATCTAAACATAAAGATAAACACCTTAAAATCCTATAAGTGCAAGAAAAATGTTTAGCTTGAAAATGGACTAACTGGTTCACCGTTTGTGTAAAAATCGTAGAGATGCGTTTTTCGAACGTCCACAAAATTTGGAGACAATGATGGATCGTAGATCTAAAAAAGAAATCAGTTTTTCTTCATTACCCAACATTTTTCTTCATTACCCAATTCTCGATAATTCCATGGTATCCTGGATAAAGCCCGGTCATCATTGTGTAATGATTGGGAAGGGTTTTTGAGGGGAAAACGGGTTTAACGTGCTGAATTGAGGGATTTTGATAAGTAGAAGTCTTTTGAATGAATCAAAAACCTCCGCTCGTACACCCCTTTCGGCCATGAGATCAAGATTTTCGAGAATCCCTCGATTGAGATATTCTTCAGCTAAACCGTCAAACGAAATGATCACTAATGGACTTGGATCAGTACTAAAATTCACATAAAATTGGATAAACTTTTAAAAAAAACCTCTGACAACTCTCCGTTTCCTCCAAACTTTGCGATTCATAGAACCAGGAATGTGCGTGAGCTGAATTAATTGGATCATTGGATTATAAATACCGTATTCTCTCTAATAGAGGTGCACTCTTTAATAGTATTGCGGTCCAGGAGGGGGTTCAAAAAATAGTAGTGCGCACTACTATTAGAGAGAATACGGTATGTGTTTCTAAAAGATAAAGTAATTCCAAACGAGCTACGGTAGTTCTTTTTGAATTGAGAACGAGTAAAGTAGCTTTGTGTAGGTAGTAGACATAAGAAAATTCCAACTTGAACCTAATTCCACTTTCGTCTTCTCAGCCATCTCTTGCCCGATTGCTCTGAAATTTTGTCTACAAGCAGTGACAATTTCTATTTGTAAACAAAATTTCAGAAGAATTGGTCAAGAAAACAAGGGTGGAATTAGGTTCGGATTGGAATTTTCCCATGTCTACAACAGAGATAAAATCTGTAGAGAAAAGGAACTAAATCTGTATCTAAAAGGAACCAAATCTATAGACAAAATGAACAACAGAGATAAAACTAAAGACCTCTTTTTGAATACCATTTTAAAAGACTCACTTTTCTCTCCGACAAACTCGTTGATCACCCAAAGCGATAAAGCACTCGTCAAAAATACGCATCCAATGATGAGAGAATATTTCTGAACAAATTTAAAATTTAAAAATTGAATTTCAAATACCTTTAGCACATTGAAATTGACAGGGAAATCTGAAATTTTTGAGAATTTGAAAATTTTTCTTTTATAAACCTGAGCCAGCCCATTTTCGAGGCGAATTTTGACTTGTGAAGGGTAAAATTTGATTGCTAAAGTTTAAAAAGAAATTATTTTTGAAAATCTAAACCTTTTCCCATCAATTATCCTTCCAATCACAAGAGAAATGAGCTGAGAAATCGTTTGATTCAGAAAGTTTACAGAAATAATAAAATTTGAAAAAGTTTTCATAGCTAAAAGAATCGTTTTTGAGTCAAGAAATACTTGAGATAAAATATCTTTGCGAAATCGGCCGATTTTTGCGCGCGTTTCTCTCGTTTTCGCAAGTTTTTTTTGGGGCAAAATTAGGTTCCTTTTTGCAATGGAGAGCAAAAAGGTCAAAATCATAACATGGGAAAAATTTCTAGACAAGGGAAAATGGAGAAAATGAGAAAAAGATATTATGTTGTCTAGTTTTCAAGTAAAGATGTGTAATTAAAGATGTGGAAAGCTCTGAAATTAGTGTAGAATCGAAAACGGAAAATAGACTTTCAAAGGCTCTTTCGGGGCTAGGCTAATTTCCGCAATTTTTTTTTGCGCAACAGGTTCATTTGCTCAACTCGCCATAACTTTCTTCTAAGTGGGTCAATCTTTATGATTTTGGTTTTATTTTGTAGCTCTCAATAAGTTCTACAAAATAAAACCAAAATCATAAAGATTGGCTGACTTAGAAGAAAGTTATGGCGAGTTGCACGAATGACCCTGTTGCGCAAAAAAAAATTGTGGAAAGCGGAAAGCTTATATGCTCCTTTATTGCGTAAAAGATATTCAGCTCGGGGACTAAATAGTAATACATCCGCTCTATAAAACGATTTTTTTCAAACGAAAATCATTCTTCTCTCGTTGCGAAGCGAGCCATTTTTACGGTTTACATTAATTTTTTTTTATCGTTGCTGCCTCATTTTTTCCACAGTTAAAGTTATTATTTTAGAAGATCATGGCCCACGATAATCAACCGCCACATCCCGCAACACCTCAGCAGCAGCAAAGTCAAGGGACGCCAACTTGTCGCCCACGGGAAGACGGGGATCAAGCATTGCAAGGACTACCCATTCTTCATGAACAGCGACCAAGCTTCACGGGTGGAGGAATTCGGGGAACCGGTGGTGGACCTGGACCAATTCGACAAGCACCTAGAGTGCAAATGAGGATCGTGCACGCACCGCGTCAGCAAATGAATCAACAAGTGGAGATGATGCAACCACCACGACAACAAATGAGTCAGGAGATGGTCCATGCACCACGACAACAAATGAGTCAGGAGATGGTCCATGCACCACGACAACAAATGAGTCAAGAGATGGTCCATGCACCACGACAACTAATGAGTCAAGAGATGGTCCATGCATCACGCCAGCAAATGGGTCAAGAGATGGTCTACGCACCACGTCAGCAAATGGGTCAGGAGATGGTCTACACACCACGCCAGCAAATGAGTCAAGAAATGGTTCACGCACCACGACAGCAAATGACTCAAGAAATGGTTCACGCACCACGACAACAAATGAGTCAAGAGATGGTCTACGCACAACGCCAGCAAATGAGTCAAGAAATGGTCCACGTACCACGCCAGCAAATGAGTCAACAAGTGGAGATGGTGCAGAGACAAGCATCTTTCACAAGTGGAGGAATCCGATTGATCCCCGCTCGAGGACCCATTGCCGGACTTCCAGTTCGACGCCAGCAGCCTAGTGCTCCAATGCACGGACGATTGCTTTTGCAGGGACCACAGGGCACCCCGATGGTACCAATGAGAATCGTGCACCCGACACCAGCTCTTCGTCAACAAATGTACCCGGCGGCGCAGAGAGAACCCATTCCTACAATGCCGCAGCCGCAACGCCTTGCATCGAAACAAATCACTGGCCCACCGAGTGCCTCAATTATCCCGGCAGGATCGAGAACTCCACTGCCCAAAATGGTCGTCGGAAAACCGCCTCTCATCGAAAAGTCGCGCTTGGACAAAATCGCGAAGGAAATCGATCCGCATTTGGTGTTGGATGATGTTGTGAAAGATGCGATCATCGAGATGAGCGACGAGTTTATCAATGATGTCATTGATAAAGTTTGTGTGCTAGCCAAAAATCGTGGAGCACTCTTGGTGGACGGTATAGAGGGCCCTCATAAAATTGAGGCTTCCGACACGCGACTTGTTCTGGATACCGTTTACAAGATCCCATCTGCACCATGTGAACTTATTCGCGAGTCGAAGGGCGAACCGGCAAAAGTCGAAGAAAGACCACCAGCTTCATATGCTCAACAAGCTCGAGCTCAATTGAGCAAGAATCTTTCGAAACAGTTTGATTACTTTAATGGTTAATGTATGTTTTCATTTTTGCGAATGTTACTTTTTATGTTTGCTAAGCCTTCTTATGTTGCTTGTTTGATAATTTGGCATTACCTGGCTTTTATAATTTGCAAATTTTAGAAGCGTAACCATGTATTGGGTGGATGCAAACGGAGACCACCCGCAACAGATGATGGACCATCATGCGGCAAATGAGCAACAGCGAGCGCTCTTCGAATACTACATGAACAATCAGCGACACCATACAAGGGGTATATTTTTTTACGTTAATCTGTTACACATGGTGAAGGATAGTCATTAGAAAGCTTAGCTAATAGACATCCCAGGTCAGAGTTTACAGATTTTTAATTCAATTTCAAAATTCCCAAACAAATGCATCACCGGGAATTGGTCATGGTTGTTTGAACGGTTTTTAAACAAACTTTCTAATTTGTTGATTGTTATTATGGGTGACTTGTTTCACAAAGAAGTAATGTTAAGATCTTTATTGAGTACTTTGTACCGGTCAACGGTTAACGAGCTCTACATGAGTTACATGAACCTTTTGATGGCCAAGGTGTTACAAAATAAAACTTTTATTAGTTCTGCTTCTACTAATAACCTTTTTTAGGTGCGGTGGCTCGTGCTCAAGCGGCTGCCGTCTCGGCGATGAACACTATGCAACCACATCAGCAATTCCATCCGTTTCAACAGCAACTCCCAATGGTCGAAGAAGTGAAAGGCAAACGCTACGAGGTCGGACCTCGATACCACACGCTTACCTACATGGGAGAGGGTGCTTATGGAACAGTTGTGTGAGTTTGCATCTCTGTAATCTTTTTAACAGTCTTTAGTGCGGCTTTTGATTCACACGCTCGTAAACGTGTCGCTATCAAGAAGATTTCACCATTCGAGCATCAAACTTTCTGTCAGCGAACATTGCGTGAATTGCGGATCTTACGACGTTTTAAACATGAAAATGTTTGTATTCTTTTTAATAAATGTAATTTTGATTTTAGATCATCGACATCCAAGAAATTATGATCCCTTCCCAGATTAATACCATGAAAGACATGTAATTGAAATAAAGCTCTCTTGAGGTTCAACAAACTGATTTAGATACATCGTTCAATGTTTGATGGAGACTGACTTGTACAAATTGTTGAAGATTCATCAGCTCAGCGCAGACCATGTGTGCTACTTCTTATATCAAGTGTTGCGCGGATTAAAGTTAGTTCGATTCTTATCTCAAAACTACTTGATTCTAGATACATTCATTCGGCAAACGTTATCCACCGCGATCTGAAGCCATCAAACCTCTTGCTCAACAACACTTGCGATTTGAAGATCTGCGACTTTGGCCTGGCGCGTGTTACCGATCCACAGCATGATTACACTGGATACTTGACTGAATATGTTGCTACAAGGTATGTTTTATAGTAAAATGGTTATTTTTTTAATTCTTTTGCTTTAGGTGGTATCGTGCGCCTGAAATTATGCTAAACGCAAGGGGATACACAAAAGCGATCGATATCTGGAGCGTTGGCTGCATTTTGGCCGAAATGCTCGGCAGACGTCCATTGTTAGTTTATCTCATTCATCTCTTAATGTTTATCATTTAGATTCCCTGGAAAGCACTACCTCGATCAATTGAATCTCATCTTGAACGTGTTGGGAACACCGTCGAGGGAGGACCTCGAAAGCATCGTCAACGTGAAAGCGCGTGCCTATCTGATGTCATTGCCCATCAAAGAGAAACAGCTATGGCACCGACTTTACCCTAATGCCAGTCGAAACGCTCTAGATTTGCTTGATAAGGTTGGTTTGTAAAAAAATACTTTTTGTAATATACTTTTTGGATATTCATTGAAAAAAGCAGTGATAAATCGATGTTGAATGGCGTTTAAAATTTTATTTTTTAGTTGCTCAGCTTCAATCCGGAGAAACGAATCACCGTTGAGCAGGCACTCGCACATCCATACTTTGCTGGTTATTACGATCCAACTGATGAGGTATTTTCTGTTCATTTTATTTTAATTAATTTTTGTTTAGCCAACTTGTGGTCAACCTTTCACTCATGAGATCGAATTGGACAATCTGCCAAAGGATGAATTGAAACGATTAATTTTGGAGGAATCCGAGGTAAAATAGCTTTGAACTGATTATTAATTATGTAGCATTATAGTATGAATTTAGTATTGTACAACCATTATCTTTTTTTCAGTTGCTTCATCGTGGCATCATTGCAGAGCCGGAAATGTTGACGCCGGTTTCGATTGATGGAAAGTGAACACAAAACAGATTGTTCGCACTGATGGTTCGAGTTTGTTTTTGTTTTGTTTGTAGGAATGTTTGAATGTTGTCTTGTGCTATTTTTTTATTGTTGGACACATTTTATTTCCCCGGTTGTATGTTTCTTTATAGGTGGAAAGCGTTTGTATAAATTTAAAAATTTTCAATATTCGTCTTAAAAGTCATGTGCGAGATCATTCGTAGTAGCATGTGACGGGGAAATTTTCGACTTGGCACCATAATTTGCGTCCAAAAAGAGGGTAATTATGGTGTTACGAGAGTAAGATGTAAAAGATCTATGATAGCGAAGTTCCTTACAATATCGACCAAATCAGGGTCAAATACATATGTTGTACCTCCTTTAGAACAAAAACGTGTCATCTTTTTCAGAAATTTTCCACTAATAATCTCAAACGAGTAACTCTTGATCGCATGGTTCAAATTCACCTGAAAAAAGTGTCATTTCAAAATTGCTAGGTTCAGCTTTGAAAATCAGCCAAAAAAGTTGATCCCATTATTTTATGAGAACAATGAGCAATCTGGGAAAATTATTGGTCATCCCGATTTGTTTCTGATTTTTTCGAACCACCCTCGGCAAAAAAGAGGAAAAGAAAAGGGACCGCCTCTTTTCAGAATACGGTAATGATAGGAAGAAACTTTTTGCGATTATATAAAGGAAATTTGAGATCCGATTCGGATTACAATGTTTTCCCGGTTTGAGTAAAACGTTTTCTAAACGATACTCATGGGGGACAGTTACCGTACTCGGGATCTTTTTAGCTTTATACAATTGATTAGCCTTTTTCGCCTTTATCTGCTTGAGGGTTGAGACTAATAAAGTCTAAAATGAGGCTTGCTTTAGCTAAGTCCGCCAAAATGAGGTTACAGTAGCTTCGTTTAGAGAGCAGCTTTTAGAAAACGAAAAAAGAAAATCAGTTTTTTTGAAACAAATAGTTCTACTTTCAGATAATTTATTATGATGTTTGGATTGGTTCTCATGCAATTGTGCCTGTGTTTCCCATTGATCAACTCGCTCACGTGTGCTCAAACGGATGATGAGGTTTGAAATGAAACTTTAATTAAAGCTGTCCCTATTCTCTTTCTACCATAATCTTGTCACCTATTTTCATCCAATTCATCGATTTCTTTTTTTCCACCTAATTCTTTGAGAGTTCACAAAGGATAGGATAAAAATCGAGACAAGATTGCGGTAGAAAGAGAAAGGAGTAACGGTTTAGGAAACTAAAGAAATCAACATTCTACTCAAAACAAAGCAAAAGTGTTTTTTGAACACTTTTGTGCTCTTTAATCTCTTCCTCCCTGCAATTTTCGTTTTCTCTTTATCCTTTGAATTTTTGATCGCAGAGAGAACTATAAGCATACGCAAAATCCCCACTTTTTATCAGCTATAAAAACAGAAAAACTCAAAAAAGTGGTTGATCGTCCCATGCGGTGCCAGTCAACTTATAATAAAAAACAAATGTTTTTTGTCTTTTTTCCACCTTTTCCATTTATATCATCAGATTTCACCTGATCCTTCCAAATTACATAATAACCTTTTTTAAGGCTGGTGATTCGTATCGAGTTGAATGAAAAGAGAAAAATGAGAAAACTATCAAGCTCTCTTTTTAAGGGTAAAATCTAAATTTAAGACTGAATAATGTACAGTAATCCTAGTAAAGATTTTTGACTCATGAATACGATTAAGTTCTTTTTTGAAACGATAAAATTGGTAGTCACTTTTTTGATCCCCGAAACATCAATCATCTCCCCCATTTTTTTTTCCTATCAAAAACCTATAAAAGTAGCAACAAACCCCCCATTTTACCGGAAATTAATTTCCCATGAAAATAAAACGATTTCAATTTTCGAATTGCTTCCCAGAAAATAATTTAAGTTATTAATAAATTTCTTGGCAAAAAAGTTTATAAACTTAACAGACCGGATGTGAAAAAGTCGTGGGAAAATGTTGGGAGGCTGAGCGCTTTTGGGAAAGTTTTGAGTTTCGAGTACAAATTTTGAGAACAGCGATCAGAAATTCGAGTACAAAAAGGTGGATTCGTATTTTGGATCTGGAATCAAATTTTAAAGGCCTTTGACCATTTTGATAGTAAATTGCTGAAGCCAAAGGGATTCGTACCAGCGATGTTCCAAAGATACCTAGTTTTTTGGATCATGCCATGCTTGGCCAGGGCCAGATCTTGGCTGACTCTGGCTTCTAGCCTGGACCTTTTCTGGTCTGACTTTACTGTAAATTTGGCCAAGATAAGGCCTCAGAACTAGACCAGTTAGAGACCTTTCATTGGACCTCAGCCAAGGAAGAGCTCAGTCTGATCAAGAGTGAGAGTGAGATCAAGAGTGAGAAATCAGAAAAAGGACACGAGAACGAAAAGTTGTTGAAATTTCGAGTGTCTGATAGCTGATACAAGTCTGGTCTAGTCTGGCTTACAAATCCTTACAGATCATGCTAAAGATCTCTTCTTACTTTCTTGATTTTAAGGGCCACACCCAACTCCACTCGAATCCGATGTGGCGCTTCTGTGTCCTCATCACGGCTGCAAATGATCGACCGTAAGCTTTTTTATAGTTTAAATTCAACTTTGCTAACAATCATAGTTTGAAAAGTACAGTAATCTAAAGCTTAGTCAGATTTGTTTGTTTAAAAAGTATCCATTCAAGTTTACTACATTCGCCAGAATAATCCGAGTTTTTGCGTTCCCAAAAAAAACATTGCCCACAGAACTCAATAATTTCCGCCATTCACAAGAATCAATTGGGAAATGGCTGATTGCTTTTTCTACTTGGCTCAAAAAATCTTCTTCCCCAAATCAGCTGACCGAGTAGACCGGGAATTACTCGTGAGAAACTTGTCTCGTGAAAGGTTTTTTTCATTCTTCTCAAATACAATTAAGATCATTTCCATGAAATTCCACCTGGAAAAATGCCCACTACAATTCTTGAATTTGGTGAGAAATTAGGAAATTCTGAGAGTTCTTGGGAAATTTCTGAACGAAAAAAGCTTTTGGTGGGAGAAATGAATGAGATTACTGTAAAATTGAGAAATTGAATGGAAATGGAAACTTTTAGAATGGTTTAACTAAAGAAGTGCGCCAGAAAGCTAGTGTTTAATTCACTACAAAGTACAAAATCTGGAATTTATTAGAAATACAATTGAACAATCATTTCTAGAAAAGGAATCGCTTACGGTTTGGTGGATTTGCCGGTGATCGAACGAGAAGTCGAGATTGATATCTACAAAATGGCATTCGAGAGAAATACTGAACAACAATCGATTCTATCGCTGTGTTTGCTGGAGGTTGGTCAACAATTGCTTCAAAGATTCAAAGATTCAAAGAATTTTGGTAGGAAAAGCCAATCTGCTTTCTTGTCAAGTACTTTGAGTTCAAAAACGCAAACGAAACGCACTCTTTCTGGTGGCATTCAATCCTTCAATCAATCATTTCCAGCGCTACAACGGCACGTACAAATCTCCGAAAACCGAGTACATTTTCCGTTGCGTTTGCAATTCGGATCGTTGCAATCGACACTCGAATCTGCACACGTTCATCAAAGGACTCAAACATGATAATCCATAAAAAAAAATACCCAACAATTTGTACATAGGAACATTTCGTTGTTGAAAATTTGATTTTACTTACCATAAATACTGTAATAGTACCCCACCCCCCTCGTACAGTCGCGTAGTCGCAAAAGTTTTTTTGTATTTCATTTTTTTCAAAGCACCCGTACTTTCAAAAAATGCGTCTTTGGTATCAAAAAAATAGCCCTGAATTTCAGCTATTTTTTGATACCTAAACGCGCATTGTAGCATAAACTAGTGTCGAGAAAAACGCGCCCAAAGCTAGACTACGCAACGCTCCGCACCGTCATTATGGGGGTGGGGTACTATTACAGTATTTACGGTATGCATTTCCACTTTCACACCTGTTTTAGGCAATTTCTTTACAGACTTTATCGCTGTAGACTTTAAAAATTCATATCTGTACAGATTGAGTGCAAAATAAACTTTAAAAAATCGACAAGAATGCAGAAAATTCAGGAATTTCAAAGTAAAACAATGAAATTAGAGTGAAAATGGAAAGACTACCGTACCGTAAGACTACCGTATCGTACTGTACCAAAATAAACTTAACAATCGACAAGAATACAGAAAATTCAAGAAGTTCAAAGTAAAACAATGAAATTGCTCGACGTTAGAGTGGAAATGGAAAGACTACCGTACCCCAATGCTGTCTGATTCTAAAACACATCAACGGCCTTAATTTAAATGAGAAGAATTGCCAACTTTTTCCGGTAGGCTACTTTCCGCTATTTAACAAGACCATTTGCGCAAGTACGTTTGCGCAACTTTTTTTTCCGCAATAAGGTGATTTGCTCATATCTCGCTATTTTCGAAAAGGAGTTGGAATCAGGCAAATCACGTCCACATAATCGTTTATCATAGAATTAGAATTTGGTTTTTTGCTAACTTTATTTGTTATTGTTTTATTAGGCTTATCCTTTCTTGATTTCAGAACTGAGATGCTCCATCGCTTACCAAAGCCTAATCTGCCACAGGTTTCCCATTCTGTCTTGATCTTAAATGTCCTCTCGTTTAGCTCAAGCTAACTGGTGTTCAGATGGCTCAGACAGCACATGTGGTATTGGACTCGACCCCGGACGCGCAACACTCGCCCAAAAAGGAAAGGCATAGTGACACCGTGGAAGAGATTAGTGAATTTTCAAAGATGCTTGAACGGATTTTCGAGTCAATTTCGTTTTTTTAGGCAATCTCTGAAGAAGAGGAGTCACGTAGAAATCATGAGGCGGATGTTGCTAAAAACAAGTGTAAGTGGTGTTGAACCCTCTATCAGCTTTTGCAAACATTACATTTCAAGTTTTTAAAGTTAAAGTTGATATGATTGACGGTTTTAGACGCAAGCCACATGGCTGAAATGGATCATGGAGCAGCACGTGTCGATTTGCACTTCAAAACGGCCCTCAAGTTGGCGTTTGGCCTAATGCACGATGAAACGGAGATCAAAGTGAGGGGCATCAGGCAAAAATCGTACTCTGGGACCTATCTGACGCAGGAGGCACTCCAAATCTACCAATTTCTTTGCGACAAGAAAATCACACCATCAGGTTGGCTATATTTGTGTTTGCGGAAGAGCAAATTCTTTTTTAGACCTCCGAGGAAAAGGTCGTCTAATTCAAGCTCCAGGCGATCCAAACAATGTCGTCTTCGAGTATACAAGCGGACGCGGCCGACGTCAATTTTCATTGGTCGATTTGGAGGCCAAATTCGAGAAATACAGAAGCGCCCAGAGCCCAACCGCCATTTGGGATGAACGTAACTTTTAAAGCGAGAACGCTGGATTAAATCGTAAATTTAGTGTTCCGGGAGATGAAAAACGATGACCCCATGGTCTCTAGTGTTAAAGCAATTCTGGCAATTCCGAGAATCTACGACCTGATCAGGTAAATCTGGCGGTGAAAAACGAACCTTAAACTGATTTTAGGTGGGACAGCTCCTACGATTGGATGAGATTCGCTCTCATCGTTATCATTGAGGAGGTCAGCATGTACGGTCGCCCCTCCAAAGTGACTCTCAGCCTGGTGAACGCCGGTCTTTCAGAGCCATTAATTGACCACTTTGCTAGCGAAACCGGAATGTTTGTTTTTGCCTAAACGTGACTCTTTGACATTATTTCTAGTTGGCCTACACATGCAGTTCAAATTGGCGACGGTACCGGCGAATTCGAGCTTCTGGTTGCTGCATGGCATCTTATCGATATAAATAATGCTGGCAAACACTTTTGGCCAGAGCGCCCTGAGGTCAGCTATTTAACGATATTTAATTAGCTTTGTTTTAGAAGAACAAAAAGAAGAACGCCAACGTCCAAAACCTTAACGAAACCCAAGACGAACAGGAACAGGAGGATGAGGTCTTCAGCGGCGACGTGAATCGCCTGAACCCAGCAAAGATTAATGATGGAGATCACGAAGAGATTGGAGATCCGTTAGTATTCTTAAATTGTTGTCACCAATTATTATCAACTGTAGGGAGCTCGATCAAAGTTTTGAGAAAGCTGTCTCGAACCACTCTGTCAATACGGCAATTCTCAACGATGCGGCCAAGGCTACTTTGCGAGACGAGTCCCTGGATGTGACGCAATCATCTGTAGCTGAGAACGAGCTGAATGCTTGTAAAACGGTTTTAATTGCAATACCTTGTACTCTAAAGTCGAAATTTTAGAAGCCGAGAGCTGGTCAAGATGTGGATACGATTACTGCTTCTAAGGAAGAAATCGATGATTTAACAAAGTATTTGCTAAAATAACTTTTGCACATTTCCACTGTTTTAGATTAATGGCCGAAGCATCTTTTGGAACTCCAAGCATGACTTCAAATGAGGGCGCGGAGCACATGCATTTTGAGGTGGCGCTCTTGTAGTTTCAATGGAATAAAAATTTGTTTAGACTAAAAAAATCTCATTTGGCGAGATTCCATTAAGAATTGTGCTGCAAAAGGTGAATGGTGCGTGCCCACTTCTTGCGATTGTCAATGCTTTGGCTCTTAAAGGTAATTTGTGAGCCGATTATGTAAAACAACGAGCGTTTAGGTCGAATCAAACAGGCAGTTGATGAAGAAGGCAATTATAACAAGGTAGGGGGTTTTGAGTTTAAAACAAATTATGGTATATTTTAGGCGTTGACTGATGTGATCAATTTGATTCCGACTCTTAACGAAGGCTTGATAATTAACGTGGATTTTCCCAGTCCACATGTAAGTTAATAGCTTAATTCGTTGACATGAAATTTTAGGATTTCGAATTCACACCAGCTTTGTCATGGCTCGAATTGGTGGGCCTCAATCTTGTTCATGGATGGCTGCCCGACCCACAACTTCAGGAATATTGTGAGTTATTTTATTAATCCAATTAACATAAAACGTGTTAAGGCACTCTTTTTGGATCAATGAGCTATACGCAAGCTCAAATCAAAATGATCGAAAAAGGAGGCGATACTGACGGACTGATCATCGGAGAATTTTTGAACACGACTGCCAATCAGCTCACTTATTATGGTGAGTTGGTTCTTATTTATGTTATGTTTTTGTCATTTAGGTATCGCCGAGGAGGATGGGAGCTTGACCGTTATGAACCTTCTGAATCTAGCTGAAACGAGTGGACGCAACGACAAGACAAACATTGGCACCGCCGCGCAGGTATGATCTCCCTTACGTAAAAAGTACTTTGGTCTTAATAATTGGAGCATTTCGTCAGGTTTGTTTTAGAAGAACGCCAACGTCCAAAGCGCTATCGCCGTGTTCGGCATGCAAGACGAACAGAAACAGGTACATACTATACTATACTAAGTACAATTGGCAATTGTTATTGTTTTCGATATCACCTATCTTTTAGCTCTCAGAAGGAAACAAAACGATTGGGAAACAAAACGAGGGAAAGTACAATTGGCAATTGATTGGGAAACAAAACGAGATTGGTCAAATGATCGTGAGTGCTCAGACGAAGCAAGATTCAAGGTTGGTTAATTCATTACAATTAAAAACCAGTACATTATTAATACAATTCTTTTAGGACTTGCGGATGCTTCAAACCTCTTCTGGTGGGCTTCATGATGACCGTCACCATCGTCTTCTTCGCCTCGCTCGTCACCATCGTCTTCTTCTTGGTGAATGTCACAAATGCGCTCTATGATCGACAGCAAAACATTGAAAGATTGCTTTCGTTGTAGATTTTTGGTCTTCCCCTTCATTGTTTGTGCATATATCTCTATCTCTATTCTTTGTTTTTCTTTTTCCAAAATTATTTTAGCATTCAATGCCAATTAGTGATCTATTTTTATTTGGTTTTACTCGGTTTTAGACTGTCATCTTGCAAATTTCGAATGTTTCTTTTTATTATTTAGTTGAAAGCTTTAAGGCACAAAGTGCCAAAAATTATGTACATTGACTTCAAAATGTTATTAAAAAGCCAATGGGAATTGACAACTTTGCATAAAAGTTAAGGACTTGTGGATGTAAAAGAAAACGCGTTTCAGAGGTCAAAATTCGTTAAAAACGCAAATAGAGGCAAGCTTGTCGGAAAATCGATATCGTTTTGGGGCAGTGGGAAGAGATAAAGGATAAAATTACAAAAAAAGCTGATAAACTCAAAAATAAGTCAATTCCATTGTGCTGTTGATCTACTTGAGTTCCCTGAAATTTCTTGTTAGACAATCATTGCGTAAACTGACCGCATTTTGAGATCTCCATTCGAGTAAGCACGAATGAGAAAATCCGCTTCTTGGTAGGGCTCAAATGTTGAGGGAACGACAACGTATTCACCGGGCGGACCACGGAAACGAACGGTCACCTAGAGAGCGGTGAACAATTCTAATCCATTTTAAACGTGCCAGCTTTTTCGACTTCGCCTTCGACCCCGTTCTTTGCGTTCGTGAGCGACAATTGGAATTGTGGATTCTTCGGGAAAGTGGCTAAAAGAAAGAATTCCTTTTGCATAGGCCACTGTAGAGCCTTTAGCCAATAAAATTAGATAACTTTCTTTTTCAACTCACAAATATAATTGATACATCCCCCAGCGGTGTTCGCTTGACTGCTCCACGAGCCACCACATTGATCCTCTTGCCAGCTGGAAAGTGACGAGTTAAGATATGGTGACGAAGGGTTTAAAGATTTGAAAGTATTAGGGAAGTTTGTTTTTGTTTGTTTTTGTTTGTTTTTGTCTTTTTGTCCCATGCAAACACCCACGATCCAGTCTCTTTCCCATCATCGCGCACCACTCCCGTCATTCGCTCGATCTCGTCTTCAACCTAAAAACTTTTGATACAAAGTTGATAACTTGAATCAAGTACAGTAAGCTCATTGATGTGTTTTAATAATTGATCAATTGCTAACTCAAAAAACTAACATCGGCCGACAAGTTGCACACTTCCAACTGCTCGAATGAGGAATTCTTAAAGTCCACTTTGCATACACTTTCTCGACAAGCACTTACTCCTTGCCCACTCAGCTGAATATCTTCTAGTTTCGTGGGGAATTTCAAAGAAGATGGGTAACTTCCGTTTTCTCTTTACCCTTTGAATCTTTGATCGCCGAGAAGACTATCGAGACAAGATTACGGTAGAAAGCGAAAGGAGACACGGTTTAGGAAACTAAAGAAATCAACATTCTACTCCAAAACAAAGCAAAAGTTTCTACACTTTTGTGCTCTTTAATCTCTTCTTCCCCTTCAATTTTCATTTTCTCTTTATCCTTTGAATCTTTGATTCCAGAGAGAACTATAAGCATAGGCAAAATCCCTACTTTTTATCAACTAAAAAAGTGATTGATCCTCGCAAGCGGTGCCAAACAAATTATAACAAAAAAAAACAAATGTTTTCTGTCTTTTTTTTCCCTTTTCCATTTATATCATCAGATTTCACCTGATCCTTTCGAATTAAATAATAAACTTTTTTAAGGCCGGTGATTCGTATCGAGTAGAATGAAAAGAGAAAAATGAGAAAACTCTTTTTAGGGTAATCCTAGATTTTTGACTCATTAATACGATAAAAGTTCTTTTTTTGAAACGATAAAATTGGTAGTCAACTTTTTGTTCTCACTTTTTTTTTTTGTTCCCAAAACATCAATCATCTCCCCCATTTTTTTCCTATCCAAAACCTCTTAAAGTATACGAATCCCCATTTCACCGGAAATTAATTTCCCATGAAAACGAAACGATTTCAATTTCCGAATTGTTTTCCAAAAAAAAGCTTCTGAAAAAAAAAGCTTCTGAAAAAAGCTTCCCAAAAAAAAGAAAGCTTAGTACACATTTTGAGAGCAGCGATCAACTGTTCCAATCAGGCTCTACGATTTACCTGTTCAGAAAATAGATATCGGATTTAAAATGATACATTACCCTTGTGTATCTTAAATCCAAGTGAATAGGATCAATTCTTCATTGATCATCTTGATCTTACATGAGTCCGGATTGAGATTTCATGATCGAGCACTCTCTTTTAGCCTACCCTTGATGGGTGGGACTAGATAAAGAAAGAGTGTGAGCTAGAAACCTTTCACTGGAGCTCAACCAAGAAAGAGTTCAGTCTATCGCTGTGTTTGTTGAAGGTTGGTCAACAATGGCTTCGAAGCTCCAAACTGCTTTGGTTCTCAAAGTTATCTCAAATCTAATGTTGATTTGAACAGTTTGGCTCTATTAGTTACGTCTAAGGATCTGATTTTTTTATTGTTAAAGTTACCGTAAATACTGTGATTAAACGGCACCCCTCCGCAATTGTACAATTGCGTACAATTGTACAATTTAAATGTAATATTTCTTTATTTTTTTCTTAAAAATTACTTGCATCTAACATCTTTTTATCATAAATTTTTATAGTTTTTATTTTTTCCTTTTTATTATATTATTATAAGTATTAAATTTTTTTAGATATAGATATAGAACTCGTTTTTGATGTTTGATGTGTTTGATGGAATCGAGGAATTTCGGGCTCGACGAAACTATGGGGGAAACGAGGAATGCTTCAGGAAAATGTGTGATGAGCTCACCGAGCAAGATGCCAACGAAAGCTCGGCCAACGCTGAACCCGAGGGATCTTCATGTGAAGCAGATGAGCCACCTACAAAGAAAAAGAGAAAAGCCAACGATATGAAGACGAAACTAGCTGCTGAAAAGATGGCCAAAGATGTTTCGATCAAGATGCAAGATTTTAAGGTTCCTCGGAGCTGCGTCCAATCTTACGTCCAAAGCCGCCCTCAATGGAAACATACTTGAGATGGATTGTCCAGGTCTATAGGGTACTTTGAGGATCTGAACTCAAAATGAGTCAAGATCCTCAAAGTACTCTCCGAAGAGATGATTCGAAATTCTTTGAAGTGATGCGGGATCAGAATTGCAGAAAATGGAGATGATGACCACCTGATCCACTGTTTCAAGTCATTTGGATCGATTCCTTCAGGTTTACATGTTTACCTTATCGATTTAATTATCTGATTTTCTGTTTGTTATAGATGCTCGGATGGAGAAGGAAATCGAAGATCTTGAGCCGCTCGCATAAACGGATTTCAAGAACACCGACGAAGCAATGATCAAGAAGTAAATGATGAATTCATTGATTCTGATGTTTCTATTGATTGCGATAGTTGAATTGTTCATTTTCTTTGTTATCGCTTGTTGTTACAAATTGAATAAAATTTTAAGAAAAGTTTGATTTTGTCAAAAAAAAAAACTATCTGAACGAATTCGGCTTTGGCAACTTGGAATATCGGTAAGAATTGAATGGTACGCTCTAATAGAATGGCAGGATAGAGGGGGAGGAAAAAAATAGAACGGCATGCAAATAGGGTATTTACGGTAATTCTTTCTGTTTTTACTTGCATTATATTTGTTAGAATAAACCTTATGCAGTTACACAAGATAAAAACATCGGTGAAGCGATAACAGGACGTTCCTATTGTCATAAAAAGTAACCTTATGCAGTTACACAAGATAAAAACATCGGGGAAGCGATAACAGGACGCGCCTATTGTCATAAAAAGTAACCTTATGCAGTTACACAAGATAAAAACATCGGGGAAGCGATAAAAGGACGTTCCTATTGTTATAAAAAGTAATTATACCAAAAAAAACATCGGGGACGCGATAAAAGGACGTTCCTATTGTCATAAAAAGTAATTATAGCAAAAAAACTGAAGAAATTATAAATTTTTGCTGAAAAATATGCATTTGTTGTGATTTGGGGATGAAATGTACACAAAACCATTGAAATAACTCAACAGTCTGTCTTGTGCGAAAAAAATAATGAAATTGCTCAACGTTACAGTGGAAATAGAAATACTACCGTACCCCAACGCTGTCTGATTCTAAAACGCATCAACGGCCTTCATTTATATGAGAAGAATTGCCGGGAGTGGGACAAAAAAAGGTCGCATTTGTCCCACTCCCGAATCGCCAACTTTTTCATTCTCGTGTAGATTTTGTTGTTTTACCGCTTTCGGTACTAAGGCAGTTGGCGGGGCACCTAAAATTTTCTCAAATTTAGTTTTTCTAGGGTAATTGATGACGCTGTTCATGAAAAAACATTTTTAAGCTATTCTTTTTTCATTTACTTTTACGTAGGCGCCATATATATTTACCTAGGCTTTGGCTTCGCACCTCTACCGTGCCGAAGGCTCTCGTGTGACTGCAGCACCTCAGAACGCGATGGTCGCTAAAGCCGGAAGATAGCGGCCTTTGTGTGTAGGTCGCGCCGATCGATGTTGGCCGTTAGGCTTCACACAAAGCCCGCTACCTTCAGGCTTCTAGCAGACGGCGCAAATGCGACACAGATTAAGTAAATAGAAGCAAATAAAGTAAATGCTGCAGTCATGTCACAAGGGCGCCTTCGGCGCGGTAGAGGTACAGGTACAGAGCCAAAGCATAAGTAAATAGGCTTTGACTTTGGCGCTGGCGACTATGTAAAAGTACGTGGAGTGGGGAAGTGAACTTAATATTTAGGAAAATGCATGTTTTTAATTGAAAACATAACTTTAAAATATTTTTTTTTCGTGAATAGCGCCATCAATTGCCCTAGAAAAACTACATTTAAGAAAATTTTGAGTCCTCTTCCCCAACTGCCTTAGTACCGCGCTTTCTGCTTTGTCATTTTGGTACATTAACGCTTTTATATTTACAGGCAACGAGGCAATGAGTGGAGCAATCGAGTCGCGAATCGAAGTTGCGCCCTGTGGTTGCGAGGAGAGCGTGCAGTTGCGACATGTAAGTTTGTGATTTTTGGTCGTTTTTGGCAAATTAGATACCCGAAGTACTATAGAAGCTTGTCTAATATAATATTCTAATGTCTTGGTTGAAAAGCTTAGCTAATTGATGATGTCATCTGTTAGATAGATAGTAAAATTCTTAAGCTTTTTAATATAAAACTTTTTAGAGAAACAACTCACTACAAGAACAGCTCCAATATCTCACAGATGTCGTTGGCACCCGAAACGAAGATCTTCGTCAAAAGAATGATCATTTGGAGGCTGATAACAAGAAGTTACGACGGGACGTTGAAGTAATCTTTAACATTTATGGTTCAACGGAGAATATTGTAAAGAAAGGACTGCAAGCTAAGTTTGTTTCATTTAGATTCTGAAGGGAGGTCATCAACTTCACGCCGATGTCATGAACAACGCCTTGATCTATTCCTCGGAGCTATTTGGGAAGGATGAGCCAACAGGGAAAAAAGTGAGAGTGTTGAGAATAATTGTTGGTGTAAAGGGAGTTAGGTATGATCGATAGAAATTAAAGCTGGATTTTTAAACGTGACCGTTCACTCGCTAATCTTGAATAACTCAAATGTAATAGCAAGACATGTAAGATGTATGGGTTAGACAGGCCCAGTCCCCTTGCGCCAAGTTGATATGAGAACATATAGGGTTTATAAGTCGTAAAAGCATTGTTAAACTTTTTAGAACGGGATGTAACTTATTTCTTTTAGGAAATGTCTGGTGCTGACGTTCAAACTGAAGACTTCGGACATCTCGAGGATGGATGCACTGTGTGTACAACCATTGAGGTAAAGGTATTTTCATTTTCTCTATATATCATACGATTATGAATCACTAAACGGTAAAATTAAAAACCAACTTTAGGCGATTGGAGCACATTGTCAACAACTCCTGGATGAGCAGACCGCAATGGAAAAAGAGCTGGGGGTAAACGCTTTAAGTATTGCTTTTAAAAGTTTTTCTTTTAGTCAGCTGCACAAAAGATTGCGATGTTTGTTGAACGTTTAGAAATGGAATTGGCGGCTAAGCAGGTATTTTCATTTTCTCTATATATCAACGGCGATTATGAATCACTAAACTGTAAAATTAAAAACAAACTTTAGGCGATTGAAGCACATTGTCAACAACTCCTGGATGAGCGGGCCGGAATGGAAAAAGAGCTGGGGGTAAACGCTTTCGGTATTGCTTTTAAAAGTTTTTCAGTCAGCTACACGAAAGATTGCGATGTTTGTTGAACGGTTAGAAATAGAATTGGAGGCTAAACAGGTAATGGACTTGAATAAGTGAACCTCAATGGAATACTTTAGGCTCTTCAAGCTGATTACGACCGTGTCAAGGCTGATCAAGAACAGGTTTGCGCCGTTTTCTTATTGACAAAATTTTTTTTTCTTATGGAGTATCGCTGGGATAATTGCATGACCACTGGGGGTAAAAAACTATTATCTATGCGGTAAACACTGGTAAAATACCTCTTGTTGTTTGCTCATCGTTTTTTCTTTAGGCATCCTTGCCGACGTGTGAACCTAAATTTATCAAATTAATCATTTTAAAACAACAAAAAACAAACAAAATTACACAAAAAAATTAGACTGAATTTCATGAATAAAAGTCAAGAGCTTCTTTTTTGACCCCAGAACTTGACACTATCAACGAGAAGCTGGCCGAATGGTGCGACGCCAGCTAGAACACAAAGCTTCCAAAGTCCCTTGGCAACAGACGATTGCATCATATGGTCATGAATGCCGTTTCCCTTTCGATTCATATCCTTGTTTGCGTATTCATATCCAAAAACGTTCAATTGTTTGCGTGTGAATCGTTGCATCAGGCGCGACAAAATTCGTGCTGTGATTAACTCACGACCATGAATAATCCGGGTCGTTTGCAAGTTGTCGAGAAGCTCTCCACCCATCGGAAACTAGACAGTTCCTGGTTTGATATGCTGCCTAATTGCAGCCAAAAGTGTCTTAGCTGTTCTATCCGGTACCAGCAAAGCAAAAGATTCTCAAGCGTAAATACAGTGATCACACTCCCACCTTGTGCTCGAATTCCCATAGTGTCCACATCCACAAATCATCTTTTGAATGATGTTTTTCTCAAGGGAAAAGTTGATCATTCCTCTTTCATTCAGTTCACAGATATCAGGAAAGCGTAACAAGGTCGTGCTGTTGAATTCGACATTCTTCCGAGCCTAAAAGAAAAAAAATTAGTGAAAAGTCATAAATAACGTAATAAAACGTAACAAACAGCGCAACAAAAAGTAATTAATAAGGACCGGAAAGAATGCGACAAACAGCCACTACAAATTTAAAAGCAACGTATTCAATTTGTTTGCTGAATATTCTTACACATCTGATAGTAATCTTCCTCAGCTATAATGAAATTACCCCAGCGATACTCCACAAGCATCAATTTTTTGTTTAGTTCCTTCTCGAATTCGAAGAACTTGTGGATCTTTATCGAAAAGCTGTTGAGGTTTTTGATACTTATGCATATCGATATATCTTTCATTTAGCAAAATGAGAAGCTTCGCGATGAAATGGAAAATCAAGGGCTGGTCACGTTAGGGAGCAGTGGAGCTTTGGATCAAGCGTTTCGATCGGATTTCGATTCGGTAATTTTTAATATCTTTGAGCTAAATGTCGAGGTTTGGTACATAGTTATAGGTACATACTAGGTACAATTGACAATTGTTATTGTTTTTGATATCACCTATCTTTTAGCTCGAAGAAGCTATTGCGAAACAAAACGATTTCGACCAAAGGATCGTCAATGTTCTGAAGAAGCAAGGGCCAGGGTTGGTTGATTCATCACAGTTAAAAACGAGTACAATTGTTAAAGCAATTCCTTTAGGACTTCCGGATGCTTCAAGCCTCTTCTGGTGGGCTTCTTGGTAATCGTCATAGTCTTCTTCGCCACGCTCGCTTCCGTTTCCGTCTCCATCGATTTAACCGACCCAAATGCGCTTTATGATCGACATCACTACGCCTAAAATTTCCTTCCGTTCTAGATTTTTGGTCTTTGGCTCCATCGTTCGTGCATATATCTCGATCTATCCATTCTTTGTTTTCCGTTTTCCAAAAATTATTTTAGCATTCAATGCCTGTTTTACTCCGTTTTCGACCGCATTAAGGCACAAAGTGCCAAAAATGTATACTCACTTCAAAATTTTATTAAAAAGCAAATGGAAATTGATAACTTTGATGCATAAAAGTATAAGACTTATCGATGTAAAAGAATACGCATTTCAAGAATCACAATTCGTTTAAAACCGGAAATAGAGGCAAGCTTGTCGGAAAATCGATATCTTTTTGGGGCAGTGGGAAGAGATAAAGGATAAAATTACAAAACAAAGCTGACAAACTGAAAAAAGTCAAGTCTATTGTGCTGTTGATCTACTTGAGTTCCCTCAACTGTCTTTTTGTTGGACAATCATTGAACATGTGTAAACTGCCCGCATTTGGAGATCTCCTTTCGAGTAAGCACGAATGAGAAAATCTGGCTCGAGTCTGAGGTTTTTGGAATTAACAAGTTTTTGAAAAGTTCAAGATGTTTATAGTTTTTTAAAAAGTATTTTGAGTTTCTAAAAGGTTTTTTGATCATGAATCTGTTAAAGTGATCAAAGAAGAACCATCAACAACACATAGTAACGGCTGAACACCTCAGAGAAACTTGGCTACTAAACAACGGGAAAACAAGACTAATCTCGTTCAAAAGACTTTGAAAAACGGCAATCTGATAAGTGCACACGTCTATAAATGTAAGATCGAAGGCTGTCTTGAGTAGCTTCATGCAGGTGCTTGACGGATGCTTTCAAAGCTCCACAGACAGCTTCCACACCGTGCGTATGGACCGAACGATCTTTAGGATTCACAAAGTAACGTAAATGAAAGTGTATTCACTATGTTTTGTTTTTTTTTATTTACCTATTTTATTCTTTTATTTACTTAAATTTAAAATTGAAACTAACAGCGACAAAAAGAAGAATCATCAACACCGGAATTGGCCTAAAGACCTTGAGTTCCGCATCAAAGGAAGCAAACTAGCAGCGTCACGGCAAAAAAAAATTCGGTCTTTTTGTTTTCCTCTTTCAATTATTCATTTATCCCAAACACTCACTGGTATTGCCGCTTCAACATTCGTCCTCTATTATATTTTGTTTTGCTTTAAAATTCATCTATCTCAACAATTTTCAATTTTCCCCTGCCCTCCTAGCTGTTGTTGGCTCATCGTTCGAAGAAAACAATTTTCACAAAGCCAAAAATGAAGCCGATTTTACAAGAATTGCCTTTGAAGAATTCTAATAGACTTTGTGGATTTCGGAGAGCTTCGACTTCCTTCTTCCTTTCGGAGAGCTTCGACTTTCTTCCTTCTTCCTTTCGGAGAGCTTCGACTTTCTTCCTTCTTCCTTTCGGAGAGCTTCGACTTTCTTCCTTCTTCCTTTCGGAGAGCTTCGACTTTCTTCCTTCTTCCTTTCGGAGAGCTTCGACTTTCTTCCTTCTTCCTTTCGGAGAGCTTCGACTTTCTTCCTTCTTCCTTTCGGAGAGCTTCGACTTTCTTCCTTCTTTTCTTCCTGTTTAGCATTGTAGGTCGACCGGATATGAAGATACGTTTGAATGCAAGATCGAGAACGCTTCACAATTGCTACTTCACTCCATCGAAGTGTGTGCAACACATTGACCTGGGTATTACGGTAGGAAGATTTCTTTGTTGAAAATTTGCTACATGTTACGTGGAAATGGAAAGACTACCGTACCCTAACGCTGTCTGCTTCTAAAACGCATCAACGGCCTTCATTTAAATGAGAAGAATTGCCAACTTTTCCATTCTCGTGTAGATTTTGTTGTGTTAGTGCTTTCTGATTTCTCATTTGTTACATTCACGCTTTTATATTTACAGGCAACGAGGCAATGAGTGGAGCAATCGGGTCGCGAATCGAAGTTGGGCCCTGTGGTTGCGAGGAGAGCATGCAGTTGCGGCATGTGAGTTTATGGTTTTTGGTCGTTTCTGGCAAATTAGACACCCTAAGTACTATAGAAGTTTTTATAATATGTCTTGGTTGAAAAGCTTAGCTAATATCTTGCAATGGTGCTTGCTTCAAAAGCAGAACAAATTATGACGAGTTGTTGCAAAGTTAGTTTTTGATCAACTTAAATGCTTGGCGGCTTCAAAGGTTTCATTGTTAGTTTGCCAAGTTTGGCTGTCTAATCATCAAATGTTTGACCTTTTCGATCCGTAGAATTTAGAAATATTCGTGTTGACGATGTAATCTGTTACATAGATAGTAAAATTCTATCTAGCAATTGGGGTTGGGGATCTATATTTTTGATTTCTTTACTTTTCGGTTTAGGTGAGTCGTTACGTAGCTGGTGAATCAGCAAGGAAAACTATAGCCTGTCCCCGATCAGGTCTCCGGGTGCAAGGAAGGCTGGAGCTGGGTGAATCTTGCTATAGCCCGTGCCCCGTCAGGACTCGGGGTGTGCTGAACCGTGGCTTAGAAAAATAGAAGTTTAATTTTCAACGTGTCGAAATGTCGGTTTTTCAGTTGAAAATCTATGGTATAACTGTCAAATTGGTGCACAGTGCCCTAGATTACTCTGAAATGTGAAGAAATCAAAAATATGGGTCCCCCAACCCAAAAAGTATCAAAAGTATTATTTAAGCTAAAACTTTTTAGAGAAACAACTCACTACAAGAACAGCTCCAATATCTCACGGATGTCGTTGGCAAGGATGAGACTGAGGTAAACTTTGCACATAGTAAAACCTTTAAAAATCTTTTTTAGGGTGATCACGTGTCTTTGATGGAACAAAACGAAGATCTTCGTCAAAAGAATTATCATCTGGATGCTGACAACAAGAAGTTACGACAGGATGTTGAAGTAATCTTTAGCATTTATAGTTCAACTGAGAATATTTTAAAGAAAGGACTGCAAGTTTGTTTCATTTAGATTCTGAAGGGAACTCATCAACTTCACACGGATATGAAGAACCCCTTGATCTACTCGTCGGAGCCATTTGGGAAGGATGAGCCAACCGAGAAGAAAGTGGGAGTGATTCGCAATGCTTTTTGGGCAAAACATGTAAGAAATCATAGTTAGACAGGGCCCAAGTCCCCTTGCACCAAGTTGATATGAGAACATTTAGATTTTATAAGTCATTAAAGCATCGTTAAACTTTTTAAAACGGATGTAACTTATTTCTTTTAGGATATGTCTGACGCTGAAGTTCAAACTGAAGACTTCAGACATCTCCAGGATGGACACGCTGTGTGTACAACTATCAAGGTAAAGGTATTGTCATTTTCTCTATATATCATACGATTATGAATCACTAAACTGTAAAATTAAAAAAAACCAACTTTAGATGATTGAAGCACTTTATCAAGAAGTCAAGAATAAACAGGTCGCAATGGAAAAAGACCTTTGGGTAAACGCTTTAAGTATTGCTTTTAAAAGTTTTTCTTTTAGTCAGCTGCACAAAAGATTGCGATGGTTGTTGAACGGTTAGAAATAGAATTGGCGGCTAAGCAGGTATTTTCATTTTCTCTATATATCAACGGCGATTATGAATCACTAAACTGTAAAATTAAAAACCCACTTTAGGTGTTTGAAGCACATTGTCAACAACTCCTGGATGAGCAGGCCACAATGGAAAAAGAGCTGGGGGTAAACGCTTTAAGTATTGCTTTTAAAAGTTTTTCTTTTAGTCAACTACACAAAAAACGGCGAGGGTTTTTGAACGCTTAGAAATAGAATTGGCGGCTAAGCAGGTAATGGACTTGAATAAGTGAACCTCAATGGAAGACTTCAGGCTCTTCAAGCTGATTACGACCGTGTCAAGGCTGATCAAGACCGTGTCAAGGCTGATCAACAAAAGGTTTGCGCCGTTTTCTTATTGATTAAATTTTTGGTTTAGTTCCTTCTCCGGCAAGAACGCGACCAGCAAGAATTCGAAGAACTTCTGGATCTTTGTCGAAAAGCTGTTGAGGTTGTTGATACTTATGGATATCGATATTTCTTTCATTTAGCAAAATGAGAAGCTCCGCGATGAAATGAAACATCAAAGGCTGGTCACGTTTGGGACTAATGCAGTTTCGGATCAAACGTGTTCATCGCTTGCGCATTCGGTAACTAATGTTTTTAAGCTGAATGTTTGATATTTGTTACATAGTTATGGGGTACAATTGACAATTGTTATTGCTTTCGATATCACCTTTGTTTTAGCTCTCAGAAGCGATTGGGAAACAAAACGAGGTTGGCCAAATGATCGTTAATGTTCAGACGAAGCAAAAACCAGGGTTGTTAATTCATCACAATTAAAAACGAGAATATTGTTAATACAATTTCTTTAGCACTAGCGGATGCTTCAAGCCTCTTCTGGTGGGCTTCTTGGTGACCGTCACCATCGTCTTCCTCGTCTCGCTCGTTTCCATCTCCATCGACTCAACCGACCCAAATGCGCTTTATGATCGACATCACTACATCTAAAATTTGCTTCCGTTATAGATTTTTGGTCTTTCGCTCCATTTATTTGTTTTTATGTTACGAATTTGTTTTAGCATTTAATGCCAATTAAATGACCTATTTTTACTCGGTCTTAGACTGTCATGTTACTAATTTCAAATTTTTTGTTTTATGATTTCTTTGAAATGTTGAATAATCATATATGGTGATGAAATCATGGAAAGAGATCCGAAAGAAAGATTGTTTTAAATTTGCGGGCCAGCTTACCGTGCAATTTCCATCGCCTTCACCCCAGTTCTTTGCGTTCGTGAGCGACAATTGGAATTGTGGATTCTTCGGGAAGGTGGCTAAAAGAATGAATTCCTATTCGATAGGTCGCTCACCAAAACTCCCCATCCGCATTAAAAGCCACTTGTAGCTTCGGCTTCTCCGTTTAGTTCACCGAATTTCACGAAGAATTGTTGTACGACCATACGCTGTTCATTCCTGGAAATGAATTGGAATCGAACAGCAGTGATGCTGTACGCGTGTCCCATGATTAACCCGTTTCTCAGCTGGTTCTCAAGGCTGTTTGGATCGGCCTGAAAAGAGAATCTTACTATTTGTTAATTCAGTAATTCACTATTTGCTAGCTCAAAGTCTATTCGATTTTACTTTTGCATCAAACTCACATCAATACTTGCACAGAAGAAAGAGCCCATTTGAAAGCCGCGAACAATCATAGCCATCAACGTGTTCTTGTCGGTTTTTCGCAAATCGAAATGCTCAGTTAGACCAGAAGTATTTTCGGATACTAATCTAACCATGAAACCAAAATTGATTTTGAATCCAAATTCCAAACGTGCACTTTCAAAAGTAGAGTGTGCTTCTCTCAAATCATGTTTTCTAAAAATTGCTAAACTACCGTAATCCAACGTAATCCAATCGTAAAGTAGAAAGTTATTTTCATTTTCAAAAGTCAAAACGAAGTGTAACTATCGCTTTTTTCTCTCTATTTTTTTGCGAACAGGATTTGATATTAATCTTTAGATAATCTCGAAAAGCATAGCATATATAGAAAATGAGTAACGGCTCAATGAATACGGGGAAAATTTTATTGAAAGTAGACTTTTACTGATCACTTTTTTTAGGACCCAGGAACTCCAAGTAGAACTCCCAGTACTCCCTGTAGAACTCCCTGTAGAACTCCCACCAAGTTTTCCATCTCTGCGATGGTAAACTCATAATCAAGCACAGAAAAAAAGACAAATTTATTGCCAAATGTGATCTATGTGCAAAAGAATGCACACCTCTTTACTCTAACGGCAACGACTTCAATGAGAAACCATTCGAGAGTAGTTTTCTTTTTTCTTTATTATTGCAAATACTCAAATCAAGATAAGGATTCTAAGGCATGGAAAGAGGCTGAAAGTAATGTAAAGTAATCGTAAAATCTAATCGTAAAATCGTTGAAGCGAGCATGTATGAACGAAGAAACGCCGCAGACGCAAATGTCTAAATTTTATTTTTAGTTCGAAAAGTATTCTGTCGATTTCTTTTATTTAAAAAGAACGACAGCATTTGCATTAGCCGAAACGAATATTTCCATTGATCAACTAAAGCGTAGTAAGCGATGCGGAGCTTGGCTCGAATCACAGAATGTGCCTTTGTAGCGCTTAGAAATGCTGCCTAATGCTTAGAAAAAGGCAATAATACCGATGAATTATGGACGATCTTTGCAAAGTACTAGACGCCTATAGATTAAGTGATAAAACGTAATTTTTGTTGCAAACGGTGCTAAAGCAAATACTAATGCAGCCATTAATTTGAATCTAGCAAGGTACAAGCAATCATAACTTAGATCTCTTATTTACCTTTAGAATACTTTGTTTTGCTCATTTGTTTCACACTATGATGGCTTTAAAGATGAGGCTGAAGTTTCCATAATTGTAGAAAAAGTCAGAGCTGCTATTACTTATCGTTTAAGAAAATCGGCAGCAGTGAAGCTTGAGAGTTACAATGTTCCACTAGCCTCAAAGCATGTCGCCATTTTTGAAAGTCAGAAACATCATCTCATTACCGAAGCAATAAACGTGAATTTTAGTTATTGGGTTAGTGGGTATGACTTTGCACGTTTTTTCAAATTAAATTCCATAGATGTAAACAAAAATGAGGGCAAAAATGGTTTTATGGAAAATAGATAGGTGAACATTCACTCTTTCTTTTGAAAACAATACACTTTCACTTTTGACATTTGGCTTTTGGGAATTTTACTTTACTTTGTTCTAACTATTGAAAATCTACTATCTGGAGATCTGCGACACGTTAAGTTGTACGAATTTCTACAAGGACAGTGGCCTCTAGTGGTCAGCTAATATTGAGAATGTTTCTGTGGAAGGATCAGCTCCACTACGGACATGTGCAAACTGCTTTGTTAAATTCCGTTCTGGAGATGAATCTTCGAAGACAAAGGAAGGGGCCATCCAGCAGGGACAATGCCTAGTTGCTCGACATGACATGACATGATAACTGCACGTTTTGAAAATAACTCGTTCTACACTAAACTCACTTGATGGGAGGTGATGGCCTCTTCGGCATACAGCCCTGATATTGCACCTTCTATTACTACTTATTGCGGGCGATGAGCGATGATTTGGCGTATAAACACTTTGATTCCGAAGACGAGGCCAAAACAAATCGTTGATGGGTTGGTTTGCGCCAAAACGGCATTTTTGACGAGACGGGCATTCGACTTCTACCAGTAAAATGGGCACCAATCATACAAAATAACGGCAAATATCTTGTATCATTCGAAGCTGTCCATTGAAGAAATATTTCATTTCAAACAACGTGCCAAAACGACAGGTTTCAAACTACCTACCCAATATCCATTGGCTTTTTAATAAAATTTTGAAGTGAATAGAGATAATTTTTGGCACTCGTGCCTAAGCTCCAACTTTTATTAAAAATTCCAATGAAACACTTGAAACGTTTGAAACATTTCAAATTTACAAAGATACAAATTCTAAAACCGAGTAAAACAGAAAAACAGAGTAAAAACCGAATCGTCATTGAATGCTAAAATATGCAGCGAAAAACCAAAAATCTAGAACGGAAACAAATTTTAGACGTATTGCTGTCGATTATAGAGAGCATTTGGGTCGGTTGAGTCGATGGAGACGGAAACGGAAGCGAGCGAGGCGAAGAAGACCATGACGATCACCAAGAAGCCCACCAGAAGAGATTTGAAGCATCCGTCAGCCCTAAAGGAATTGCTTTAACAATTGTACTCGTTTTTAACTGTGATGAATCAACCAACCCTGGCTCTTGCTTCTTCAGAACATTGACGATCCTTTGGTCGAAATCGTTTTGTTTCGCAATAGCTTCTTCGAGCTAAAAGATAGGTGATATCAAAAACAATAACAATTGTCAATTGTACCTGGTATGTACCTATAACTATGTAACAAACCTAGGCATTTAGCTCAAAGACGTTAAAAGTTACCCCAAGTTCCACAAACAATCGACCCATTGGCTCCAAAACTCCATTTTCCTTTTCTCGATCGATAGTTTTAGATACAGTGTGTTCAACCTCGAGATGTCCGAAGTCTTCAGTCTGAGCGTCAGACATTTCCTAAAAGAAATAAGTTACATCCCGTTCTAAAAAGTTTAACAATGCTTTCATGACTTATAAAACCTATATGTTCTCATATCAACTTGGCACCAGGGGACTGGGCCCCTGTCTAACTATTACATCTTACATGTTTTGCCATTACATTTGAGTAATTCAAGGTTAGTGAGTGAACGGTCAGGCCTAACAATCCAGCTTTGATTTCTATCGATCATACCCAACTCCCTTTACACCAACAATTATTCTCAACACTCCCACTTTTTCCCTGTTGGCTCATCCTTCCCAAATGGCTCCGACGAGTCGATCAAGGGGTTCATCATATCCGTGTGAAGTTGATGACTTCCCTTCAGAATCTAAATGAAATAAACTTAGCTTGCAGTCATTTCTTTAAAATATGCTGCAATCAACTATAATTGTTAAAGATTACTTCAGCTAATCGTAACTTCTCTTTATCAGCCTCCAGGTGATCGTTCTTTTGACCAAGAGCTTCGTTTTGTTCCATCAAAGACATGTGATCACCCTAAAAAGATTTTTAAAGGTTTTACTATATGCAAAGTTTACCCCATTCTCATCCTTGCCAACGAAATCTGTGAGACATTGGGGCTGTTCTTGTTGTGAGTCGCTTTTCTAGAAAGTTTTATATTAAATAAGGTTCAAGAATTTAGTACTAATAAAGTTGGGGGGCAAATAATGTGCTTATTCTGAGATGAAGTGGCCAAAACGTACCCGGTACTGGCCTAGTTGGGAGGGGGGGGGGCACTTTGTTTTCTTCAAAACCCCTTTCTCTGGGGTAGTTTTATGCGTTTATTCCGGAAAACACAACGCGAGCTTAGGAAAATGCTTGGGAAAAAAGTGTCGGGGCTTCAAAGTGCGCGCTTATACAGCGTGATGAGCGGGATACACAGAAGGAAGAGGTCTAAAAAATGGTCTCTCAAAACATTTTTTGAAACCAAAAACACTTCTTCTGGCATAATTTAACCTAATGATCTGTTTTCTGATGAAATTAAAGCAAAATTTAAAAAAATTTTTCCAAATTTCGACCATGTACCTACGTAACACTTGTAACAGATTACTAGCCAAACTTCGTAAACTAATAATGAAACCTTTTAAACTGCCAAGCATCTCAGTAACTTTGATCACAAACTAACTTCACAACAACTCGTCATAATTTGTTCTGCTTTTGAACAAAGCACCATTGAAGATATTAGCTAAGCTTTTCAACCAAGATGTATTAGAAAAACTTCTATAGTACTTAGGGTATCTAATTTGCCAAAAACGACCAAAAGCCATAAACTCACATGCCGCAACTGAACGCTCTCCTCGCAACCCCAGGGCGCAACTTCGATTCGCGGCGAGACTGTTCCACTCATTGCTTCGTTGCCTGTAAAAAAGTCAATATAAAAGCGTGAATGTGCAAAATGAGAAAACAGAAAGTACTAAAACAACAAAATCTACACGAGAATGAAAAGTCCGCAATTCTTCTCATTTAAATAAGGCGTGTTGATGCGTTTTAGAATCAGGCAGCGTTGGGGTACGGTAGCTTTCCCATTTCCACTGTAACGTTCAGCAATTTCATTGTTTTACCCTGAAATTCTTGAATTTTCTGCATTCTTGTCGATTCTTTTTATTTTATTTTGCACTCAATATCTACAGATGTGAGTTTTTGTCCGAGGAGTGGGGTTGTTGAATTGTATTGATAAAGGGGTCGAATCCGAACAATCCAAAAATTTATTGTCAAACCCAGCCGAAAACCCCGCCTATCGATGTAAAAGAATAAGCGTGCAAAAGCCAAAATTGGTTTAAAATCGCAAATGAAGGCAAGCTTGCCGGAAAATCGACATGGCTTTGAGTCAGTGGCAAGAGATAAAGGATAAAATAACAAAACAAAGCTGACGAACTAAAAAAAGTCAAGTCCATTGTGCTGTTGATCTACTTGAGTTCCCTGAATTTTCTTGTTGTTAGACAATCATTGCGTAAACTGACCGCATTTTGAGATCTCCATTCGAGTAATGAGAAATGAGAAAAAGAAAATCTGATTCTTTATAGGGCTCAAATGTCTCTATTGTTATCCAATCTATCCACTTTTTCTCTGATCCAAAAGAACAGCAGTGATGCTGTACGCGTGTCCCATGATTAACCCGTTACTCAGCTGGTTCTCAAAGCTGTTTGGATCGGCCTGAAAAGAGAATCTTACAGTAATTCACTAGTTGCTAGCTCAAAGTCTATTCGATTTTACTTTTGCATGAAACTCACATTAATACTTGCACAGAAGAAAGAGCCCATTTGAAAGCCGCGAACAATCATAGCCATCAACGTGTTCTTGTCGGTTTTTCGCAAATCGAAATGCTCAGTTAGACCAGCTGAAATATTTTCGAATACTGACAATGAAATTTAAAATTTGATTTGAATGCAAATTCAACTTGAACTTTTAAAAGTTACCCGTGAAATCCTCGAGCTCGTCCGTCGGAACCCGGCCATCGAGCCACTCGTAACAAGTGATCATCCTTACCCCTTAACGATCTTCGATCACCTCATCTATTTGTGATTGTCAAGTTATCCACTTGTCAAAGAAGTAAATGATTTAAATCTGATACCAAACATTAAACTTACATGTGGCCGAAGTCATTTCACCGGCTCAGATAGCGATTGTCTGGAATTATTGGTTGTTACTTGAATGCAATTTTCAAAATTTCACAAACTTTGTGGAAAATCTTGTTTCCATCAAAGGCTCCATCGGTTCGACCCGTGTCATTTTCGATCTTGTTGAAGCTAAAAGGGAAAAGCTAGACTGGACTTTTGTCGTGCACTTTGTAAGTAAAAATCTGTAAACAGAGCGTTTCTGGCGCACTGAATACGAGGGTTTGCCGCTGCAGACTTGAAAAATTCATATCTGTACATATTGAGTGCAAAATAAACTAAACAATCGGCAAGAATGCAGAAAATTCAAGAAGTTCAAAGTAAAACAATGAAATTGCTCGACGTTACAGTGGAAATGGAAAGACTACCGTACCCCAACGCTGTCTGATTCTAAAACGTATCAACGGCCTTGATTGAGTGCAAAATAAACTTTAAAAAATCGACAAGAATGCAGAAAATTCAGGAATTTCAAAGTAAAACAATGAAATTACAGTGAAAAATGGAAAGACTACCGTACCGTAACCCTATCGTACTGTACCAAAATAAACTTAAAAATCAACAAAAATGTAGAAAATTAAATAATTTCAAAGCAAAACAACGAAATTCCAGTAGAAATGAAAAAACTACCGTACCCCAACGCTGTCTGATTCTAAAACGCATCAACGAACTTTATTTAACTGAGAAGAATTGTGAACTTTTCATTCTCGTGTAGATTTTGTTGCTTTAGCGCTTTCTGTTTTGTCATTTTGCACATTCACGCTTTTATATTGACTTTTTTACAGGCAACGAAGCAATGAGAGGAGCAATCGAGTCACATTTTGTGGTTATTTCCTGTGGTTGCGAGGAGAGCGAACAGATGCGAAAAGTTGCGAACTTATCCATGCAAGTAAGTTAGTGGTTTTTGGTCGTTTGTGAAGATTAGATACCTGAGGTACTATAGAAGCTTTCTAATATGTCTTGGTTGAGAAGCTTAGCTAATATCTTCAATGGTGTTTGATTGAAAAGCAGAACAAATTATGACGAGTTGTTGTAAAGTTAGTTTGTGAGCAAAGTTGGTGAAATGCTTGGCGGCTTCAAAGGTTACATTTTTGGTTTACGGACTTTGGCTATCTATTCATCAAAAGTTTAATCTTTTTGGTCCGTGGAATTTTAAAAGATTCGAATTGATGATATAATCTGTTATATAGTAAAATTCTTAAACCTTATTTAATATAAAACTTTCTAGAGAAAAAACTCACTACGAGAACAGCTCCAGTGGCTCGCAGATTTCGTTGGCAAGGACGAGAATGGGGTAGAATTTGCATATCTGACGTCTGATGCTGATGTTCAAACTGAAGACTTCAGACATCTCCAGGAGGGATGCACTGTATGTGCAGCTATCGAGGTAGGGGTAATGTACTTTTCTCTATATATGATTAGTCAACGGCGATTATGAATCACTAAACTGTAAAATTAAAAACCAACTTTAGGTGATTGAAGCACATTGTCAACAACTCAAGGATGAGCTGGCCGCAAAGGAAGAAGAGCTGGGGGTAAACGCTTAAAGTATTGCTTTTAAAAGTTTTTCTTAGTCAGCTGCACAAAAGGTTTCGATGGTTTCTGAACGTTTAGAAATGGAATTGGCGGCTAAGCAGGTAATGGATTTGATTAAGTGAACCTGAATGGAATACTTTAGGCTCTTCAAGCTAAATACAACTGTGTCAAGGCTGATCACCAAAAAGTTTGCGCCGGTTTGTTATTCATTAAATTTTTTTCTTTAGTTTCTTCTCCGGCAAAAAGTCGAAGAACTTGAGGATCTTGCGGTATTATCATTTTCTATATATATGATTAGTCAACTGCGATTATGAACCATTAAATTGTAAAATTAAAAAAAACTAACTTTAGTTGATTAGAGCACTTTGTCGAGAGCTCAAAGATAAGCAGGACGCAATGGAAACTCTTCAAGCTAAATACGACCGTGTCAAGGCTGATCAACAAAAGGTTTGCGCCGTTTTCTTGTTGATTGAATTTTGTTTCGATTGCTTGGGGATTCGGGAAGCTTGTTTACCTTGTTTAAATGTTTTTAGCTAAATGGCTAGATTATATAGCTATAGATACAATTGGAATGCTTACATACTAGGTACAATTGGCAATTGTTAGTGCTTTCGATACCACCTATCTTTTAGCTCAAAGAAACAATTGCGAAACAGAAGGGGGTCGGCCAAATGATCGTCGATGTTCTGAAGAAGCAAGGGCCAAGGTTTGTTAGTTCGTTGCAATTAAAAACTAATACACTGTTAATTCAATTCCTTTAGGACTCGCGGACGCTTCAAACTTCTTCTGGTGGGCTTCTTGGTGACCATCGTCTTCTTCCCCTTGCTCGTCCGTCATCTTCGCCTCGCTCGTCCATCGTCTTCTTCTTGGTGGTCGTCACAAATGCGCTCTATAATCGACATAAATACAAATACAACTACATCTAAAATTTGCTCTCTTGTTCGTGCATCTGTCTATTCTTTGTTTCTCGTTTTCCAAAAATTATTTTAGCATTCAATGCCAATTAATAATGATCTGTTTTTATCCCGTTTTACTCGGTCTTAGACTGTTTACTTCTAAATTTCAAATGTTTTGTTTTCCCATTTTGTTGGAATGCGGAATAAAGGCTGGAGCTTAGACACAGTGCCAAAAATCATGTATATTCACTTCTTTTTGAAACTATAAAATTGGTAGTCAACTTTTTGTCCTCATTTTTTTGATCCCGAAACATCAATTATCTTGGCCCCCTTTTTCCTGTCCAAAACCTATAAAGGTAGCAACAAACCCCCCATTTTACCGGAAATTAATTTTCCATGAAAATAAAACGATTTCAATTTCTGAATTGCTCCCGAAAAATAATTTAAGTTATTAATAAATTTCTTGGCAAAAAAGTTTATGAACTTAACAGATCGGATATGGAAAAGTCATGGGAAAATGTTGAGAGCCTGAGCGCTTTTGGGAAAGTTTTGAGTTTTGTGTACTCATTTTGGAAACAGCGATCAGAAATTCGAGTACAAAATTGGTGAATTCGGATTTTGGAATGAAATTTTAAGATCTTTGACCATTTTGATAGCAAACTGCTGAAGCCAAGGTGATTCGTACCAGCGATGTTCCAAAGATATCTAGTTTTTTTTCTGATTAAACCATGCTTGACCAGGGTCAGATCTTGGTCTGGCTTCTAACCTGGATTACATTCTTGTCTGGTCTGAGTTTACTGTAAATTTGGCCCAGATAAGGTCCTAGACCAGCTGTTCCAATCAGACTCTACGTTTTACCTGTTCAGACAGAAAACAGGAATCGGATTTTAAAATGATACATTACCCTTGTGTATCTTAAATCCGAGTGAATAACAGCAATTCTTTATTGGCACGTATGTGTTGATGTTACATGAGTCCGGACTGAGATTTCGTGATCGAGCACTCTCTTTTAGCCTACCCTTGATGGGCAGGACTAGACATGGGAAAATTCCAAGCCGGACCTAATTCCATCCTCGTCTTCTTGGCCGTTTCTTGGCCGATTGCTCTGAAGTTTTGTCTACAAGCTGAAAATGTCGATTTCTATCTGTAGACAAAATTTCAGAGCAATCAGCCAAGAAAACGAAGGTGGAATTAGGTTCGGGTTGGAATTTTCCCATGTCAAGGTGGGACCAGGTAGTGTGAGTTAAAGACCTTTCACTGGATCTCAGCCAAGAAAGAGTTCAGTCTTACCAAGAGTGAGAAATCGGCTCAAGGACACGAGAACGAAAAGTTGTTGAAATTTCGAGTGTCTGATAGCTGACACAGGTCTAGATTACAAATCCTTACAAGTCGTGCTATAGATCTTTTGTAAATCCTTCTTACTTTCTTGATTTTAAGGGCCACACCCAACTCCACTCGAATCCGATTTGGCGCTTCTGTGTCCTCATCACGGCTGCAAATGATCGACCGTAACCTTTTTTATAGTTTAAATTCAACTTCACTAACGATTATAGTTTGAAACGTACAGTAATCTAAAGCTTAGTCAGATTTCTTTGTTTAAAAAGTATCCATTCAAGTTTACTACATTTTCCTGAATATTTGCGTTCCCAAAAAAACATTGCCCACAGATGTTGGGACCCACAAATGTTGAGAGCCTGAGCGCTTTTGGGAGAGTTTTGAGTTTCGAGTACAAATTTTGGAAACAACGATCAGAAATTCGAGTACAAAACGTGAATTGGGATTTTCGATCTGAATCAAATTTTAAAGGTCTTTGACCATTTTGATAGTAAATTGCTGAAAACAAAGGGATTTGTACCAGCAATGTTTCAAAGATACCTAGTTTTTTGGATCATGCCATACTTGGCCAGGGCCAGATCTTGGCTGACTCTGGCTTCTAGTCTGGACCTTTTCTGGTCTGACTTTACTGCAAATTTGGCCAAGATAAGGCCCCAGAACTCGATCAGTTAGAGACCTTTCACTGGACCTCAGCCAAGGAAGAGCTCAGTCTGATCAAGAGTGAGGAATCGGCTCAAGGACATGAGAACGAAAAGTTGTTGAAATTTCGAGTGTCTGATAGCTGATACAAGTCTGGTCTAGTCTGGCTTACAAATCCTTACAGATCATGCTAAAGATCTCTTCTTACTTTCTTGATTTTAAGGGCCACACCCAACTCCTCTCGAATCCGATGTGGCGCTTCTGTGTCCTCATCACGGCTGCAAATGATCGACCGTAAGCTTTTTTATAGTTTAAATTCAACTTTGCTAACAATCATAGTTTGAAAAGTACAGTAATCTAAAGCTTAGTCAGATTTGTTTGTTTAAAAAGTATCTATTCAAGTTTACTACATTCGCCTGAATATTCGGAGTTTTTGCGTTCCCGTTCGTTGCGTTTGCAATTCGGATCGTTGCAATCGACACTCGAGTCTGCACACGTTCATCAAAGGACTCAAACATGATAATCTATCAAAAAATACCCAACAATTTGTGTATAGGAACATTTCGTTGTTGAAAATTTGATTTTACTTATGCATTTCGACTTTCACACCTGTTTTAGGCAATTTCTTTACAGACTTTGTCGCTGTAGACTTTCAAAATTCATCTGTACAGATTGAAAAATAAACTTTACAATCGACCAAATTGCAGAAAATTCAAGAATTTCGAAGTAAAACAATGAAATTAAAGTGAAAATGGAAAGACTACCGTACCCTAACGCTTCCTGTTTCTAAAACGCATCAGCGCGCTTTATTTAAGTGAAAAGAATAGCGAACTTTCTCATTCTCGCGTAGGTTTTGTTGTTTTAGTTTTCTCATTTTACACTTTCACGCTTTTATATTGACTTTTTACAGGCAACGAAGCAATGAGTGGAACAGTCTCGCCGCGAGTCGAAGTTACGCCCTGTGATTGCGAGGAGAGCGTGCAGTTGCGGCATGTGAGTTTGTGATTTTTGGTTGTTTGCGAGAAATTAGAGGGGCTATAGTAGTGGGAGGGCGGCAAAAATTTTTTACGCCAAATGAGCGGTTGCACCCAGCGGTTTTTGACTATGCTGAATCGATCGATGAAACTTTTGACAACGTTTATAACAAACTTATTGAAAACCTAATATACTTATTCTGTGATGAAGTGGCCAAAACGTACCCGGTACTGGCCTAGTTAGGGGAGACACTTTTTTTCTTCGAAATCACTTTTTCAGGGGTAGTTTTATGCATAGATTCCGAAAAACACAATGAGAGTTTGCGAAAATTCGTTTTAAGCCAAGTGTCGGGGCTTCAAAGTGCACGCTTCTATAGTGTAATCCACTGTATGGAACCCAAGCTATCGATTATTGGGGCACTTTTCAAGGGCAAAACTCGAGCCAAAACTATTTTTAGCCACTAAATATTCATTTTCTAACCTAAATTGATGCAAAACAAATTGGAAAAAATATTTTTTGGAGATTTTGACATTTTGACAATATTTTTGACAATATTGGGCGAAACCACCAGCAATTGATTCAGTATAGTTAAAAACCTATGGGTGCAAAAAATCAGCTACTCAGTCTCTAATCAGTTTGACAGGAAAAAAAATTGCCCCCCAACTACCATAGCACCGAATTTAGATACTATAGAAGCTTTTCAAATATCTCTTGGTTAAAAACCTTAGCTAGTATCTTGCAATGGTGCTTGATTCAAAAGCAGAACAAATTATGATGAGTTGTTGCAAAGTTAGTTTGTGATCAAAGTTAATGAAATGCTTGGCAGCTTCAAAGGTTTCATTATTAATTCGCGAAGTTTGGCTATCTATTCATCAAAAGTTTAATCTTTTCGGTCCGTGGAATTTTAAAAGATTCGAATTGATGATGTAATCTGTTAGCTAGATAGTAAAATTCTTAAACCTTACTAATATAAATTTTTTAGAGAAACAACTCACTACAAGAACGGTTCCAATATCTCACAGTCATGATGGACGAGACTGAGGTAAACTTTGCATATAGTAAAACCTTTAAAAAATCTTTTTAGAATGAGCTCATGTCTTTGATGGAACAAAACGAAGATCTTCGTCAAAAGAACGATTACCTGGAGGCTGATAAAAGAAGTTACGACAGGATGTTGAAGTAACATTTAACAATTATAGTTGGATGAAGAATATTTTAAAGAAATGACTTCAAGCTACTTTCGTTTCATTTAGATTCTGGAGGGAAGTCATCAACTTCTCGCGGATATCGTGAACAACGCCTTTATCGATTCGTCGGAGCCATTTAGGAAGGATGAGCCAGTGGAGAAGAAAGTGGGAGTGTTAAGAATAATTGTTGGTGTAAAGGCAGTTGGGTATGATCCATAGAAATCAAAGCTGGATTGTTCGGCGTGACCGTTCACTCACTAATCTTGAATAACTCAAATGTAATGGCAAAACATGTAAGATGTAATAGTTAGACAGGGCCCAGTTCCCTGGCACCAAGTTGCTATGAGAACATTTAGATTTTATAAGTCATTAAAGCATTGTTAATCTTTTTAAAACAGGATCTAACTTATTTCTTTTAGGAAATGTCTGATGCTAATGTTCAAACTGAAGACTTCGGACATCTCGAGGATGGATGGACCTTGTGTACAACTATCGAGGTAAAGGTATTGTCATTTTCTTTATATATATGATTAATCAACTACGATTATGAACCACTAAATTGTAAAATTAAAAAACTAACTTTAGTTGATTGGAGCACTTTGTCGACAACTCAAGGATAAACAGGCCGCAATGGAAGCTCTTCAAGCTGATTACGACCGTGTCAAGGCTGATCAACAAAAGGTTTGCGCCGTTTTCTTATTGATTGAATTTTTTGTTTAGTCCCTTCTCCGGGAATTACGCGACCAGCAGGAATTCGAAGAACTTGTGGATCTTTATCGGAAGGCTGCTGAGGTTGTTGGGACTTATGAATATCGAATATATCTTTGATTTAGCATGAGAAGCTCCGCGGTGGAATGGAAAATCAAGGTCTGTTCGCGTTTTGGAGCAATGGAGTTTTGGATCAAACGTTTCGATCGCTTGAGGATTCGGTAACTTTTAATGTCTTTGATCTAAATGTCTGGGCGTGTTACATAGTTATAGGTACATACCAGGTTCAATTGAGAATTGTTATTGCTTTTAATATCACCTAATAGGTTGGTGCATTGTCTTAAGTAAATGTTTGAGCTGTAATTTCTCGAGAAAAGAAATATGTATTTATTCAAAATAACCACCATTATTAAGGATAAGTTGTTGCCATTTATTGCGCAAAGCGTTGATTTCCTTCTCTTGCTACAGGGTTGCCGCTTGGAGAAGAGTCGATTCATTTTTCTACTTCCTCCACATCTCCAAAGTACTCATCGGCCAAATCAATGGCCATCTCCTTGAATGAAAATCACTAGGGGCCAAGTCAGGCGAGTACGGCGCATGCGGGAGAATTTCCCGGCCTAAAGTCTTCAGTTTTTCCTTGGTCAAGTTTGCAACGTGGAGCCGTGCGTTATCATGTTGCAAAATGACCTTGCCCATGTTGGACCTCTTTTTTCACTTCAGAAGCGACTCGATCCAATTGATCAACGTATAGGGAGACCTTGATAGTCGTCCCTTCTTCTAGCAACTTTCAGTAAATAACTCCTTCTCTGTCTCACGAAACACATAACATAATCTGGTGAATTTCGGGCTGGGGGTCGGGCTTTGATTTTTCGCCTGGAGCAACCCATTGTTTATGTCTCCAAAAGTTGACATAGGTTACCCATTTTTCCGCCTGTTAGCCTGTTATCAGGTGGGGGAAAAAGGTCGACGTTGATAACACGAGATTGAAGTGGCTGATACAGATAGCCTCTGCGCAGCTAACTCACGGGTTGATTGTTTGTTGTCATCGGGTATAAGTGTCAAAAGAGTGGATTTATGAAGACCCGTCGGTCGCCCTGACCTCGACTGATCTGCAAGAGAGAAGTCGTTCTTTTAAAAGCGATGATACCAATTGTAGATAGTTCCCATAGTCACCGATCTTGCCCCGAAAGATCGTTGATTTCCTTTTCAGCAAAGGCGGCACTTGCGTTTTTTAAAATAAAATAGAATGGCATTTCGGAAATGACTTGTGGGTAGATTTTCGGTAGTTTCACGATTCAAGTCCGAAAATAAAAAAGGATTAAGCAGTATTTCATTTCGTGTTTTCAGGGATCAATAATCAAGAGTTCAAGTAGACAAAAGCCCTTACCAGCTGATCGTAGGAGAGCCTAGAGAAGTAGAGAAAGAAAGACAAAAAAATTCTAAAGACTTTTGCACCAGTCTTATCTTTTAGTTCGAAGAAGCGATTGCGAAACAAAGCGAGATCGGCGCGCTTGGGAGCAATGGAGTTTTGGATCAAACGTTTCGATCGCTTGAGGATTCGGTAACTTTTAATGTGAGAGCTCTGAGCTTTTAACTTTAAGTCTAGGTTGGTTACATAGTTATGGGTATATATTAGGTACAATTGATTTGATATGTTGTTGCTTTTGATATCACCTATCTTTTAGCTGCAAGAAGCGACTGCGAAACAAAACGAAGTTGACCAAATGATCGTCGATGTTCGGAAGAAGCAAAAGCCAAGGTTTTTTAATTCATTACAATTAAAAATTAGTACATTATTAATTCCTTTAGGATCTGCGGATGCTACAGACCTCTTCTGTCCAATACATCTAAAATTTGCTTCCGTTGTAGAGTTTTGGTCTTTCGCTCCGCTGTTCGTGCATCTATCTATTCTTTGTTTTCCGTTTTTCAAAAATTATTTTAGCATTCAATGCCAATTAATAATGATCTGTTTTTACTCTATTTTAGACTGTAGTTTGCAAATTTCGAATGTTTCGTTTTATTATTTCGTTGCAAGCTTTAAGCTAAAAGTTTTAAGGCACAAAGTGTCAAAAGTCATGTTTATTAACTTCAAAATTTTATTCAAAAGCCAATGGGAATTGACAACTTTGCATAAAATTTGCTTCCGTTGTAGATTTTTGTTCTTTTGCTCCATTCTTCATGCATCTCTTTCTTGGTTTTCCAAATTTTGTTAGCATTCAATTGCAGTTAGTGATCTGTTTTTATTCGAACTATTATTGACTATTTTCTTGTAAATTTCAAATGTTTCATTTTTATTATTTCATTGGAATTATGAACGAAAGCTGTTGAATAAAAGATAAATAAAAGGCTTGAAGGCACGAAGTACCAAAATTATGTACATTCACTTCTAAATTTTATTAAAAAGCCAATGGGAATTAACAACCTTGCATAAAAGTTAAGGACTTGTGGATGTAAAGGAATCCGCATTTCAAAAGTCAAAATTCGTTTAAAATCGGAAAATCGATATCGTTTTGAGGCAGTAAGGAAGAGATAAAGGATAAAATAAAAAACAAAGCTGACAAACTAAAAAAGTCAAGTCCATTGTGCTGTTGATCTACTTGAGTTCCCTGAAATTTCTTGTTAGACAATCATTGCGTAAACTGACCGCATTTTGAGATCTCCATTCGAGTAAGCACGAATGAGAAAATCCGCTTCTTGGTAGAGCCATCAACGATAAAACATGGATCTTAGACAATATCCTGAAATATTGTAGCTGATACAAAACCTCAAGGATTTTCAGTGTGCCAGAGACTGTGCGTCTGCAAGAACTCAAAACACGCGCCGGTTTCCTCACTACTGTACTGCAAAGTAAAGCAGTTTTATGGCTCAAGCTTTGATATTGTCAAGTTATCCACTTGTCAAGGAGGTAAATGACTTAAAACTGATATCAAACATTAAACTTACATGTGATCGAAGTCATTTCACCGGTTGTCTGGAATTATTGGTTGTTACTTGAATGCAATTTTCAAAATTTCATAAGCTTTGTCGAAATCTTGGTTTCCATCAACGGCTTCATCGACTCGACTCGTGTCATTTTCGATCTTGTTGAAGCTAAAAGGGAAAAGCTAGACTTGACTTTTGTCGTGCACTTTGTAAGTAAAAATCTGTAAACAGAGCGTTTCTGGCGCACTGAATACGAGGGTTTGCCGCTGCAGACTTTAAAACTTCATATCTGTACATATTAAGTGCAAAATAAACTAAACAATCGACAAGAATGCAGAAAATTCAAGAAGTTCAAAGTAAAACAATGAAATGGAAAGACTACCGTACCCTAACGCTGTCTGATTCTAAAACGCATCAACGAACTTTATTTAAGTGAGAAGAATTGCGAACTTTTCATTCTCGTGTAGATTTTATTGTTTTAGTGCTTTCTTTTTCTCATTTTCTACATTCACGCTTCTACAGGCAACGAGGCAATGAGTGGAGCAATCGGGTCGCGAATCGAAGTTGGGCCCTGTGGTTGCGAGGAGAGCATGCAGTTGCGGCATGTGAGTTTATGGTTTTTGGTCGTTTCTGGCAAATTAGACACCCTAAGTACTATAGAAGTTTTTATAATATGTCTTGGTTGAAAAGCTTAGCTAATATCTTGCAATGGTGCTTGGTTCAAAAGCAGAACAAATTATGACAAGTTGTTGCAAAGGTACTGAAATCCTTGGCGGCTTAAAAGGTTTCATTATTAATTCGCGAAGTTTGGCTATCTAATCATCAAATGTTTAACCTTTTCGATCCGTAGAATTTAAAAAGATTTGTATTGACGTTGTAATCTGCTACATAGATAATAAAATTCTGGTACTTTGGGTTGGGGGCACCTATATTTTTGATTTTTTCGCCTTTCAAAGGATAATCGAGGGCGCTGAGCACGTATTTCACAGTTATATAATAGGTTTTCCACTGAAAAACCGACATTTCGACACGTTGGAAATTGCACTTTTGTTGCACTTTATTGCAACTAAAAAATTTGTGTGACTAAAAAAGTCACAGTAATTTGTGACTTTTTCTAGTCACTGCTATTTGCCTAGGCTATGGCTTCCCACACTGACTGGAGACAGCCTATAGCCCGATTCACCCGGCTCCGGCCTTCCTGACACCCGGTGGCTTAGGTGGGTCGTTACGTAGCTGGTGAATCACTGTCAAACTGTCAAGTTCGTGCACAGCGCCCTAGATTACTCTGAAATGTGAAAAAATCCAAAATATTGGTGCCCCGAACCCAAAAAGTATCAAAAGTATTATTTAAGCTAAAACTTTTTAGAGAAATAACTCACTACAAGAACAGCTCCAATATCTCACGGATGTCGTTGGCAAGGATGAGACTGAGGTAAACTTTGCACATAGTAAAACCTTTAAAAATTTTTTAAGGGCGATCACATGTCTTTGATGGAACAAAACGAAGATCTTCGTCAAAAGAATTATCATCTGGATGCTGATAACAAGAAGTTACGACAGGATGTTGAAGTAATCTTTAGCATTTATAGTTCAACTGAGAATATTTTAAAGAAATGACTTCAAGCTACTTTCGTTTCATTTAGATTCTGGAGGGAAGTCATCAACTTCTCGCGGATATCGTGAACAACGCCTTTATCGATTCGTCGGAGCCATTTAGGAAGGATGAGCCAGTGGAGAAGAAAGTGGGAGTGTTAAGAATAATTGTTGGTGTAAAGGGAGTTAGGTATGATCGATAGAAATTAAAGCTGGATTGTTCGGCGTGGCCGTTCACTCACTAACCTTGAATAACTCAAATGTAATGGCAAAACATGTAAGATGTAATAGTTAGACACGGTCCAGTCCCCTGGCACCAAGTTGATATGAGAACATTTAGATTTTATAAGTCATTAAAGCGTTGTTAAACTTTTTAAAACGGTATGTAACTTATTTCTGTTAGGAATTGTCTGACGCTCAAACTGAAGTCTTCGGACGTCTCGAGGATGGATTCCCTGTGTGTACAACTATCAAGGTGGAGATATTGCCATTTCCGCTATATACCATACGATTATGAATTACTAAACTGTAAAATTTAAAAAACCAACTTTAGATGATTGAAGCACTTTATCAAGAACTCAAGGATAAGCAGGCCGCAATGGAAAAAGAGCTGGGGGTAAACGCTTTAAGTATTGCTTTTAAAAGTTTTTCTTTTAGTCAGCTACACAAAAAATGGCGAGGGTTTTTGAACGCTTAGAAATGGAATTGAAGGCTAAACAGGTAATGGACTTGAATAAGTGAACCTGAATGGAATACTTTAGGCTCTTCAAGCTGATTACGACCGTGTCAAGGCTGATCAACAAAAGGTTTGGGCCGTTTTCTTATTGATTGAATTTTTTGTTTAGTTACTTCTCCGGGAAGAACGCTACAAGCAAGAATTCGAAGAACTTGAGGATCTTTATCGGAAAACTGCTGAGGTTGTTGGTACTTATGAATATCGAATAGATCTTTGATTTAGCAAAATGAGAAGCTCCGCGATGAAATGGAAAATCAAAGGCTGGACGCGTTTGGGAGCAATGGAGTTTTGGATCAAACGTTTCGATCGCTTGAGGATTCGGTAACTTTTAATGTGAGAGCTCTGAGCTTTTAACTTTAAGTCTAGGTTGGTTACATAGTTATGGGTATATATTAGGTACAATTGATTTGATATGTTGTTGCTTTTGATATCACCTATCTTTTAGCTGCAAGAAGCGACTGCGAAACAAAACGAAGTTGACCAAATGATCGTCGATGTTCGGAGAAGCAAGAGCCAAGGTTTGTTAATGCATTATAACTAATATAAAAGAGTACATTGTTGATACAATTCCTTAAGCAAATGCAATCGCGGATTCTTCGAACCTCTTCTGGTAAGCTTTTTGGTGACCGTCACCATCGTCTTCTTCGCCTCGCTCTTAATGATCGCATATGATCGACATCAATACATCTAAAATTTGCTTCCGTTGTAGATTTTTGGTCTTTCGCTCCACTGTTCGTGCATCTATCTATTCTTTGTTTTCCGTTGTCCAAAAATTATTTTAGCATTCAATGCCAATTAATAATGATCTGTTTTTACTCTATTTTAGACTGTAGTTTGCAAATTTGGAATGTTTCGTTTTACTATTTCGTCGGAATGTTTAATAAAAGCTGCAGCTTAGGCACAAATTGTCAAAAATCATGTATATTCACTTCAAAATTTGTTCTAGGAAGCCAATTGGAATTGATAACTTTGCTTAAAAGCACAGACTTATCGATGTAAAAGAATACGCGTTTCAAGAGCCAAAATTCATTTAAAACCGGAAATAGAGACGGGCTGAGTAGCATTATCATTTGCGCTTATGAAATTCACTATAACAAATCCCTTCTCCCCAGCTTCTAACCAATTTTTTTTCAGTTTTCTGCTTCGCAATTTTGATGCACACACACATAGAAAACACGTTTGGCGTAAAACTTATAATATACGTACATGCTCCAAAAAAGGTACCCGCCTTTCTAAATCGCGCTCTTTGAGTGCACCTCTTCTCTAATGCATTTTTACAAATGTTATTCGGGAATGTTACGTAGTCATTTTTCAATAATGTTCTTTTTTTTAGGAATGGATTCTTCAAATGGAGAAGGGACGCTCTTTTTCGACCGCGTTCAAATTGGAAGCCATTGAGTCTGCCGAAAAAAGCATCGAATAAGAAAGCTGCCGAAAAGTTTCGAGTCGCGAGGCCAAGAATTATCGAGTGGCAGAAACAGCAAGAACGGCTGCTCACGGGAAATAACGATGCAAAGCGATTGAAAGGAGGCGAACGAAAGCTCAATTTTTTTCGGAAAACGATTACTCGAATTCTCTCGACGACCAGCAATTGCTCAACAAGTTCAACCTTATTCGATTGATTTCAAGCTGGACGCCATCGAATATGCAAAGAGGAACTCCAAAAATGATGCGAGCAAACTCCGTGCCGATCGAGCAATGATCCATAAATGGGTTTTACAGGAAGGACAATTGCGAAAAATTGAGGAAATCGTTGATGCAATTGAAAAGAGCCGAGAGGGAACTTACAAACAAACAACTCGATCAAGGACGGGTCGACTGGATCCGAAGCAAGCGGCGGAAGAGGAACAAAGTTTCGAGAAGATGGATTCACGAAAAGGCAAAAAACGTGCGCGAGCAGGATGGCACTAGGCTTGGAACGAGGAGATGATCGCCCACTTGTTGGAGGAAATTGATCTTGACGAAGGTGAAGAGAACAAGTGCTACGACAGAGTTTCGAGAAGATTGATTCACGAAAAGGCAAAAGACAAAAGAGCAGATTGAAGTCAGCGATGTTAACGAAAATGATATCGAGGATAATTCATTTAAGTGATATGTTTGTTTAAAAATGCTTTTCATTTCGTTAATTGATTGTTGCCTACGTTAAAATTTTGTTTTACTAATGAATAAATTAATCATAAATAGCTCTGATTTGAATGAAAACTTCTTGTAAGCTATTTGCTTAATTTTGCGGCGCGGTTGAAAAAGCGGTTGTCTAAAATTATTAGTTGTTACTTGAATGCAATTTTCAAAAATTTCACAAACTTTGTGGAAAATCTTGTTTCCATCAACGGCTCCATCGATTCGACCCGTGTCATTTTCGATCTTGTTGAAGATGAAAGGGAAAAGCTAGACTTAACTTTTGTGGTGCACTTTGTAAGTAAAAATCTGTAAACAGCGTGTTTCTGGCGCACTGAATACGAGGGTTTGCCGCTGTAGACTTTAAAAATTCATATCTGTACATATTGAGTGCAAATTAAACTTAAAAATCGATAAAAATGTAGAAAATTCAAGAATTTTAAAGCAAAACAACGAAATTGCTCAACGTTACAGTAGAAATGGAAAGACTACCATACCCCAACGCTTTCTTTTTCTAAAACGCATCAACACGCCTTATTTAACTGAGAAGAATAGCGAACTTTCTCATTCTCGTGTAGATTTTGTTGTTTTAGCGCTTTCTGTTTTATCATTTTGCACATTAACGCTTTTGGTTCTTTTCCAATATCGGGGGAGCGGTCCGATTATCGGGGGAGCGGAAGGATTATCGGGGGAGCAAATTTTGGCAGCGCTACATATGTCCTATTTAAAATTGTGACGAACGGGAGCTTGCTTTGTTGCAAAAAGTTATCGACTCGAATTCCTCTTGAATGCTTGGGGACCTTTCGCCGTGCGCAAGTGTCACATGCCCAGCGAAATAGATATTTCCCCTTTGAGCGGACTTTCATCGATTCGCCAGTTTCAAATCCACGACTGGATGACTCCTTTGGTGACAAAATAATCGATTGCCGTCGATTTCTTGAACGCACAAATATCGGAGAAGCGCATCATCGTTAAAGTTTTAAAAAAAAATGTTGCAGTTAAAATACAGTCCCGGAAATGCATTTTTCGAGGGGGCAAAATTTGCTCCCCCGATTTTCCTTTCGCTCCCCCGATAATCTTTCCGCTCCCCCGATATTGGAAAAGTACCACGCTTTTATATTGACTTTTTTTACAGGCAACGAGGCAATGAGTGGAAGCAATCGAGTCGCGAATAGCAGTTGGGCCCTGTGGTTGCATGCAATGGCATGTAAGTTTGTGTTTTTTGGTCGTTTTTGGCAAATTAGATACCCGAAGTACTATAGAAGCTTGTCTAATATGATATTCTAATATGTCTTGGTTGAAAAGCTTAGCTAATATCTTGTAATAGTGCTAAGCAGAACAAATTATGAGGAGTTGTCAGTGAAAGAGTGAAATGCTTGGCGGCTTAAAAGGTTTCATTGTTGTTTTACGAAGTTTGGCTATCTAATCATCAGAAGTTTAATCTTTTCGGTTCGTTGAATTTAGGAAGATTCGTATTGATGATGTCATCTGTTAGATAGATAGTAACAATCTTAAACCTTTTTAGAAAAACAACTCACAACAAGAACAGCTCCAGTGGCTCGCAGATGTCGTAGGGGGATGATAACAAGAAGTTACGACTAGCTGATGAAGTAATCTTTAACAATTATAGTTGAGCGAAGTATATTTCAAAGAAAGGACTGCAAGCTAAGTTTGTTTCATTTAGATTCTGAAGGGAAGTCATCAACTTCTCGCGGATATCATGAACAACGCCTTTATTCTTTCGTCGAAGCCATTTAGAAAGGATGAGCCAACGGAGAAGAAAGTAGGAGCGTTTTCGGTAACTTTTAACGTCTTTGGGCTAAATGCCTAGGTTTATTGCATAGTTATTAGTATAGATACTAGGTACAATTGACAATTGTTATTGCTTTTGATATCACCTATCTTTTAGCTCGAAGAAGCTATTGCGAAACAAAACGAGTTCGACCAAAGGATCGTCAATGTTCTGAAGAAGCAAGAGCCAGGGTTGGTTAATTCATCACAGTCAAAAACGAGTACAATTGTTAATACAATTCCTTTAGGATTTCAAACGAAACAAGGGTTAGGACTAAATGAAACAAACTTCAACTTCAGATGCTTCCAATCTCTTCTGGTGGGCTTCTTGGTGATCGTCATAGTCTTCTTCGCCTCGCTCGCTTCCGTTCCCGTCGACTCAACCGACCCAAATGCGCTTTATGATCGACATCACTACATCTAAAATTTGCTTCCGTTCTAGATTTTTGGTCTTTCGCTCCATCGTTCGTGCATATATCTCTATCCATCTATCTATCTATTCTTTGTTTTCCATTTTCCAAGAATTTTTTGAGCATACAATGCCAATTAGTGATCTGCTTTTACTAGCTTTTCGACTGTCATCTTGCAAATTTCAGATATATCGTTGTCATGTTGAATAAAAGCTTTAAGGCACAGGGTGCCATGTATATTCACTTCAAAATTTTATTAAAAAGCAAATGGAAATTGATAACTTTGATGCATCAAAGCAATAGGCTTATCGATGTAAAAGAAAACGCGTTTCAGAGGTCAAAATTCGTTAAAAACCGCAAATAGAGGCAAGCTTGTCGGAAAATCGATATCTTTTTGGGGCAGTGGGGGAGAGATAAAGAATAAAATTACAAAAACAAAGCTGATAAACTCAAAAATAAGTCAATTCCATTGTGCTGTTGATCTACTTGAGTTCCCTGAAATTTCTTGTTCGACGATCATTGCGTAAACTGACCGCATTTTAAGATCTCCATTCGAGTAAGCACGAATGAGAAAATCCGCTTCTTGGTAGGGCTCAAATGTTGAGGGAACGACAACGTATTCACCGGGTGGAACACGGAAACGAACGGTCACCTAGAAAACGGTGAACAATTCTAATCCATTTTAAACGTGTCAACTTTTTCTACGACTTTCTGCTTATCTCTATTGTTATCCAATCTATCCAATCTATCAAACGTTTTTTCTGATTCTTTGAGTATTCCATAAAGGGTATCAAAAGATGCAAAAAGTAGATGGATTCGGTAAAAATATAAACTAGATTACTGTAGAAGGAGACATGCTTTAGTGAATGAATTATTTGATATTACGGTAACGATTAGAGCTGTTCATTGATAAAGCTACAATTTTGTTCACCCACCTCTCGCATATTCGTGAACACGGGCACTTTGGCGAGCGATTGATTTGAGCGGAAGAATTGCTCGTTCAGCTTCACCCCGTTTCCTTGTGGAGCCTAGATTTTGGGCTAATGAGCTAATGGCTAATGACTTTGATATCTAATTTTACAAATCTTCTAGAAACCACCTTGTAAACGGAGAATCCGATCGGAAGATCGTCTTTCCCCTTTGGTCGGAGTTCGCGACGGAATTTTTGCAAAACCGCCACCACAACCTGAAATTTGATTGATGAATTGATTAAAAATAAAACCGGACTTTGTTGATTCTTTTGAAATTTGCATTGTAATTGCATTGCCAGCTTACCGTGCAATTTCCATCGCCTTCAACCCCGTTCTTTGCGTTCGTGAGCGACAATTGGAATTGTGGATTCTTCGGGAAGGTGGCTAAAAGAAAGAAGAGGTCACTGTAGAGCCTTTAGCCAATAAAATTAGATCTTTCTTTTTCAACTCACAAATATAATTGATACATCCCCCAGCGGAGTTCGCTTGACTGCTCCACGAGCCATCACATTGATCCTCTTGCCAGCTGGAAAGTGACGATAAGTAAAAGTTAACTTTTAGATATGGTGACGAAGGTTTTAAAGATTTGAAAGTATTAGGGAAGTTTGTTTTTGTTTTTTTTGGTTTTTTTTTGTTTGTTTTTGTTTGTTTATTTTTGTTTATTTTTGTTTATTTTTGTTTATTTTTTTTTTGTTTATTTTTGTTTATTTTTGTTTGTTTTTGGTTTGTTTTTGGTTTGTTTTTGTTTGTTTTTGTCTTTTTGTCCCATGCAAACACCCACGATCCAGGTCTCTTTCCCATCATCGCGCACCACTCCCGTCATTCGCTCGATCTCGTCTTCAACCTAAAAACTTTTGATACAAAGTTGATAACTTGAATCAAGTACAGTAAGCTCATTGATGTGTTTTAATAATTGATCAATTGCTAACTCAAAAAACTCACATCGGCCGACAAGTTACACACTTCCAACTGCTCGAATGAGGTGATGAAATCGTCGAAAGATATCCTAAAAATTCTTCTTCTGACTCAAGCGCTTTGAGATTTGTATGAAAATTTCAAAATTAAATTCACAAAACCTATCCTTAAACCATTCGGTCACTCACCAAAACTCGCCATCCGCATTAAAAGCCACTTGCAGCTTCGACTTCTCCGTTTGGTTCACCGAATTCCACAAAGGACTGTTGTCCGACCAGGCGCCGTTCCATTCCTGGAAATGGATGGGAATTGAATGGCTTTATATTTAAAGAATGCTAATCTAGCTTTAAACGGGATCTCCCAGCAATCCACACCTTACTATTCCCCCACGGGTTTCTCACGCGAAGCAGCTCCACATCACCGGACGAGGTTGGCACCTGGAAACGATTTTTTTAGCTTAAAATTGAATAATATAAATCCTCTATTAGACTGACATCCTTTATTAGAGCGAAACTTTAAAAGTGATATCGAAAAATAGCGGCAACCCAAATCAACAAATGAAAAAATTAGCATTACCTATATTTCAGAAATTTCAATTGAATGACTGAATATCTTTTGTTTCCGACTTTGTTTGATTCTGCTTTTTTTAAATTTTTTTTTTTTGCTGACAACTTAATGTGTTTATTTCTTTTTTAACTTTATTCTACATTTATTAATATTTTCTTTTTAGATGATGGAGACGTTAATCAAAGATCGTCAATCGTTAATTGTCAACAGCAAAAACAAGCAACTCGAGCGATCATTGGATGAAATGAGCGATGCTTTTGCGAATTTTCTGATCATCGGGACTGTGAAAAAAGGATTAACCAAGAGCTTCGATGACGATGGAAGTGACGATGGAGGAGATAAGGAAGCGAGAGAAACGACCGGACGAGGAAGGGACGCAAATGAAGCCGAGGATTTGACGAGTGCAAGAGGAGCAAAGCGGCGAGCCTTTCACGCCTTTCACGGCGGCGTGAAATTCAAGCTCGGAGTGTTCGAATACGCCAAGGAGAACTTAAATCAAGAAGCTGCCAAACATTTTCGAGTATCACGATCGTCGATTCAAGATTGGAGAAAACAAGAAGAATTTCGGTACTTGGTGGGCTGCGAGGGGCCACCTATATTTTTGATTTTTTCACCTTTCTGGTCGCCACCTTTCTAGGGGTAATCGAGGGCGTTGAGCACGAATTTAACAGTTTTAGCATGGGTTCTCAACTGAAAAACCGACATTTCGACAGATTGAAAATGACACTTTTTTTGCTTTTTTGCACTTTAAATGTAACTTTAGATTTGTGTACTCAAGCTATCGACTATTGGGGCGCTTTTAAACGTCAAAACTAGAGCCAAAACCATATTTTTAACACTAAATATTCATTTTCTAACTTAAATTGACTGGTAGATGCAAAAAATCTAAAAAAAATACTTTTTTTTTGAGATTTTGACTGATTTTGACATGGTTGAAATTTGGAAAATTTTTTTTTTATTAATTTTGCTCTAATTTGATCAGAAACGTAACCAGTAGCCCTTGACTTGGCTTAAAACGCCTTTTCCTAAATTCTCGTTGTGTTTTTCGGAATCTACGCATGAAATTACCCCAGAAAGAGTGGTTTTGAAGGAAAAAAAATGCCCCCCTCCCTAACCTTAATAGCGCACATATGGGCGACATTTGGCGGATTCATTCAAACAATGCGCAATCACTACAGGACTCGATAAATCGGAAGACCAATCGATAGATCGGAAGACCAGCTCATTTCAAAACAAATGAACCTATCCCGATTGGAGATGAAAAGCTGAAAGATGCACAAATGGATCAAGAAGTTTTGGCTCTTCTTGAAGAACTAGATAACCATCGAAAATGATGTAGCAAGCTTGATTTTGATGCACCATTGGAGTTTATTGATTAGGTAGATACTTTATCATGTTTTTTTTATCTTTGTACATTAGCGGCATACCGGTCTAATAGATGATTTACGATATTTTCTGCTTATTTATCGAAATATAGCTATTGCAAATGATTTATAGCCAAAAGAAACCGTTTGAACAGCAGTGATGCTGTACGCGTGTCCCATGATTAACCCGTTTCTCAGCTGGTTCTCAAAGCTGTTTGGATCGGCCTGAAAAGAGAATCTTACTATTTGCTAATTCAGTAATTCACTATTTGCTATCTCAAAGTCGATTAGATTTTACTTTTGCATCAAACTCACATCAATACTTGCACAGAAGAAAGAGCCCATTTGAAAGCCGCGAACAATCATAGCCATCAACGTGTTCTTGTCGGTTTTTCGCAAATCAAAATGCTCAGTTAGACCACCTGAAATATTTTCGAATACTGACAATGAAATTTAAAATTTGTTTTTGAATCTGTAGCAAATTGACACTGCTTTGCAGTTAGTCAAAATTCAATACACAAGTTAAAATTCAAAGCTGATCGATAAACTGGTCCAGCTTTGAGTAATCAGCCACTAGACGATATTCAGTTGTTCGTTTGTCGTAGCTTGTGTACTTAAAAGCCCATTTAAGCATTATTTAAGCATTATTTAAGCTTTGTTTTGAGTGAGTTGTGAGCCCCTTTTTCTATTCATCCTTTTCACACGCAATTGTTGAAATAATTGTGATAGTGCCAGGTTGCTCCAGTTTAAGCGACGCAAAGTTTACCCTAATAAGGGAAAATTTTGATAAATTATGCGCTTTCAAGACAAGTTTACCCTAATAAGGGAAAGTTTTTGATTGTTGTTGTGCTTTCAATACCATCTACTATTAAATCACACCGAGAAACGGTCTCACAAGAAATTATAAAGATCAAAGTATAAATATTGGGTTGGTGAATTGAAAACTGCGGGATTTTGAACTAAAATGTGATAGTGCCAGGCTGCTCCAGTTTAAGCGAAGCGAAGTTTGCCATAATAAGGGAAAGTTTTTGATTGTTGTTGTGCTTTCAAGACATCTACCATTAAATCACACCGAGACACAAGAAACAAGAAATTATAAAGATTTTAGTCTCACAAGAAATTATAAAGATCAAAGCCTAAATATATATTTCTTACAGAACAGAATTCAACTTGAACTTTTAAAAGTTACCCGTAAAATCCTCGAGCGCGTCCATCGGAAGTCCACCATCGAGACACTCGTAACAAGTGAACATTCTGGAAAAGAAAGCTCAATAAGTATGCCAGAAAACAAGCGTTTACAAGAATTTTACATGGTAAATCAATAGAGATTAAATTGATTATATTCTATCGATTCTATTCTATCGCTTCTATTCGATAGATTCTATTCTATCAATTCTATTCTATCAATTCTATTCTCTCAATTCTATTCTATAGATTCTATTCTATCAATTCAATTCTATCAATTCAATTCTATCAATTCTATTCTATCAATTCATCACAATCTATTCTATAAGTTCAATTCTCTCAATCTATTCTATCAATTCTATTCTATCAATTCTATTCTATCAATTCTATTCTATCAATTCTATTCTATCAATTCTATTCTATCAATTCTATTCTCTCAATTCTATTCTATAGATTCTATTCTATCAATTCAATTCTATCAATTCAATTCTATCAATTCTATTCTATCAATTCTATTCTATCAATTCTATTCTATAGATTCAATTCTCTCAATTCTATTCTATCAATTCTATTCTATCAATTCTATTCTATCAATTCTATTCTATCAATTCTATTCTATCAATTCTATTCTATCAATTCTATTCTATCAATTCTATTCTATCAATTCTATTCTATAGATTCAATTCTCTCAATTCTATTCTATCAATTCTATTCTATCAATTCTATTCTATCAATTCTATTCTATCAATTCTATTCTATAGATTCAATTCTCTCAATTCTATTCTATCAATTCTATTCTATCAATTCTATTCTATCGATTCTATTCTATCAATTCTATTCTATCGATTCTCTTCTTAAATCTCACTTGGCATAAGCTTTCTCAACAAGAGCACTCCAGAATTCGTTTTGTGACGCCGATCGCATGTAAATCAATTTCCCGTTGATCGTTGGAAGACTAAAAAGGAAGATTTCTAATAGAAATTAGCCTAACTATAGATATCACAAGTATTTCAGAGCCAAGAGACAAGAACTCGAAGTACTCTAAGTATACAAGAACTCGAAGTACTCGAGGTACTCTAAGTATACAAGAACTCACTGGGTTTTCCCCATTGAATGTCAAATAAGAGATTTGAATTATTTACCCATACTTTACACTTTGCCCATTTTACAATACAATTCGAATTCCCCCTACCGATCGTCGATGACCACATCGACCCATTTCCCGTAGCGCCAAAAACGGAAATGGAAAATCCCCGCGTAATTCTCGGTAAAACTCTGATCGGGTGGGACAACGCGGAAGAAAAGTTCGTCACTAAAAGGGTTAAATGAATGGATTATTGCATTATTGCCTCTTCCCCTCACCGAAGTGTCAAATTCGCGATTGCGGCTAGTAGCCAACAATCACCGAGTTGTCCTTGACAAACATCGAAACGACTCTCACCATCAACGAGAAAACATGGATCTTGGATAATATCCTGGAAACAGCTCAAGATTTGATGTTATCAAGTTATCGACTTAGTTGAATCGATTGGATACAACGATCTCTTTCTCTGTAAAGTCGAAAATACAAATAACAAGGTTCCTTTGGGTTTTGCTGGATGTTTTAGAAACATTCAAATTCCCCATTTGATATTATCAAATATCAAATGTTATCAAATCCACTTGCTAACAAGGTAACTAACGATATAAAACATTGTACTTACATGTGGTCGATGCTAACAAGGTAGCTAACGATATAAAACATTATACTTACATGTGGTCGAAGCCATTTCACCGGCCCGGATGGCGGTTGTCTGTAGTAGAGACTTTTCGACTCGGCTGGGAACTCTGGATCTTCGAAAAGTGTTTTCGATTCGATACAACGATCTCTTTCTCTGTAAAGTCGAAAATACAAATAACAAGTTTACTTTGGGTTTTGCTGGATATTTTAGAAGTATTCAAATTCCCGAAATTACTTGTTGAAATCCAATCCCAGCGATTCGACGCCGGTCACCGCTTGAATCGCCGGCTTTTGTTGAAGGGGTTCAACCTGGAAAATGCTTTGCTTTTAGAAAATTCTCATATTTTACAATAATAGATATTTTAGCTATCTAAATCTAAACCTAGATACCTTTTGATCTTCTCCACTCAAAATCTTATCGAGCACAACTTTCCCGACGTCGCTGATCTTGTTGTGGCGACCACCCTGAAAGGTTTTTGATTCAAATTTGCCAACAAAAAGAAATTTGAACTTTTTTTTTGAAAATAAAGTGATTTTTCACATAAATTTGTTTGTTTGTTTGTTGGTTGGTTTGATTGTTTGTTTGTTTGATTGTTGGTTTGTTTGTTTGATTGTTTGTTTGTTTGTTTGATTGATTGTTTGTTTTATTGATTGTTTGTTTGTTTGTTTGTTTGTTTGTTTGTTTGTTTGTTTGTTTGTTTGTTTGATTGTTGGTTTGTTTTGTTTGATTGTTGGTTTGTTTGTTTGTTTGTTTGTTTGTTTGTTTGATTGTTTGTTTGATTGTTTGATTGTTTGTTTATTTGATTGTTTCTTTGTTTCTTTGTTATTGTTAATTGATTTGTGAATTGTTAATTGAAGGGATTATTGGTTGGAATTTTTTTGAAATTTCACAAACTTTATGGAAAATCTTGTTTCCATCAACGGCTCCATCGATTCGACCTGTGTCTTTGTCGATCTTGTTAAAGCTGAAATGGAGAAGTTAGTCTTTCATTTGCTATAAAGATGGAAATAGGTTTGGCTTGGAATTCTAGGTTCGAATTTTCTCATTTCTAGTTCATAAAGACAGAACTTGAAATCTATCAAAGCTAGACCTAATCTGATTTGATCTTTAGAATCATTTATAGAATAATCTTTAGTAAATGATCTTACTGATGATCACATTTCCAATCCTTGTCCCCGAAATGACGATGACGACGCCAGTGATGACGGAGATCTGAAAAAAGAGATTGCGAATGACAGAAACCTTAGAAATGGAGGTAATATGGTGTTAAAGCCAAGAGAATGATGAGTTGATTATCTTTTTGAGCTTTGTCTCTATGAATACTCGATCATATTGTCAGCTCCGAGCTAAACTGATGTTTAAGTTACTATTGTTATTCTTGAAGGATTGTTCTCCCCTGTGCTTATCCCTTTCATCGAGAAAGGGCGGCTTGGGGTTGCCTAGGGGGACAAGTGAGGCTAACTTGAAGTTCCCCTTTGAGTTAAGTTAAAGAGAGTGGACTCCTTTTGATATCCTGCCATCTCTAACACCTCGACAACCCGATTCAACTCCTCCAACGTATTAGAGGGGAGTCGCTGTGAAATGACCGAGCTGAATTGCAGTTGTAGTTGCAGTTGTAGTTGCAGCTGCAGTTGTAGCTGCAGTTCAGGCCGGTCCCCCGTTTCCCCTTGCACATTTGTAATCTATTCGTCTTATCGTACTACTGTAAATAAAGATATAGGATCTCTGCAACTGCAGTTCAGGTCGATGATTTCACAGCGACTCTCCTCTAATACGTTGGAGGAGTTGAGTCGAGTTGTCGGGGTGTTAGAGATGGCATATCAAAAGGGATCCACTCTCTTTAACTTTACCCAAATTCTAGTCCATATCCGTTTACTCCTAGGAACGGACAATATTCAATGCTCTCTTTAGCGCCTTTAGCCTTTAACTCACGTCTTTTTTGCCCTCCAATCCGATGCATAAAATGCCGAATGTCATTCAAATCCGAGCCACCAAAACCATCAAAAGCATCTGAATCAATTCATTGAACTTTGAATGTTTATTGATTTTTGGTTTTTTTTATGAAATCAATTACTAATTTAATGCTAAACTGTATAGAATTTAGAGCTTCTGTATGGAATTTAGAGCTTCTGTATAGAGTTTAGAGCTTCTGTATGGAATTTAGAGCTTCTGTATGGAATTTCGATCTTCTGTATAGAATTTAGAGCTTCTGTATAGAGTTTAGAGCTTCTGTATAGAATTTCGATCTTCTGTATAGAGTTTCGATCTTCTGTATAGAATTTCGATCTTCTGTATAGAATTTAGAGCTTCTGTATGGAATTTAGATCTTCTAAACTCCCAACTATGACACCGCGTTGATGGCGCGAATTTCCTGTGAAATCTTCCTTGTGTCCGATCGATTAATGGTCGATGAATGATGGAAATCTTTGTATAAATGATCTCCATTCTTCCGTTTATTTCCAATTGACGCACATTTGAATAATAGGTATCTTTTGGAGGTTTATGCATTTCCTTTAAGAAAAAGAATTCATTTTGAAAGAAATTGAAAACTTTAGAGAAAAATGTTTTGTAGATTTTAAGGCTAAATTTATAAACAAATCTTTTCAAATCCACTAAATTACTTTTTCTTTTGTGAAATTGAATCTTTAATGCAGAAGAATTGAAGAAGAAGTGGAGAAGAAGTGGAGAAGAATTGATGAAGAATTGAAGAAGAAGTGGAGAAGAATTGATGAAGAATTGAAGAAGAATTGAAGAATTCAGTGCAATAGAATGCACTAAATGGTACTTGTCGGTTCTACATCCACAGAGAATCCACAGAGAATCCATAGACTCAACTCGGTTTAAGCAAGAAGCTGACAACTTGTGTGGGGTGATGATGTTCAGTAATTGTTGGTTGTGAAAGTAGAGTGCTCGTCTGAAGTGTGACCAGTCGATCAGTTGAACGAAAATCGATAACCGAGAAGACTCGGATGGGGTTGCTTCACCGAGATGAGTCTTTGTGGACATCCACAAAGAATCATAAGCGACAAGTAGCGAAAGTGTTTACAGTTTTACACTAGTTACAACGCTAGTTTACAAGCTCAACTTGTAGCCACTTTTTATCGCAAGACTACAAGAAAATATTACATAAGAGAAGAAAAAAAGGACAAGAAAGTACATGGCTTTTGGAAAGTGAGTAAGTGAGAAAATTTGATTGGATGGGGCTGCCTCACTGCCTCTTTTTGGATGTATAAGGTACTGAAAGTGTTTACAACTTTTTGACACTAGTTACACTAGTTAGTTTACAAGCTCAACTATTGCAAGCTCAACTATTGCAAGCTCAACTATTGCAAGCTCAACTATTGCAAGCTCAACTAGTTTACAAGCTCAACTATTGCAAGCTCAAATATTGCAAGCTCAACTATTGCAAGCTCAACTATTGCAAGCTCAACTATTGCAAGCTCAACTATTGCAAGCTCAACTATTGCAAGCTCAACTATTGCAAGCTCAACTATTGCAAGCTCAACTATTGCAAGCTCAAATATTGCAAGCTCAACTAGTTTACAAGCTCAACTTATAACCACTTTTTATCGCAAGAATACAAGAAAATATACAAGAAAAGATGAGTGGAATGAAAATCGATAACCGAGAAGACTCGGATGGGGCTGCTTCACCGAGATGAGTCTTTGTGGATGTATAACCGATAAGTAGCGAAAGTCTTTACAAGCTAGTTGAAAAGCTCGACTTGTAAACACTTTTTGATTTCAAGAATACAAGAAAATATTACATAAAAAAGAGAAAAGGACAAGAAAGTACATGAAATATTTTTGTGAAAAGGCACAAAAAATGAGTGTCAGCCTTGAAAATGAAAAGAGAAAAGAAGAAAAAGAAGAAAAAGAAGAAAAAGAGGAAAAAGAAGAAGAAAACGAATCAATTTTCAGCCACAATTCTCTTCTACACTCAATTTTTGAGTTCTCTTTTCAGATTTTCAATTTTATTTGTACAATTGTGTACAACTTTTGATCTGAGATATGAAATTTTGAGTTTTCTTTTGTCTAAAAACAGAAATCTCTTTCGATTCTTTAGAAGATTGTTTTCGAAATAGAGTTTACTCAAAAGTAGACTTCGGAAAACAAAACTTAACCAAAACCAAAACTACCAAAACCAAAACCATAACAAAACCAAAACAAACCAAAACCAAAACCAAAACTAACCAAAACTCGCGAATATCTCGCGACTGGGAGGAGCTAGCGAAAATCTGTTTGCAGATTTGAAATCAGCATCCAAAAATCTATCCCATAGGCTATTTTTTGTTTCGAAATTTCGAGGTCGTGTTTTGGTCCTTTTTTCGGCCGCGAGATTTTGTGGAGTGAGAAAAAGTGAAAGGCTAATTTGCATTTTACATTAAAATTTGCATTTTTCAATTCTAAATTTACATGTTAATTTATATGCAAATTGAGTTTTGGTTTGTTTTGGTTTTGGTGTTTTGGTTTTGGTCTGTTTTGGTGTTTTGGTTTTGGTTTTGGTCTGTTTTGGTCTGTTTTGGTCTGTTTTGGTTTTGGTTTTGTTTGCCGAAGTCTACTCAAAAGTATACAGAAATTTTCTTATTTTAACATAAAAGAATTATATTATTAAGGTTAAAATCGATAAAAAGTTAACAATATAGGGGGTAGGCTAGTTTTTGCAACTTTTTTTTTGCGCAACAGGGTTATTTGCGCAACTGGGTCCTTTTGCGCAACTGGGTCATTTGCTGGGTCGTTTGCGCAACTCACCATAACTTTTTTTCTAAGTGGATCAATCTTTATAGTTTTGGTTTCATTTTGTTGCACTTATTGAGATCTACAAAATGAAACCAACATCATAAAGATTGATCCACTTAGAAAAAAAAGTTATGGTGAGTTGCGCAAACGACCCAGCAAATGACCCAGTTGCGCAAAAGGACCCAGTTGCGCAAAAAAAGTTGCGGAAGCTAGCTTATCCTCAATATAGCTTTACTTTTTAAAGTAGAAATTGTTAAATGAAAATTTGAAGTTAAAAAATGAATTTTTAAGCTTTCTTTTAAAAAAAAATACCGACTGGGGCTACCAGTGGTGAATTTATCGCATACACGAAATATATCAATCACAATACAACGACACACACAATACTAGGCTATAGCTTAACTTAACCCACGTCATGACAGACGGCTCCCTAACCCTAAGCTCAATGGGGAACTAAATAGCTTTTTTTGGTGGTGAAGGGAAGATGACGATGAAGGAGTGGCTTGTCACTTTAAAGAACTGGGGCCACAACCACCAGACTGCCCTCCAGAAAACCTCTCAACCCGAAGGGAAAGGAAATCCGGAAGGGGGTGACCATGTCGCATGTGGGGTTCGAACCCTCGACCTTCCGATTAAGATAAAAGACACTTAACCAGTCAGCCACACGTGCTTGATTAGATAAAAGTGAATTAGAAAAATTGAAATTGAAATTGACTTTAAAAAAGTGTTTAGTTGTTAAGAAAAATTGAAAAAAAGAGGTAAAAAGTGGAGGACAGCTGAGTAAAAAGAGCTGAGGCAAAAGAAAAAAATCGAAAAAACGGCTGGCTAGAGGCGTTTTTTCTCATTTTTTTTCTTTTCTTTTGGACCCGGCTTTTTTTGAGAAGAAAATTGTGGAAACGAGGAGATTTTGAGAAAAAAAAGAGAATCCTTTTCATTTTGAGTGCATTTTGTTAATCTGCTCTTTGAGAAATTGGATTTTAAAATGGAAATTGATCTTTTTAGGGGTAGGCTAGTTTCCGCAACTTTTTTTGCGCAACAGGGTCACTTGCGCACCAGGGTCACTTGCGCACCAGGGTCACTTGCGCACCAGGGTCACTTGCGCACCAGGGTCACTTGCGCACCAGGGTCACTTGCGCACCAGGGTCACTTGCGCACCAGGGTCATTTGCGCAACTGGGTCATTTGCGCAACTGGGCCATTTGCGCAACTGGGTCATTTCATTTTCATTTTGTTGCACTTATTGAGATCTACAGACCCCTCTTTTTAGCATAAAAAACACTTGTTTCTTGTTTAGAAATATTGAAATGAATTAAAATGAATTAAAATGAATTAAAATTAATTAAAATGAATTAAAATGAATTAAAATGAATTAAAATTAATTAAAATGAATTAAAATGAATTAAAATTAATTAGAATTAAAATGAATTCTTAAAATTGAAACTCTTTCCTTTAAAATTATTGCATTTTATTTGTAAAAACAAACCTTTAATAAACGTGTAATATCTTCTCTTTTCGCTTTTCCAATGATTTGTTTCGGTTTTGAAATGCGATTTTGTATAGGAATCGTCTTTTTGAGGGTGAGAATGATTCGTGATTACTGTCGGCGGGACATCATCGTCCTGAATTGCTTGTTTGGACTCGAGATTGTAAAGCAAAGGGGAAATTAGACGAGAGGTCGATTCTCGGAGTACTTTATGGGGTTAAAGTTTATGAGTTTGTAGCCACGTCAGATCAAGCGGATCGAGCATGATTTTAAAACATTTGACACGGCACTGCCCCTTTTCCCATTAGCAATCCAACTTTGAACTCAAATTTCTTGGTGTTAAGCTGTTCAAATGATATCAATTTTGTACCAATCGATAGAGAAAGACTTGGCGCATCGAATGATACCAAGAACGTTTAAATTGGACAGCAAAACACCAAGATATTTGAGCTAAAAGTCAGATTGCTAATGGAAAAAGGGGCAGATTGCTAATGGAAAAAGGGCGTATCAAAAATCTCATGGGACGGCAAAACTGGATCGTAAATTGGATCCCATTTGCCCCCACCATCTTGCCATTGGCAATCTAACTTTGAACTCAAATTTCTTGGTGTTAAGCTGTTCAAATGATATCAATTTTGTACCAATCGATAGAGAAAGACTTGGCGAATCGAATGATATAAAGAATATTGAAATTGGACAACCCAAAGACAAGAAATTTGAGCTTAAAGTTAGATTGTTAATGGGAAAAAGTGGAGTGGCGATAACCGGCCTAGAACCCTGCTTTCTGGCTCTCTGGCTATTTTCCAAAGCTCAAGTACACCAGAAAGAGTGTGTTTTTGTGGTTTCAAAACATAAAGTACACTTTGAAAATTTTTTGTAAGCCTAGATTCAATTGTATCCAAAGCCCAGCTTTGGGTACAATTGAACAATTGTTTTTCAACAGTTTTTGAAGGCATTTTTTGTCAAGTTTTGACTTAACAATGATGAATTCTGCTATTAAAACACAGCTTTCCATAGTTAATAAACAAGGAATTGTTCAAGAATTGTTGAGAATAATCAAGAGAAAGAGAGAAATCAAGAGAGTTTCTTTTCAAAAAGCTTACAATGAATGGAATGGCCGCCCCAGCATCGGCTGATTTCCCGTTTTGGTGATTGGATCTAAAAATTGAGAAATTTCCACTGAAAAACTTCATTTTCCACAAAAATATCTTGTAATTTGTCATTTAAAGCATGCGATTTTGTGCTTAAATCAGGTCAGAATCCAAATCCAGAACTGATTCCTGACAGACCAGAGACCAGGAACAGGACTTGTGCTTAAATCAGGTCAGAATCCAAATCCAGAACTGATTCCTGACAGACCAGAGGCCAGGAACAGGACTTGCAACAAAGCCAAAAGATTTCTGGCCAAGTTTGAGAAATTTCCACTGAAAAACTTCATTTTCCACAAAAATATCTTGTAATTTGTCATTCAAAGCATGCAATTTTACTTTTAAAAGTTTAAAAAAAGTGCGCTTGTTTAGAGAAAAGAAATGAAAAGAAAAAAAAGAGAAAAAATCGGTGCTGAACTCAGAGCATGCGTTTTTTTGACGAGAAAAACCGTAAAATGATAAAATAACTAGTAAAATGACTGTATAAATAAGGTAAAACAATGAGTTTTCTATTAATTTACACCACATTTTACAGCTTTTCAAAACGGCAGGCAAAAAGTGAGGGAAATATTTGCATTTTTTCTTGCTTAACCAAAAAGGTACTCTTGGCGGCGATGCGACCCCTTTGGGAAACAGCTGCACAATGAGAAGAGTCCTCGTTGTCTGCAAATGGAAGAAAAGAATAGTTATTTATTATATTTATCTCTTTATCTCTTTATTTCCCATTTTTCCCCTACTTTTGTTGCTCTTTTCCCTCGTAGTCCAACTCTTGAATGTTCTCTCGATTCTGTTGCCGTCGCTTGATTCGTTTCACGTCCTCTTCCGTGAAGTTCATCGGATCTGAAACGGGAAGATCATCGGGAAGATCTTCGGGAAGATCATCGGAAAGATCTTCGGAAAGATCTTCGGAAAGATAATTCCTAGGCTAGGACTGAACTTGGCTTGATTTCTGACTAAGATTTATAATCAACGTCAAGACCAGAGACATCCCAGAATCTCAGGTCCAAACCTAGTTTTTGAATGGAAAGCCCGAAAAGCCAGACTCCAGAACTTGGCTTCTGATTCTGGCTCTAGCTTTTGGCTTAGTGCTTAAACCAGGCCAGAATCCAGATCCAGAACTGATTCCTGACAGACCAGAGACCAGGAAGAGGGCTTGCAACAAAGCCAAAAGATTTCTGGCCAAGATTTCTTATCAAAACCAAACCAAGACCAGAAGCCAGGCCTTGATTTAGTCGAAGCCTCTAGCTCTGGATTCCAGTTTTAAATCCATTCATTCCTGATACTTGCAGCCAAATCCAGTGCTCAGTTAGAGGCTTGGATACTTGTTCTAAAGCTATTTCTAAAGCTGGTTCTAAAGCTGGTTCTAAAGCTAGTTCTAAAGCTATTTCTAAAACTGGTTCTAAAGCTGGTTTTAAAGCCATTTCTAAAGCTAGTTCTAAAGCCATTTCTAAAGCTATTTCGAAAGCTATTTCTAAAGCTAGTTCTAAAGCTAGTTCTAGAACTGGTTCTAAAGCTGGTTCTAAAGCTAGTTCTAAAACTGGTTCTAAAGCTAGTTCTAAAGTTAGTTCTAGAACTGGTAGCATTTAAAAATCAAGCTCAAAACCACGGACCATCATCAGGCTCTAAATCCCCATGATGAAAGCATATCTCGGTGTGATGAGACATCTAAATACGAAAAATCATATAAAATTTGAAAAAAAAACGAAATTTGACCCATGAAAAGAATAGAATCCCAATGGGATCCAATTTACGCTCTTTGCAATGAGCGAATGAAGCCATTTGATGGCAAAAAAGAGCTGAGTTTCTTTTTTGGCAGAAAAACAAAAAAGTCGATTCGTTCTAATGAAACAAGCGAGGAAAGGGAAAAGGAAAAAAAAGAAAAAAAGAAAAGAAAAGGGAATAGGCTCATTTTTGTTGTATTTTAAGCTAGTCGTAGCTCAAATTTCGACCTCAAATCCCCTATTCTAGTGATTCTAGCGACCCAGTGATTTTTGTGAGAAGCTGAGTAAATCATTGAGCTAGATAGAGTGTGTTCCCAGCTCTAGTCAGCCTCTTTCACTTGACAAGTCTAGCCATACGTTGTGTACTTTGTGCTCATTCTTTCACTCAGAAACGCACCTCTTCTGGTGCATTTGAGTGTCGATTTTAACTAGTAAAACTCAAGTGATTATTGTACGCAAAAAATGTGCAAGTGCGCTTTTGATTTTTCAAAAATTTGAACCACAAAGCTCACCCTGTCAATCACTAAACGGAAAACGATTAAAATAAAATGCCCATAAGTTTTATGAGCTTAATTTGTTTCCTCTTTTTTTTTCAAAGGATTCTTATCAATTTATTGAGTATGAGTCAGTCATTTCTCTTGTGAAGTTTACTTTCGCTTTTTTT